GGGGGGGTGGGGGGGGAGCACGCGGGGTCCTGGGGCTGCTGGCCCCCCCATCAGCCACCCTGACCCCCCCACCCTCTGGCAGCGAGCTCCAGAGGCTGTGTGGGGCCGTACGGGACCGAGGAGCTCGACGTCGGGGCGCAGGAGGATGGGGGCCTCGTGCGGCTGCCGGGGGTGGGCAGGGTGCTCGCCGTCCCCCCCCGGGATGCCGTGTCCCCCCAGGATGTCATCCCCCCCCGGGGTGACACTGGCCAGCCAGACCCTGCCCCAATTCCCGTGCGGAGCAGGCGTTCCCCCCAGGTAACGGTGACTGGCTGCCCCCCCATCCCTACCCCGACCCCCCCCCCCCCCCCCGTGCAGCTGCACCCTCACCCCCCCCCCCCAAATCCCACAGGAGCTCCCCGGGGTTCGTGCTGCTCCCAGGAGGCGGAAGAGGGACTGGGTGATCCCCCCCATCAAAGTTCCCGAAAATGAGAGAGGTCCCTTCCCCAAAAAGCTGGTTCAGGTATGAGGTGGGGGGGGTGGGGGGGTTTGGGCTGGGCTGGGGGTCCAGGTGCGGATTTGGGTGCTGGGGGGGGGTCCATCACCCCTGCGTCTGGGCCAGGGAGGGGGGGGGGGGGGGGCTGGGGTTAGTTGTGCACATCGAGGGTAGGAGCGACGCTGGCGGTGGCCGTCCCCCCCCGCATCGGGGCAGGGTGCGATGCTGCTGGGGGGGGGTACTGACCCCCCCCACCCCTCCCACCCCCACCGTGTCCCATCCCAGATCAAATCCAACCGGGACAGAGACACCAAGATCTTCTACAGCATCACGGGGCAGGGGGCGGACGCCCCCCCCGAGGGCGTCTTCACCATCGAGAAGGAGTCGGGCTGGATGATGGTGACGCAGCCGCTGGACCGGGAGGAGATCGACAAATACCACGTAGGTCCTTGCCCGGGGCGGGGGGGGGTCACAGCGGTGCTGGGGGGTCACCACCACCCACACACACCCCCCCCCCCCCCCCACCCCAGCTCACCCCTCCGCCTCGCAGCTCTTCTCCCACGCCGTATCCGAGAACGGGAAGCCGGTGGAGGAGCCGATGGAGATCATCGTCACCGTGACCGACCAGAACGACAACAAGCCCCAGTTCACGCGGGAGGTTTTCCGGGGCTCCGTGCCCGAGGGCGCTTTGCCGGGTAAGACCCGGTGCCGCCGGAAAGCTCTGCCTCCCCCCCCCGTGGGTGCCCCGTCCCCTCCGCCCACCCCGCTCACCGGGACGTCCCCGTCCCCAGGCACCTCCGTGATGCAGGTGACCGCCACGGACGCGGACGACGCGGTGGAGACCTACAACGGCGTCCTCGCCTACTCCATCCTCAGCCAGGAGCCGCGGGAGCCCCATCCCCACATGTTCACCGTCAACCGGGCCACCGGCACCCTCAGCGTCATCGCCAGCGGCCTCGACCGGGAGGTGGGCTCGGCGGGACGGTGGGGCGGGCGGCCCCGGCCCCCAGCAGGGTTAGGGGGTGGGGCTGACGGGGCGTCTGTCTGTCCGTCCGTCCGTCGCAGCGCGTGCGGGAGTACACGCTGACCGTGCAGGCGGCCGACCTGGACGGCGAGGGGCTGACCACGACGGCGCTGGCCGTCGTCGAGATCGCGGACGTCAACGACAACGCCCCGGAATTTGACCCCAAAACGGTAACGTGAGGACTCCCACGCCTCTCCCCACATCCCCCCCCCCCCCCCCCCACCTCGGTGGGACCCCACAGGCTGGTGCCCGCCGGGCTGCGGCGCTGACGGTGCCGCCGCAGTACGAGGGCTCCGTGCCGGAGAACGAAGCCGGGCGGGAGGTGGCCCGGTTGACCGTCACCGACCTGGACGAGCCCAGCACGCCGGCGTGGCGAGCCGTCTACTCCATCCTGCGCGGCAACGAGGGAGGTGCCTTCGCCATCGCCACCGACCCCGCCAGCAACGAGGGCGTCCTCCGCACCGCCAAGGTGCGCGCGTCCCCCCGGCCGCGGCCCCCCTCTTCCTCGCCGCCGGCTGCTGCCCGTCCCCTCCCCTCTCCCAGGGTCTGGACTACGAGGCCAAGAAGCAGTTCGTGCTCCACGTGGCCGCCGCCAACGAGGCCCCGTTCGCCGTGAAGCTGCCGACGGCCACCGCCACGGTGACGGTCAACGTGGAGGATGTCAACGAGGCGCCCGTCTTCGACCCACCGGTGCGGCTGGCCCAGGTGCCGGAGGACGTGCCGCCGGGGCAGACCCTCGCCTCCTGCACGGCCCAGGACCCCGACAAGTACCAGGGGCAGAGGATCAAGTGAGCGGGGTTGGGGTCTTGGGGGGGGGGGGGGGCACCCCGCCGCCCGCTTGCCAGAGCACCAGCTCCCCTCTGCCCCCCAGGTACCTGGTGGGGCACGACCCGGCGGGTTGGCTGGCCGTGCACCCCGAAAACGGGCTCGTGACGGCACGGGACCACCTGGACCGCGAGTCGCCCTTCGCCAAGAACAGCACCTACGCCGCCATGCTGCTGGCGGTGGATGACGGTGAGGGCGGTGAAAGGGGCCCTTGTTCTGCCGGCCCATGTGAGGGACACGTGCTGCCGACACTGGGAACCGCATCCCCGGCTCCGGCACGGAGGGGGCTGCCTCTCCCCACCCCTGCTTGGTGCATCCCCGTCCCCGGGAGGTTTTGGGGAGCACACCCCCCCCCACCCCCCCCCATTTCCAGCGTCGCTCCTCCCCGCAGGCTCGCCGCCCGCCACGGGCACCGGCACCTTGCTCCTCACCCTGCTCGACGTGAACGACCACGGCCCCGAGGCCGAGCCGCGGGACGTCACCGTCTGCAACCGCAGCCCCCAGCCCCAGGTCCTCACCGTCACCGACCGCGACCTGCCCCCCAACACCGGCCCGTTCCGCGCCGAGCTCAGCCACGGCTCGGGGGACAGCTGGGCGGTGGAGGTCGGCGATGAAGGTAACGCCGGCGGCGAGGAGGGGGATGGCACACACGCACACACACGTTTGGTGGGAGGCAGGCTGCGGCGTTACCGGCGCGCGCGCGCGCGCGTGTGTGTGTGTGTCCCCTTGCCGCCAGCCGCCCGTCTCGTGCAGGTGACACCGTCACCCTGCGGCTGGTGGCACCGCTGGAGCCGGATCTTTACAGCGTCTACCTGCGGCTCCTCGACCGGCCCGGCAAAGCCCAGCTCACCGTCGTCACCGCGCGGGTCTGCGACTGCGAGGGGCCGGCGCAGGGTTGTCCCCAGAGACCCCAGCCCGCCACCAGCTTGCCCTTCGTCCTCGCCACCCTGGGCGCCCTCCTGGCTTTGCTGCGTGAGTTGGGGGTTGGGGAGGGGGGGGGGGGTGGGGTGGGGTGGGGGGGTGTCCCCGCTGACGCTGCTGCTCCCCCCCTTCCCCAAGTCATCCTGCTGCTGCTGCTGCTCTTCGTGAGGAGGAGGAAGGTGACGAAGGAACCGCTGCTGCTGCCCGAGGACGACACACGGGACAACATCTTTTACTACGGGGAGGAGGGCGGCGGGGAGGAGGATCAGGTGGGTGTGCTGGGGGGGGGGGACAGGGGTGGGGGGGGTTCAGTGCCACCATGGGCAACCTGACCGTGCCCCTCTCCCCCGTGTGTGGGTGTGTGTGTGTCCCCCACACAGGACTACGACCTGAGCCAGCTGCACCGGGGTCTGGACGCCCGCCCCGAGGTGCTGCTCCGCAACGACGTGGCCCCCACCCTCCTGCCGGCCCCCCAGTACCGGCCCCGGCCCGCCAACCCCGACGAGATCGGAAACTTCATCGACGAGGTGAGCCCCGGCCCCAGGCGGTGCTCGGGGTGGGGGATGAAGCCCCCATCCATACCGGCACCGTTGGGGGTGCTGACCTTTCTGCCCCCCCCCCAGAACCTGAAGGCAGCCGACACGGACCCCACGGCCCCCCCCCTACGACTCCCTGCTGGTGTTCGACTACGAGGGCAGCGGCTCGGAGGCCACCTCGCTCAGCTCCCTCAACTCCTCCGCCTCCGACCGCGACCAGGACTACGACTACCTCAACGACTGGGGCAGCCGCTTCAAGAAGCTGGCGGACCTCTACGGCGGGGGGGAGGAGGACGATTAGGACCCCCCAGCCCTGCGGCCACCCCCCCACCCCCCCCATTGCCCCCACGCCTTACAGCTGCCTGTGCCTTGGGGCTGCCCCCTCCCGCCGTGCCCCCCGTCTCGGCGGCAGCCCCCCCACCTTCCCCTCCTGTATTTTTCTTGGTTATATATATATTTTTTTTTTTAATTTTTTTTTTTTTTAAATATATCAAATAAAGGTAGTGTGATGCTCCGGCTGAGGTGAGAGGGTGCTGGTGTAGATTTTAATAAAGGATGTGGGTTTTTTTGTTTTTGTTTTTTTAGATGCTCTGGCCTCTGCGTGGCTTTGTGCCCTGGGAGAGCTCCCTGGGGAGCTGCTGCCCACCCTGGGGGGTTGACACTGACCCCAGCCCCCCTGTGTCGTGTCCCCCCCCCCCCACCCCAGCCCAGCCCCCCTTGCCCACAACTGCTCCCTACACCACTACCCGCAGCCACGGCTGCAGCACAGCCCGGGTGGGGGGGCAGTGACCGTTGCCTCCCCCCCAGAATGGGGGTGTCCTTGTCCCCGTGGGGTGCAGTGCTGGCGCAGAGGGGGCACGGGCAGGGCACTGAGCCCCCCCCCCCCCTCCACACTGGTCCCACCGGGGGTCCCTGGGGGGGCAGGTGTCTCTGTGCTGTGTGTGGGGGGGGTGTCACCCTCAGCTTTGCTGTGTGAGAGGAATGAGGGCAACATCCCGGGGCGTGGGGTCTTCCCGCGTGGGGCACAACGTTTGGCGCCCCCCCCCCGAAGCTCCCGCCGCCCTGGACGGGCACCCACGGAGCTCCCACGCCGCGGGGGCTGCGCGGTTGGGGCCGGGACACCGGGCGCGGGCGGGGCGGCCCCGCCCCCCCGGCGTGGCGGGGCGTGGCGTGGGGGGGCGGGAAAGGCGGGGTGGGGGTGGGGGGGCCGGCACCTGCGGGGCGGGACCGGGACCGGGACCGGGACCGGATTCACCTGCGGCTCCGCGACGGCAGCGCCCGATCCCACCGGCAGCGGCACCGGCCATGGGGCGGCGGGGGGGCTGCCCCGGCCCGCTCTGCCTCCTCCTCCTCCTCCTGCTCCAGGTGAGGGACGGCACCGTGGGACCTTGCCCGGGTTCGTGGGACCCTCCTCGGGTCTGTGGGAGCCACCTCGGGATCTTGCCCGAGTCCGTGGGAGCCTCCCCGAGTCTGTGGGACCCTCCTCGGAACCGTGGGACCCTCCTTGGGACCCTCCCTGAGTCTGTGGGACCCTCCTCGGAACAGTGGGACCCTCCTTGGGACCCTCCCCGAGTCTGTGGGACCCTCCTTGGGACCCTCCCCGAGTCTGTGGGACCCTCCTCGGAACGGTGGGACCCTCCTGGGGACCTTCCCCGAGTCTGTGGGACCCTCCTTGGGACCCTCCCCGAGTCTGTGGGACCCTCCTCGGAACGGTGGGACCCTCCTGGGGACCTTCCCCGAGTCTGTGGGACCCTCCTCGGAACCGTGGGACCCTCCTTGGGACCCTCCCCGAGTCTGTGGGACCCTCCTTGGAAACATGGGACCCTCTTTGGGATCTTGCCCGAGTCTGTGGGACCCTCCTCAGAACCGTGGGACCCTCCTTGGGACCCTCCCCAAACCTGTGGGACCCTCCTCGGAACCGTGGGACCCTCCTTGGGACCCTCCCCGAGTCTGTGGGACCCTCCTTGGAACTGTGGGACCCTTTTTGGGATCTTGCCCGAGTCTGTGGGACCCTCCTCAGAACTGTGGGACCCTCCTTGGGACCCTCCCCAACCCTGTGGGACCCTCCTCGGGACCCTCCCCGAGTCTGTGGGACCCTCCTTGGAACCGTGGGACCCTTTTTGGGATCTTGCCCGAGTCTGTGGGAGCCTCCCTGAGTCTGTGGGACCCTCCCCAGTTCTGTGGGACCCTCCTCGGGACCCTCCCCGGGACTGACCGCTCTCTCCGGGCAGGCTGGCGACCGACTGTGTGAGCGGGCAGCGTCCTGCCAGCCCGGCTTCACCGCGGAGACCTTCGGCCTCGCCGTGCCGCGGGACAGCGTGGCGGCGGGACAGGCGCTGGGGCGAGGTACGGCGGGGGGGCCGTGGGTGCGTGGGGACGAGGCCGTGGGGTGGGGGGGGGGTGGTTGGGGAGAAAGCCGTGGCCGTGGGGACAGGCTGGGTGGGCGGTTGGAGGTGACGACGGGGGGGGGGCCAAGGCCGTGGCTCCGTACCGGGGTGGCAACGGGGACAGTCCCCCGTTTGGGACGGTGCCGTGGCGGTGGGGACAGGCTCGGCGCACGCGGCTGCTGGTGGCACCGGGGACAGAGCCGTGGCGGTGGGTCCGCACCGACGGCCCGGTGCCGGTGCTCTCGCCGCGGCAGGGTGCCGGCGCGGGGGCCGCGGGTGCCTCTCCCCGGGGTGCGCCGGCGCTGACTCAGGCGGCTCAGACCTGTCGGGGCCGGTAAGCCGGGGCGTGGGGCCACGCCGGCGCCCGTCCTGCCCCACGCCTCGCCCACCCGTGGGGTCCCGGCACCCGGGGTTCACGGGGGGGGGGGAGAGCCCGCCTGCGTGGCCGTGGCGGCTGCGCCAGGCTGGCCGGGGTGCTGCCGGCTCTTGGGGAAAGGTGTGCCCAGGGAAGCGGGTTGTGGGGGCCCGCTGATGTTTTGGGGTGCCCTGTGCATCCCCAACCCACCCCCAGCTCGATCCGTGGGGGCTGCGGACCCAGGCTGGGGGCGTCTGCGCCGGTGAAGGGTTGATGGTGGGTGCAGGGCACCCAGGGCCCCCCAAACCGCCCCCCCCCCCCCCCCGGCTCCAGCAGGGCTTCGCCCACGGCTGTGGGTATGGAGCCGGGAGCCAGACCCTGCCCTACACCTCAGGAATCGTTCATTAACTTTTCTGGTTGATCATTAACGAAGCCGCCGGGCGATACCAGGGTGACGGGCAGCCGCGTGGCCTTGGCGTCCCCAGAGCTGGAAATCCCCCGTCCCAGCACCGGCGCTTCCACTTTTTGAGTTCCGGGTGGAGACGGAGCGTGGGAAGGAGGGAAGGGGCCGTCGGCCCTGCGCCGGCTCGGCGATGCCCGGCCACGCCGCGGCGATGCCCAGCCACGCGGGTGGACGAGCACGGTGGGAGCTTGGTGATGCCACCCCCACATCCCACCCCCCCCCCCCCCCCCCACACACACACAACCATGCCACGCAACGCGCCAAAACCTGCGGCCGGCGCTGAGGGCGGGCTGATGAGCCGGCCTGTAATTAAGCTGATGAGTTGAGCACCCTGTTTTCCCTCCAACAGGTTTGGACAAGCCCCAGAATGGTGCCTGGGCTGGCGGGGGGGGGGTGTGTGTGTGAACACCTGCACGGGGGGGCATCCCCAGGCCGGGACCCTATCGCTCTGCTCGGCGGGTGCTGGGGGGGGGTCTTTGGGGTGGCAGGGGACACGGTGGGGGCTGGGACGCTCCCCCCACCCCTGCCGTCAGCCCTGGGGGCGGGGGGGGGGGGGGGGAACCTCGAAAGGCTGAAGTCATGGCGAAACTCGGGTGATGTCAGCGGGACGTGACGCTCGCGAACGCTTTCGCTCCGGTTGACCGCGGGCTGACGTGAGCCCCCCCCCCCCCACACCCTGTCACCACCCCCCCCCCCACATAACCACCCCAGCACGGCCACGCTTGCGCAACCCACGCAAGAGCCAGGGCGGTGGCACCGGGCTCTGTCCCTGAGTCAGCCTGCGCCCAGCCCCGGCGAGACACCACGGGACGGGGTGGGGGGGGGAATTTTTTTGGGGGGGGGGCTGCCTTGGTCCCCATCCCACCGAGGGGTCTTATCCCCCTGCGCCAGTTGGCAGCCTGGTAATGTAGGAGCTGGCTGTCCCAGCGACCTGGGGGGGGGGGGGAGGACCTGGAAGGAGGGGGACCCTCCCCCCCAAACCTCCTGCCCCGCTGCTCCTGGAGAGGAGAGGGGCTCCCCCGGCTCCCAGCCCCGGGGGCGGGGGGGGCAGGGCTGGGGACTGGGGACTGCAGAGCTGGAAAAAACAGGTTGTGCACGGCCGGGTGGGAAGGGTGGGGGGGGGGGAGAGCGGGCGCTGAGCCCCGAGCCGCTCGTCGCGCCCGTGGGGCTGGGGGCTGAGCGCTTGCCCACTCGCTGCACCCACCCGGCACGGCGCCAGGCCCCAGGTGCCAACCGCTGCGCCTGCGCCTCTGGGTGCTGGGGTGCCTCTCCCCGCGGCCTGTCCCGACACGTTCCTGGCCCAGCCGGCCTCACCGGCTCCCCCGACCCGCAGCTTTTGCCGGGGGTCCCGCCGCGGGGCCGAGCATCGTGCCGGTGGGGTGTCCCCGGCCCCGGCTGGGTGGGGGGCAGCCGCTCAGCAATCGCGTCGTGCGGCTGCTCCCAAATTCCTGGGCTGCACGTGGGCTGACAGAACCCCACCGGTCCCAACAGTGGCTTCGTGCCGGGTTATCCGGGCGCGTCGCCTTCCCGCGGCACGGCCCCACTACCCGCCGTGTGCGGTGCGGGTCACGCCGGGGCCGGCGGTGGCCGCGCTGGCTTGGGTGCCGCTGGCTCGAACGGACAAAGGGCGTTTTGTTCGGGCGCTCCCGGCAGCGCGGCCCCGGCTCATGTGATGCTCGGAGCCTCCCCGCTGTGTGCCGGTCACGGCTCGTACCGCGCCCGGCAGGGTGAGGAGCCGGTGACACCGGGACACCGTCCGCCCCGGTTTGTGGTGGGCGCCCGCTGTCCCCCGCAGCCGCGGTCCCAAAGGGTGCTGGGTGCCGCCGGTGCGCCGGGGCCGGCACCTTCCTGCCGCCCAGGCTGATGTCCCCCCCTGCAGCGGGTCGCAGCCTGGGCCACCGTAACCCACCGGCTTGCCATGCCCTGTGAATCAGCCCCCAAGCCCCCCCGGACGGGTTGTGAGCGGGTGGCAGCGCCGGGAGCCCCTTGCCCACCCCTCTCGCCCTGTCCCCAGTGAGCTTTGCGGACTGCGGCGAGCAGCGGCGTGCCGCGTACCTCTCGGACGACACGCGCTTCAAGGTGAGCCGGGATGGGGTCGTCTCCGCCACCCGGCCCCTGCGGCTCCGCCAGCGGGAGATCAGCTTCTCCGTCTACACCTGGGACACCGTGGGCAAGAAGCATTCGGCCAGGGTGACCCTGCACGGGCGGCGGCACCACCGCCACCGCCACCAGCAGCAGCAGGTAGAGCGCAGCCCCCCCGTTCCCCGGGGTCACCGCAGCCCCTCTCCTCGGGGCAGAGCGTGCAGAGGGCTCGGCAAGGTGCTGGCCCCGAGCCGAGCTGCTCTCCTTGTAGGACGCGGCGCCTGACGTGCTGACCTTCCCCGAGCCCGGCCGTGGCCTTCGGAGGCAGAAGAGGGACTGGGTCATCCCTCCCATCAACTGCCCCGAGAACGAGCGGGGACCCTTCCCCAAGAAGCTGGTGCAGGTAGGCGGCCCCGTGGGGACGGGGCGCAGGGCAGGGGGGGGGTTCCCCAGGGTGCCGGGACCCCTCTAACCCCGCTCCCCGGCTCTGCCTCGCTGCCAGATCAAATCCAACAAGGACAAGGAGACCAAGGTTTTCTACAGCATCACGGGGCAGGGGGCCGACAGCCCCCCCGTGGGCGTCTTCACCATCGAGCGGGAGACGGGGTGGCTGGAGGTGACGAAGCCGCTGGACCGGGAGGAGATCGATAGATATTTTGTGAGTAGGGGGCCGGGCTGGGGAGGGGACGTTCCCCGGGGCCGCGCGCGGGCTGACGGTGCCCCTCGCAGCTCTTCTCCCACGCCGTGTCGGCCAGCGGGCAGCCGGTGGAGGACCCCATGGAGATCATCATCACCGTGACCGACCAGAACGACAACCGGCCCGTCTTCACCAAGCAAGTCTTCATTGGCTACATCGAGGAGAACGCTAAGCCAGGTGTGTGGGAGACGGGCGAGCCGGGGTCCCCACAGCTGGGACCACGCAGAGCCACAAGCCAGAGCTGTGCCGGGGTTTGTCCCATGAGTGAAATCTCCCCTGGTTGTCCCCATCCCCAGGCACGTCTGTGATGACCGTGAACGCCACGGATTTAGACGACGGGATCAACGTGAACAACGGCATCATCAGCTACTCCATCCTCAGTGAGGAGCCCAAGAGCGTGCAGCAGATGTTCACCATCGATCCAGAGAAGGGCGTCATCAGCGTCATCGGCACGGGGCTGGACCGGGAGGTTGGGGCCCTCACTGAGTCCTGGGGGACCACGCAGCAGCTCTGGGGTGGGATTTGCCACGGGGAGCTGGGGATGCCGGAGCCCCAGGGGCCGGCCGGCCTGGGGACCTGCCATCCCTGGGTCACCATCCCCTGCTCTGGGGGTGTCTGCAGCCCCAAGCCCATCGGGGATCTGTGCCAGGGATGCTGGCAAGCTGCTGTGCCACGGTGGCTGGAGAAGGGTGGAAGAGCAGGCAGGCAATGCCTCCGGAGGAGGGGGACACTCCGGACCCCATCCCTGCCCTAACCGCGGTGATTTTGGCTTGCAGACCACTCCCAACTACACGCTGATCATCCAGGCTGCGGACCAGGAGGGCAACGGCCTGACCAACACCGCCACTGCCATCGTGGAAGTCACCGACGCCAACGACAACCCTCCCGTCTTCAACCCCACCATGGTACCCGAGCAGGGTCCCGCGAGCCACTGCCCTCCCTGGGGCCACCGTGGCACGAGCCCTCCTGCCCCGGGGTGCCCGGCACCGCCCGGGTGACAGTCCCCATCCTCTCCCTTGCAGTACGAGGGGACGGTGAACGAGAACGAGGTGGGGGTGGTGGTGGCCCGGCTGCACGTGACGGACCAGGACATGCAGGGCTCCCCTGCCTGGCAAGCCGTCTACCGCATCAAAAGCGGGGACCAGGACGGCGACTTCAGCATCACCACTGACCCCAAAAACAACGACGGCATCCTGAAAACTGCCAAGGTGGGTCCTGCCGCCACGCAGCCGCCCCGGCGCCGGCTGCCTCCCGGCCAGCGCCGGCACTGCCCTGGCTCCTCTCTCCCACCCCCACCCAGGGCCTGGATTACGAGACCAAGAGCCGGTACAACCTCCTGGTGACGGTGGAGAACGCTGTCCCCTTCACCGTGCCCCTGCCGCTCTCCACGGCCAGCGTCCTGGTGGTGGTTGGAGACGCGAACGAAGCCCCCGTCTTCGTGCCCCCGGTCAAGAGGGTGGAGGTGACAGAGGACCTGCCGCTGGGCCACCAGGTCACCTCCTACATGGCCCAGGACCCAGACAAGGATCAGAGGCAGAAAATCCTGTGAGTGGCCCGGGGGGGGACACTCACTGGTTGGTGGGGGGGTGCCGCAGCGCATCCCTCCCCGCTGACCCCTCGCTTGCCCCAGGTACCGCATGGGCAGCGACCCCGCGGGGTGGCTGGCCATCGACCCCGAGAACGGCATCGTGACGGTGGCCCAGCCGCTGGACCGGGAGTCGGTGCACGCCATCAACAGCACCTACAAGGCCATCGTCCTGGCTGTGGACAGTGGTGAGGAGCGCCCTGCCTCGCCCTTTGGGAAGGGGCTGCTGGGGCAGGGGCCGGGGCTGGGACCCCCTCCCCAGGCGCCTCGCTCACCCCCGGCCCCGCAGGGTCGCCGGATGCCACCGGCACGGGGACGTTGCTCCTCCACCTCCAGGATGTCAACGACAACGGGCCCACGCCGGAGCCCCGGATCTTCGATATCTGCAACCGGCAGCCCGAGGTGCAGACGCTGAACATCGTCGACAAGGACCTGCCTCCCAACACCTACCCCTTCCAGGCGGAGCTGCAGCACGGCTCCGGTGCCAACTGGACTGTCAGGGTGACCAGACAAGGTAGGCGCCACCGGGTCTGGCCGGGCCACTCGGCGTGGGGAGAGGAGCGGTGCCCCATCTCTGATCCCAAGCCTTCTCTCTGCCGCAAGACCTGCTGGTGCTGAGCCTGACGAAGGACCTGGAGCCTGGGGAGTACAACATCTTCCTCAAGCTGACGGACGCGCAGGGCAAGGCGCAGGTGACGCCGGTCAAAGCCCAGGTGTGCGACTGCGAAGGGCCGGCTAAAAACTGCGAGCGGCGAGCGTTCATCGCCAGCGGGCTGGGCGTCCCCGCCATCCTGGGCATCCTGGGGGGTATCCTGGCGCTGCTGAGTGAGTACCGCGGGATGGGGACGGGGACGGGGGCCACCTCGCCCCGCCGCCCTGACGCCGGTGCCCTCTGCTCGCAGTCCTGCTGCTGCTGCTGCTGCTCTTCGCCAGGAGGAGGAAGGTGGTGAAGGAGCCGCTGCTCCCGCCTGAGGACGACATGCGGGACAACGTCTACCACTACGATGAGGAAGGCGGCGGCGAGGAGGATCAGGTGAGGCGACGGTGCCGGGTCGGACCCTGCCCGCGGGGTCCCTGGGGAACCCTCCCCGAGCCACCATGGATGCTCGGGGGGGGCACGAGGCTCCTGCGTCCCCTCCCGCGGTCACCCTGGTGCCCTGGGTCACAGCGTGGCAGTGCTCGTGGCCGTCCCTCGAGTGTCACCTCCTCCTGTGTGTGTGTGTGTGTGTCCCCCCCCCGCCACTGCCACGCAGGACTACGACCTGAGCCAGCTGCACCGGGGTCTGGACGCCCGCCCGGAGGTGATCCGCAACGACGTGGCCCCCACCCTCCTGCCGGCCCCCCAGTACCGGCCCCGGCCCGCCAACCCCGACGAGATCGGAAACTTCATCGACGAGGTGAGCCCTGGCCCCAGGCGGTGCTCGGGGTGGGGGATGAAGCCCCCATCCATACCGGCACCGTTGGGGGTGCTGACCTTTCTGCCCCCACCCCCCAGAACCTGAAGGCGGCCGACACGGACCCCACGGCCCCCCCTTACGACTCCCTGCTGGTGTTCGACTACGAGGGCAGCGGCTCGGAGGCCACCTCGCTCAGCTCCCTCAACTCCTCCGCCTCCGACCGCGACCAGGACTACGACTACCTCAACGACTGGGGCAGCCGCTTCAAGAAGCTGGCGGACCTCTACGGCGGGGGGGAGGAGGACGATTAGGTCGTGTCCCCTCCCCGATCCCCCAGCCCGGCTGGCAGCCGCCCGGCGCAGGCAGCTCACCTCATTTCACCCCACTGGCCTCACGTCGGTCTTTGCATGGGGGGGGGGGGGCCACTGAACCCCCCTCCAACACTCCCTCAACCTAGTGTCCATGTCCCCCTCATTCAGCACAGGGGAAGCTCGGGGTCACTGAGGCTGGGGGGGGGGGTGTGTTTTGGGGATCTGGGTGTTCCCTGGCCCCCCTTGGCTCCAGGCAGGGCATGGAGCTGTTCGGTCCGTTCCCCGTCCTGGAGCCCAGGCACTCCTGGCTTGCACGGGCCAGGATCAGCTCCTCTCCCCCAGCAGAGATGAGCCCCTGCCACCTCCCTCCCTTTGCTGTGGAGGAGAAAAAGGGTTTCTCTGGCGCTCTCCGAAATACCTCGTGCTCCCAGCCCTGACACAACCGCCGCGCTTGCCTCGCCAACCCAGCGCCACAGAAGCCCCGGCACCGCACCTCTGACAGAGCCGGACGAGGTGATCGATAAATGCAGACCAAAGATGTGCCGTCACACACTATACATGAGGGAATAATATTTGATAAGAGTACATGCAGGCAGATTTCTATTTTTTCCGTATTCCAGATTATGATATGATTTCCTTCTGTGTCATGCCAGGTGTAATTATCGTGCAGCCAATGAAAGGCGCCTTCAGAAATCAAACGGCTTTACTGTAATTTTGAACGCTGTGTTTAGCTGTCGTCGGGGTTTGTATTTTTTATCATGGGGAAAAGGGTCTGATGTGGACTGGGAAGACAGCAATGGTCTCATATTGATTGATTGTATGGTTTTTATATAAAATGGAAATAATAAATTGTTTTAAGAAAACCGAAAGAGAACCCGGCTTGTGCCTTATCGTGGTGGCTGTGCCCGGGGTTCAGGCCACGCAGCAGAGGCGAGGAGGCTGTTGGCAAACCTGAGCGATCGCCGATGTTTGTCCAACCCTGGCAGGGCCGCGACCTCCCTTTGCGGGCCCGGCCCAGTTAAGCAAACACAAACCAGGACGGCGCCTGCAGCCTTTCAAACACACAGCAGCCTAGGAGCCCAGCAAAGGCTTCGCAACCGTCCTGGCCCCGCAAGATGCTCCTTTTCCATGCCCGTGTAAGCTGTTTGATCTGCGACCCCGGGAGCGGGTGCACACCCACCTGGCTCACCTCCGCTTCCTCACGCTAAGATACGGGGACGCGTTTGGGCTCTCCCTTTGTAGGCAGAATTGATGTCTTGTTGGTGTGTTTTAATTTTTTTTTTTTTTTTTCCCCTCCAGAAAGCTGCTAACTGTTTGCTGTATGCGGTCAGAGCGCACGGCGGGGCGCAGGGAGGAGCCGTGGGGTGGGAGCTCTCCCAAAATACCTGACCCGCCTGAGGGGCTGGCGCCTGTGGGCAGCGGCGACAGAGGCTTACCCCGCCGGCCTCCCCCCTCAGCGCCAGGCCAGGGGACAGCCGTGTGCCGTGCTCCCCGCGCCGGGGAGACGATCCCCCGCGGCAGGGCGAGGCGGCAGCCGCCGCCGCGCCCCGTTAACACCCGTTAACACCGCCCCGCCGGGCCCCCCGAGCCAGGCCCCAAGATGGCGCCGCCCCGCCACCTCCTCCCGCCCCGCCCGAGATGGCGCCGGGCGGTCCCGCACCGCCCCTCGCCCGACCTCCCCAAGATGGCGGCGACAGCCGCCCTTCCCAGGCCTCCCCAAGATGGCGGCGCCCGCATCCACACCCCACCCCCTTTCCCCGACCTCCCCAAGATGGCGGCGCCCGCATCCACACCCCCCCTTTCCCCGACCTCCGCAAGATGGCGGCGCCCGCATCCACACCCCCCCTTTTCCCCGACCTCCCCAAGATGGCGGCGCCCGCATCCACACCCCACCCCCTTTCCCCGACCTCCCCAAGATGGCGGCGCACCGCCGTACTTCCTCCCCGTCCCGGTCGCTCTAAGATGGCGGGCGGCGCGGGCCCGGGCCCGGAGCCGCAGCAGGTGGTGGAGGCGCTGGAGCTGCTGCTGCGGCCGCCCGCCGAGCGGGACGGCGAGGGCCCGGCCACCGCCCTCCCACCGGAGACGCTGCGCAGCAACGCGGCGGCGCTGGAGGAACGGCTGCGGCGGGCTCCGGGCTGGGCGGCGCTGCGCGGCCTGCGCCTCGCCGTGCTGGCCCGGGCCCCGGCGCTGGCCGCCGGGGCGGCGGGGGAGGCCGAGCCGGGCTGGGCCACCGCCTGCGGGCTGCTGGCGCTGCTGCTGTGCCTGAAGGAGCGGCTGACCGCGCTCGCCAACGCCGCTCCCGCCGCCCGGCCCGGGGCCGCGCCGCCGCCCGCCGCCGACACCCTCAGCGCGGCGCAGGGCCTGGCGGTGGGGCGGGCGCTGCGGGCCGCCGTGGGGCTGGGCCTGGTGCCCTACCTGCCGCCGGGCGTGGGGCAGCGCCCGGGGCCCCCCACGCCAGCCCGGTCACCGCCGGCCACCCGCGGGGCTCGGCTCCACGCTGCCACCACCGCCCTGGCCGAGCTGGCCCAGCACCCCATGCTCGGCAGCCCGCTGCTCGCCCGGCACCTCGGCCTCCTCCTCGCTGGACTCTGCCTGCTGGGCCACGGCCCCGCCGCCCTCAGCGAGGTCGGTGGGGGGGTCCCCTCTTCTCCCGCTTCCCCCCGGCCCCGCCGAAAACGCATCGGGGGTCACCGGCCTCGCCTCAGCCCGCTCACCGAGCCGGTGCGACGGCAGCTGCCGTCCCGCCCGCGTTCATCTCCCTTCGCGAGAAGAGACGGGGAGCCTGGCGAGGGGCACCAGCACGCGGTCGGGACCAGTGGGTTTAGCCCCGGCAGCCGGGCTGCCCTCGCCACCTCAGGGTTTTTATTTCTTTTATTTGCTTTTGTTTTCCAGGGCGTTTCGGAAGCGGAGCGAGCGCAGTGCCGGGACACCCTGCGGCACATCCTGGACCGCGTCTACCAGCCGCTGGCGGTGCGGGAGCTGCTCGTCCTGCAAGGCCAGACCAAGCAGGTACCCGGCAGCGCCGAGCCGTCCCCGCCGTGCCGCCCGCAGTGCCGGGGCTGTGCGCTCCCGCGTTCCCCGGGCGCCTTCGCTGCTCCCCTCGAAACGTTCGCCCGCCTTAAAAACCGGTTTGGTGCAGCGTTCCCCCGGCGCCACATGGGCGCACGGGAGAAGCTGCTGGGCGCTGCGCGGGGTGCGGGTGAACTCGGCGGGGACTCCCCGCCTTGGCTTGGCAGTTCCATCCGCTGTGCCCCGCCAAGCGAAGCGCCTTCTCTTCCAGAACATGGCCCCTTTCCACTTGAGGGGACGGAGCGGCGCTGCCTCGGCCCCGGCTGCTGCGCGTGGCCGTGTCGGAGGCTTCCTCGTGGCGGCACGGAGGAGGAGATGGGGAAATCTCCGCGCTCTTTTCACAAAGTCCCCAGGGAAAAGCCCGCGTCCCAGCTCCAAGCGGGTGCGGTGGGTGGGTGGGTGGGTGCTCGCCTGCCGCGTCACCGTTCGGGGTCAGGATGCGAGGAGCTGCTGGTGCGGGGTGTCTGGCACAGGCTCAGCTCTGTGCCGCACGCTGCCCGTCTGCCTGGGATCACACGGGATTCCCGAGCAGGCAGGAGCTGGCCGTCCCCTCCCTTGGGGGATGCGGAGGGTCCCGGCGAGGCGCTCGCTCGGCAGCGCTCTCGGTGCGTGCTGTGGTTCTTCCACACAGAGTCTCCCGGTTAAACAAAAGCAAGCACCTCCATTCAAACCGTTCGGGTGGCCGGGGTTGGCAGCTTTCGGGCAGCTCTGCTGTCTGTGCTGGCCCGGGGGGATTGATTTGCCCGACCAGGGAGCCTGCGGGCTCTGGGCCGGGTCCTGGCAGGGGGTCACCGCTGCGGACCCATTACCTGTATCCAACTCGACTTGTGCCCCGAGCACCCTGTGTCCCGCTGTGGTAATGAGCCGGTCGGAGCTGCTGCCTGACCCTGAGAGGCTTTAATTAAAGGAGGGAAGCTCAGCATGAGGGGATGCTCCTGGGAAGGCTGGCCTCTCTCATTAAGCCCTAATTTGCTTTGTGCCGCTGGATGGCGAAGTGATTTAAAACCTTTCCCCGTCCTGTCTTGCTATCTGGTCTTAAGCCCTGCCGGGCAGGGTGCAGGCTGTTTGCTTGTTAGTGGGGGTTTGCACAGGAGTGTGCAAACACCCTCCCTTAGCCTGCTCCTTTGTTTCCTTTCAGAGTCCTCCCTCTCCTGGGGAAGAAACAAAGCCGGCCCTTGTGCGGGCTCCGGCGTGGCTGCGGCGCTTGTGTGGTCAGCTGCTCTCTGAGAGGCTAATGAGACCCAGCGGGGTTCAGGCAGTGGTTCGGGGCATCATGGAGGGAACAGGCGGTGAGTAGGGTGCTCTTGGCTTCCAGGATCACAGATTAAATGAGGCTGTGATGATGTGTCTGAGACGTTTCATCCCATGAGAGGCCCAGGAGAGACAGTGCCATCAGAGCACTGAAATGGGAAACAGCCTTTGTCAGGCCAAGCTGACTGTGACACTCGTGCAGGTTTTGCCTCCGGCTGTGCTCAAAAACTGTTGTGTTTGAGGTCCAGACTGAAAGCCTCCAAACTCATCTAGCCTGCTCATGTCTCCGTGGGGTCACACCTCGTGTGTTTACGGACCGCGGCTCGTTCCAAGGAGCTGCGCTGGTACCGGATGGTGGGAGCTGTGCTCAGCGCTGGGGTGCAGGTGGAATGAGACCTGTCCCGCTCCAGGGCTCGGCAGCCTTGCTCTCTAAAAGCTCAATCCCACAGTTTCTAGTGCCAAAATCTCCTCCAGTCACTACCAACCTGGTGACACTGTCCAAGCGTGACCTCCCCTCCACATTTTGGCTTATCTACCTATTTGTAGAAGTTGTTTTTCATTATCAAAGATCCTGAACAGTAATTTTTCCCTTTCTGTCATTAAGTTCAGATGTCTCCTGAAAGATGCTTGGTTTAAAGAGGCTAATACAGGCTAGAAATCCAACTTTTGGCCAGAAACACCTGGCTTCAGCCAAAACTGACCCTGCCGTTTGCTGTCAGCCTGAGCTGATCTTGGCTTTCTGCTGGTGTAGGGGGTGGTGCTGGTGCTGAAGCAGCAGCTGTGGACTGGAGAAAATGCGACACGGTTGCAAAGATCCTGGCTTCCTGCCCGCAGCAGTGCCGTTCCCTCGAGGACTACTACAAACTGGTGTGCCCCCAGGTAGGTCCCTCTCTTCCCTTCCCCGCAGCACCCCAGCTTGGGCTGGGAACACGGAACCAGCTCCAGCTTGGAGTGTGTTGGTACCGTCGGTTCTGGTTGAGCGTGGCCTGGCTCGAGCCAGGACAACGTGGAGATGGTGTTGTGCTGCTCTGACAGTGAGGTGTGTTTCCACCCTACCCTTGAATTTTCTATGTTTGATGGAAGTGCTGGGTAATGTTGCCTGGCTGCACGAGCCATTCAGCGCTGCGCTATAGGGAGCTCTCTGCTGTGGAGCTTTTGTTTCCAGCCTGTGGCTGTGGGAGTGGTGCAGGCTCTTGGTTCGAGCCCAGAAATGCACCCTGCATTAACACGTGCACGGGAAGGAGACCGGCTCTTCCATCTGTGGAACGTCATGCCAGGTGTCCAGCAAAGCCGCAGACGGGAGGCTCCTCAATCTCTGCTGTCGGCTGCAAGGAGTTGCCCTGCCTCCCTCTTCCGAGGGGCTGCTACTCTTTGTTCCTTTATCGTGGATTTTCCTTCCAGATTCTGGACTTGCTGCACATCCAGGACAAAGTGACAGCGCGCCAGTTCCAGCGAGTGGCCACCACGACGCTGCTCACCATGGCGAAAGAGCACCCTCAGCTGGCAGAGAAGCTCTTGCTCCAGCCGCTGTTGGCACCGCTCCTGCGGTGCTCGGAGGCAGCAGGTACCCGCCGGTCGGATTGCAGAAAGCTCCTCTTCTCGCTGATCTTTGTCTTTCCATCAGAATTTTCTCGGGCTGGTGGCTGGGCTTGCTGAGCGTGCAAGCCCAGCTCTGTCGGCTGTGAACGTGTCTGTGTGGCTGGGTGCACTGTACTTACTGGCGTTTGAGACAAATTAGTCTAGCGTCAGAGCCAAGCAGTGGGGCTTCTGCCATGTGCTCTTTGGGAAACTCTCCCAGTCTGACAGTCTCGTTTTGAGCTTCCGGGCGGAAGCCATGGGTTCCCCACGCTGACCGAGCAGCTCTCCGGGGAATGATCCATCAAGAAGTTGTGGTCTGCTTTGATTTGCTCATAACCTTGTGGAGTTTACAACACTGGAGTGATATTTAGCACAGCTAACGAGGGCTCGTCGATTCCCATGCTGCCTTGATGGAGGGAAGGCAAGAGAAATATCAAAGTGCTTTCTGGTGCTGGGCGTGGTGGGGTTGCTGTTCTGCGGGAGGCTCCTCAGCACGCAGGGGTTCTGATATTTCTGCCCGTTGTTTTCAGAGCTCACGGTGGAAGATTTATCAGCAGGGACCGTGCTGGTGACAGAGGCAGAGCTTGGCAGCTGTGTGGAAGATGTGCTCAAGGTATCATGTCTGATTTGGGCCGGAGGGTAGGCGAGAAAACTACTCTGAGAAAGAGCTGGTTTGAGACTTTCTGAGCAGTTCAGTGTGTGTGTTAGACCATTAAAAAAACCAAGTGTGTCCTGCGCTCATGGTGCTGAGGTGAGGCCAAGAGCTGCACAGAATAACCTCGTATGCAACGCTGTGCTGGCGGGACTGCAGCTTTATGCTGGATACCAGAGGCACTGCCCAAATCCCTTCAAGCATTCTCACCCCGAAAGGTTCTGCGAGTGAGCTCCTTCTGGTTGTTTTTTTCCCCGTTATCTTTCTGGTGTGTGAGAGGAGTGTGAGCGGTGGGCTGGCAGCCAGGAGCCTCCGTGGCGCTCTCGCGTCCTCGTCCTCCTCTGCAGCAAGACTTTGAGCATCGCTAAATCGCGCAGCTTCTACGGGACAGTCGCGTCAGGGTGCGCTGTCAGAGCAGCGTCAGGACTCAGGCTGTGCTGGTGGAGCAGGCAGGAGGGTCCTAGTCGGCAGCACGGCTGGCCTGGCCCGCGATGCCTCGGGCTGTCAGTCCCTGCCCCTGACCGTGCTGCTCTCCTGCCAGCGTGAGAGGCGTGCAGCTGGTCAGAGGCCGGGATGGATCGCAGGGAACCCTGCCAAGTGCTGAATCTTCAGAGGGCGCATGAGCTCTCCTCCCAGGCTGTGGCTGGTCTCCCTTTTCTCAGTGCCTCCGTGCCTCAGTTTCCTTCTTGTAGAGCGTGGATAATACAGCTTGTGCTGAGCCCTGTGTGGGAGGGAGAACCTGCTGGGAGGTGCTCTCCCTGCCGCCGAGGTCTGCAGAGGGCAGCCTGAGCCAGCCTGCTGGAGCTGGGAGCCTTTCTACAGCTCCTGCAGCGTGAACCCCCTCGCAGAGGGATGGGTGACAGCCAGCTCTCGTGTTGGGCCAAAATGCTTCTGAGTGAGTGGCCCGGAAAAGGGGGGACGCTCGAGGTATCGGCAAGCAGCCGGCTGTGCCGGATTGCCCAGCTTGGCAGGGCCCCCGGCTCGTCGCTCGGTGGCTGTGCGGCCGGCTGGCAGCGAGGCTTTTGCCGTGGGCGCTGTGAGGCAGGCGGGTTTGGTGCGGCTCTGAGCTGGCTGAGCTGTCACCGGGGTGAAAGAGAGAGCGAAGGTGAGCTCAGAGCAGGGGGGAGAGGTGGGAGAGCTGGCGTGGTGATACTGGTGGCCGCTGTTAGGAAGCAGCGAGCGTGTGCGAATGGGGAAAGGAGGGTGGCCAGCAGCTCAGCCCCGGGGGAGACACTGTTAGTGACTGTGTCCTCAGCTCGGCTGCTCCAGAAAGTTGGGGGACACGCTGCTGCTGGTCCCCATGGGGTGTCCTCAGTGGGTTCATCTTCCGCTGCTGATACCTGCCAGGGGTCCAAAGGCATTGCAGTCTGTCTAGGCCCATTGGACAAGTCAGGTAAATTGATGATGATAAGTGAGGAAAAAACGAGTTCTGCAGGAACCATTCTGAGCTGAACCCCGTGACACATGGCTTTCCGTGTGCATGAAGTTAATTTTTAAACCGTGGGTGAGTAATCCTTGAGCAGCGGGCCGCTGGGTGTCCAGCAATCTCCTCAGGTGCTGCTCTTGGTGCAGGACGGTACCTGGAGGCCACGGTGGGGCTTCAGGGCTGCTCTGTGTGCCCGGCTGCCAAAGCAGGAGGAGTCGCTGGAGCTCAGCAGCTCTCCCAGCTCTGATCAGGTGCTGGGCGATGGGGAGGGTTCAGGAAGATGGAAGGAAACTCAGGTCTCATCAAATGCTCTGGCTTGGCCAGTAACAGACCGCCTGCTGCGTTAGAAGAAGTGTCTTGTGGGCAGGACGGTGCAGGTTTAGCACTTTCTCGGGAGCTCCTTCTTGCAAGGGGTCCTTTGGGGCGAGAGGCAGGGTGTTCAGCGGTGTAGATCTTGGCTCTGGCGTTCGGGGGAGAGGTGGGGGTCCATTCTAGTGCTCCCTGTGAAGGAACGGGGCTTTTTGTGGGGGGCCTGTCTTCTGAAACCTTCCCTCATAGCTCCTTTTTCTGCTGTTCCCACCAGTATCGCCAGTGCCACGCTGCAGGCTTCGCTGCCTGCCCTGACAGCAGCCCAGCTTTCTGCTGCGCTTTCCAGCCCAGAAGGACATCTCCAGCCCAGGAATTCAATTTTAAGAAGCTGGTGACTTGCTTACTGGCATGCCCTTAGGCAGTCTAAGCTCTTAAATGCTGTGATTGTTGTAGTATTTTGCGTAGTAATGATCTGTTGTAACTAGCTGGCAGGCAGAGACCAGTCTGGAGGGCTGCTCTGTGGCTGCCGTTCACAATGCGGGTGCTGGGGGAGTTTGGGGCGGTTCCCTCCTTAATGGCAGAGCGCTGGAGTCCTGAGAGCAGCCAGATTAGTGACGGAGACTCCAGCCTGCGGATTTGCGGGGGTTTCTTGCCTAGCAAGTGTCATTTGATGCTGAGTGAGAAACCATCCTTGGGGCTTCATCAGGGAGGCTTTGTGTACAAAAGGTTCTGGTTAGGAGGAATGGCTCCACGGGGATTAGCACAGGAAGAAAGGTCTACTTGCTTCAATAAGGCAGGGCAGAACATTATCAGGACAATCTCCCTCCTACCTGGGTTGTCACACTGCCTGGAGCAGGCATAAGCTCTTTGGTCTGTCTCCAGTGCCCTTCCAGCCCCGGAGCAGGTGATTGCTCTCCAGCTGCGGAGGTCAGAGGTGTTGGAGAGTGCTCTGGTGTGAAGGGATGGCGTCTTCTGAGCAGGTAGTTCACCAGCTGACAGAGCTGGAAGTCCCTTGGAGAACTTGTGAAAAGACTTAATTTCACCACTCTCCCCCTGCCTTTTTTCAAAGCTAAAAGCTACAGAGGGAGGTAGAGCTTGCTAAATTGAGGACCTGACAACAAACCTGAGTAAACCCTGAGTCCAGCTGGGCAAGGCTTGGTACTTAATCGTTTTCTAGAGTGAGTTTTCCCAGCATTATGGCTTTGACTGAAAGCATCCTACTGGGCTTTTAGTTTTGGACAATTCCTTTAAAAGGATTCAGAAAGAAATGAAATGTCATAAGACTTCTGTGAGCGGGTTTCCTGTGCTCTGTGTGCGGCGAGCTGGCACCAGTGGCTTGCCTGGGAAGGGGGTGCTGGTTTCGTGGAGGAGGGCATCGACAGCGAGTCAGGAGGGCGCTGCCCGAGATGGGGGAGAGGAGCACGGCCCTACGGCCTCCTCAAAGCCCCTCCAACCCACTTGCTCAGCTTAGCACACGTCAGGCCAGCTGCCCTGCTAGGGACTGATCTCTGAATTTGAGATCTGGCTCTAGGTGCAGTATTTCCATACGGATTTGCTGATTCAAAGATGCCTGTTGCATCTCTCTGTAACACAAGACCTTACCCCTAAGCAGCGGACTTCCTGAATAGCTGGCTGCAGTGTTCCTGTAGCTTGGAGCCCTGCTGCGGTTAAGCAAATGCTAGGAGAAAGATGGTGCTGAAGGCTGCTTTAAATACAGAATGTGCCATACCCAGGGAAGACAGGCTGCAGACTGAAAGAAGCAGAGCCTGAAAACCCTCTGCCATCCTCCCTGGTGGCAGCCATTCTGTGCAGACGTGCTTTCTGTCCTTCCCTTCCCTCCGCTCCACGCAGGTGTTTGACTCTCCTCCCTGTGCCTTTCTCTCCGTAGGTGTATGTGGTTGGAAATGACAGCTCGAGCCTGCTGCTGGGATCCTTACAGTCAGTCCTGGGAGTGGTTTTTTCCCTCTATTCCTTCGCCAAGCAGAATGTGTCATACTTACGGTAAGGAAGGATTGTGCACAGCTTCTTCTGGGGTTTCATCTTCTCTGTTCTGCCCACCTCCAAAGGACATGCTCTTCATGGGCACATACAGGAGCCAAGACCAATATTCTCATCCTGAAGAGCTTTCCTTCAAAGTAGGCAGTAACGGCAGGCATAGGCATGGCACTCGACCTTACTGGCAGACCTGTGCCCAAGGAAGCAGTTCCTTCGTTGGTTTTTGTCTTCCCTGAAGCCAAAATATTCGGTGTAGAGGCAAGCCTGTCCTCTGGGAGCACAGGTTAACCCTTAGTGCCTGCCTGCGAGCAGGGATTGTGATTCTCTGTGGGTGGAGACGGTGTCGGAGGGACGTGCATACCAGGGATCTAGAAGCAGGGTAAAAACGGGATGAAACAGCTCGAATGCTGGCTCTTGGAAACACAAGATCATTCTTCCCCTGTCTGGGATCATCACTCTCTTCCGACACGTGCAGGACCTGCCTCTCGGCAGCTGTCCCTCGCGCTGTGCCCGGCTACCCCGCGCCTGATGTGCGATGGTGAGCACCACGTGTGTCAGTCGTGGTGGCAGGGACGGTGGTGGTGACCAGGTGCTGGCTGTCCCCTCTTTTTTACCCTCCTAGGCTTTCCCTGGGCTGCCCTGAGTTTGGACCAGCCTAGTAAATACACTCCTGGTGGGTTCACACTTGGCTTTGGTGATACTGGCATGTGGGTACTGGAGGCTTTCCCTGAAAGGTCTGTGTAGACACGGCCTCTGCTATTATTAAAGACATCGTTAATCACTTCAAAGAGCAGTGAGTGCTGTGGCAAGTTCGTGGAACAAGCCAAGTTAACACTGCTGCTGGGCGAACAGAGTCGCTGCTCGCTTCTCTCTTTGCGAAAGAATTTGGCAGGGGTAACTAAAACCGCAGCTGCCTGGAAGTGTTCGGGTTTCCAGACCTCTGGCACAGCGCAGCGCTGCTACTCCACCTCGTTAACCTGCGTCTTTCCTTGGCAGGGGCTCCCACGCCACCTTGCAGTGCTCCCTGTCTCCTTCCTCCTCTTCCTTGGTGCAGCTGACAGCTCTGTGCCTTGTCACGTTGGCGCGAAGCACCCGGCACGGTGCGCCGAGGCTGCGTGGAAGTGGCTGTCCCTGTACAGACACGCTGTTCAGACAGAGCGCTCCCTTCCGCGCCGGGCTGCAATCTTGGAGGACCCAAAGCCTTCCATCTGGGAACGCCAGGAGGACGGGATGTGCTGCTGATCCCCTTATAAACGGGCACAAATGCCTTCAGCTGCCGGAGCGTCCCAAGGAGCGCCCGTGGTCGCTCCACAACACTCTTGTCTCTTCCCTCGCCCCGAGACGCGTGGTCCTGTTGCGGTGCTGGCGCGCGGGGAGGGTGGCAGCGGGCAGAGCAGGGTTGCCACTGCTTTCTCTCTCCTTGCCAGCTCCCCGTGCCAGGAGATCCTGCTGTGGTTCTTGGAGAAGTCGGAGCGAGGGGTGTCGCTGGCCGTGCTGGAAGGCTTTGCAGGGCTGAACGGCAGCGTGTGCGCCCTCCACCCGCGGTGCCGCTTCCGCGTGGGCAGCGAGGGTGGTGCCACCGTCGTGGTGGAGGAGACCGTCAGGTGAGAGCTGCTGGGGCAGTGCTGGGCACGAAGGGCTGTCTCCAGGAGTTATTCAGCACGTAGGGATCTTCACGGCGTGCCTGGTAGAGAGCCTGAGCGAGCATGGGGCTGCCGGTGCTGTCCCCGCACGGTCTCATCCCCCCAGGTGCCCGGGTAGCCGGCTCTCTGCGCTGAGCTCAAGCAGATGATGTTTCCACACAGCCTCCGGGTTCCCTGTACACAGCGCAGAGCTCTGATTTTTATTTTTTTATTTTTTTATTTTTTTTCCCAGTCCTGAAAAGCAGCACGCTCTGTCTGAGCGTTAGCGCGCGCTCGCTGCGTGCTTGTCCCGAGTCCTGCCTGCGGGGTGTCTGGGAACGGGACGTGCTTCTTCAGTCCCAACGCTCCCCAAATTCAAGTTCCACCCTCCAGCCTGAGCCTGTCTCCTGGCAGATCGTGGCTGCGTGGGGCGAGCGGTGTCCCTCGGGCACAGGCGGCACCGTCGCAGCAAGGGCTCTAGCGATGCCAGCGTTGCGGAGCCAGTGACTGAGCTCCCTGCCTGCTCTTGCAGATGGTCTCTGCAAGTAGAGGCATGGCTTGGCCATGCGGGGAATAAACTGTGGCCATTAGACTCCAGCCACGCGAACTGGGACTGTCCAGCAGCGTGACATTTGGTTTAAGGAGGGAGCGGTTGGTAGTTGGCAGGTACGAGCCCAGGGCAGGGCATGCACCCCTAGCAAAACCCCACACAAGTACACTTGGTTTGGTTTCATTTCAGTCTATTCCTGACCTGAATTAGAAGAAGGTCTGCACTGGTTAAACTGGGCGTACTTTAAAATTACTCCTTAAGGGCCACGGCTCTGCCAGTGTCTGTCCTATTTCCATGGCTATGACCGCTGCATGAATTAGCCAGCATGAATCCTGTTCTCTATAAGATGGCTAGATTAAACGTGTTTTGCACTCACGGTTTCTGTTAATGCTCTTCCTTTAAGGAATGCAGGTTAATTAATAAACCGAGTGCGTGATCATGTAGACCAAATGAACTGAGCAATAGTTTGGCTCGGCTGCCTCCAGGCCTTGCTTTCTGGTGGTGCTGTGAAGGAAGGTTTCCAAGGGAAGGCCGAAGTGGGATGTCACCTTGCCGCGGAGCAGTTTGGAGCCAGCCCTGGCGGGGTTCTGGGTGCCTCCGTGTTGGTGACAGTGACCTGTTTCAGCGATGAAGATGAGGCCCTCTACCAGAAGGTTTCCTCGGAGCAGTGCCACGTGGAGAACTTGGTGGAGCTCTTGTCTCACTGCCAGAAGAGTGGTCTAGCCGGAGACTTCTTCATCCGCTGCCTGAAGGTAAGGGCAGGCAAGTCTCTGGTCGGGACACACCTGCAGGGACGCTTTCCCCGGGCCAGGTGGTCTGTGGGGTTGGTGCAGAGGAGAGCGACCGTCCCCTCGTGTTCCTCGGGAGCGCTGAGCTGGGCTGCTCTGCTGGGCAGGATTGCCTGCGAGAGGGAGGCAGCTCTGGTCCCTTGAAGGGGTTAACCCTCATTCCCCCCGGCCTCCTTTGACAACGGGAGCATGTCTGAAGTTTAATGGCGTGTTTGAGGCTGTGAATAATCCCTGTTCCTTCCTCGGCTGCAGCACAGGGGCCCTGGCACCTGCTCCCTTTGATCCCGCTTCGAGCCCCTGTGGTTCCCTCCTGGCCTGGGCTGGGCTGGCCTTTCCATGCCCTGGCTGGCAGGGAGAGCCCCGGCCCGTAGCCCCACGGGGTTTGCAGCATCCCGGGCGTAGGGTGCGATACGGTTGGGACACCCAGGAGCTGTAGGCAGCTCGAGAGAGACCTTGATGTACCGCGTGGAAGGTTCCGATCGTGTGAGGAGTCAGCACGAGCTCCGCCAAAGGGACGGGGGGAGGTTCCAGGTGCCTTTGTGAGCAGCCACCTCCAAAAGCGAGGCCGCAAGCAGAGAGCCAGCGAGCCTCGGAGAGCCCAGGGGGTGCTTGGCGCTGGGAGAAGTGCTCGGTGGTGGTCTGTGTGGTGTCCACCGGGATGGAGGTTTGCGAGGGTTTGGCCTGGTGACAGGCGTGCGTGGGGAAGGGGACGGTGCTGGAAGAGGGGAGGTGACCAGGATCCCTTTGCAGCGGGGTGGAGGTCTAGACAAGGTGGACCTGCTGCGCCCAGGACCGCTGGTGTGGTGACCACCGTGTCCCTGGCACTGGTTTGCCTGTGTTTAACTGTTGCCTCTCCGTGCCCTGTGCTTCCTTCCCGGCAGGCACTGACTTGTGTGGCTGCAGAGGATGAGGCGGCTTCGGACTCGGCTGCGGTGCCGGGAGGGAGTCTCCTGGAGCTGGAGCAGTACCGTGCTGGGCAGAGGAGGAAGCTGATGGTCCTGCAGCTCGTGGCCACGCTGTGTGAGAACGTCTCGGACACCGTGTTCACGGACGTTGCTCAGGTTGGTCATGGCAAAGCCCTGGGGGATCGGCAGCCGGAGCACGTGGCAGACCGAGCCCCGGGCCGCTGGGCTCTAAGGAGACAGTGGCTAAGAAACAGCTGGAGAAAGGTAGAGCATCCCCAGGAAAAGCGGTTTATTGATTCAGTCACAAGTGTCTCAACAAGGCACTGTCCTGTGCAGTGCCAGCAGGAAGGACAGAGGCAGCTGCAGAGACAGGAGGGAGCAGCCCAGCGGACGTCTTCGTGGTTGTGTCCGTGGTTGTGCACTAAAAGCCAAGAGAGTAGTCTGTGTGTTAATCAGAACTGTGACTCACCAGCTTCTCATCTTTATTTTGAGAAAAATTTTATTCCCAAGTTTAACAAAGCTTAAAGACATCCCTGCCCGACAGACCTTTTCCAGCGAGTGCTTGCTGCCTGTCCGTGGTGTTGGTGCCGGGTTTTTCTGGCACATCTTGGCAGCCACCTCCGGGAGCTGTGGTAGCTGGGCTGGCAGCTACCACAGTGGCACCGCGTCCCACTCGCCCCGTGTCCCCAAATTGGCCTGTTGTGGCTTTTCTCTGGTTTCTGCTGTGGGGCCGCCCGCGCTGGGTGGTATGTCCGGTCCTCGGGGTTGGCGTAACCGTGCCCGTACGGTCGGCACTTGTCCGCGTTTTCACGAATGGGCAGCTGCAAAATTTTTACGACAGATTGTGATTTCAAAGGCCACCTGGGGCTCCTTGAACCTGGTGCCGCGGAGGATCGTTAAAACACGGCGCTTCTGTCCGCCCTGAGCCCACGGCGCAGCAGCTGGGCCGGGTCGGGACTGCTGCTGGGTGCCGAGGGCAGCCCGAGGGCAGCACAGTATTCCCCAGCTGATCAGTGTATTTTAACTTCCTCATCCTGTTTGGTGGTTTTTGTTTTTTTTTTTTTTTTTTTAACTCAGTGACCTGGTTATGCCAGTTAACCGTGACTGGCTCAAGCGGAGGCGGTCACTGCTCACGCAGGTTTCCCCACTCTTCTCTTTGGGACAAAGGAGTCTTTGTTCTGCGCTCCGCGGTGACGGGGACCCGTCCCTCCACGCGGCCAGCGCCGCTTTGCCCTCACCTGCCTCTCCATCACACCCACCCGCGCGGGACCGGCCCCGCTCCCCGGATCAGAAAGTTGGGGTGGGAAGCACGGGAAGGATTTTGCCAGGTTTCTGCACCCAGCCGTGAGCCTAGGATAAAAAGAGCCCACCGCCGAAAAAGAAACGCGGACAAAAAAGCCATTATGCTCCCACCTGGGGGTTGTATTTCAGGGAGGGCTCCCTCGCGCCGGGACAGGCGGTTGCGGAGCTGTTTTTAAGCCGGTTCTGCAGCACGAGGTTCCTCCAGGACGTTTGTTCCTGCTGTGGGCACTCTGGTCCGTGGCTTTTGTGCTTAATGGGCTCGGAGGAAGTGGGGTCTGCCTTCCCAGAGCCAGACCCCGGGAGTGGCAGCAGCTGTGGACCCCCCCCACCTCAGTTGCACAATTTATTTTATTTACATTTCCCCACCCCCTCGCAACCAAGTTTCATGAGATTGACTTGATTTCCCTGATACACCAAGGGTGTTTTCCTCCTGCATGAGACAGAAATGTGCCCAAGTATTTTATTTTTCAAGCTTTTTTCCCCTTCCAGAATAGGATGTTTTTTTTTTTTTTTCCCTTTTAGATGAGGGTTTGTTTTTTTTTTAAATCTTTTGGTTTTTTTCTCAGTAGCTATCTACTGCTAGATTATTTGTTCATGATGTTCCTATTTTTTTGCATTAAATACCATTTCAACCCGTTCCGCTCGCGTGTCGCTGTTTTGTGAGAGCAGATGTTCAGACACTTGTTTTTACTCCGTATTCTTGCTGGTTGGTGGCGTTTCATTTCTGGCCTAAGCAGCCCAGAAGGTACCTCAGCCTTTGCTGCAGCCCCTCCCAGCCGGGCTCCCCCCTCGCTGCAGCAGGGCTGTGCCTAACGAAGCCGGCAGCGATCGGCTTTCCTGCTGATGGGGAAACCCGTTGCCTGCACTCAGTGCCTGTGCCCTGGAGGCTGGAAATGTGGGGTTTGGTGCAACAATACCTCGTTGCCCTTGTATTTTGTTTTCCCAAATAAGAGCAAAATAGTTCCTCTTCTTTTGCAACGGCGCCCTTCACATAGGAAGGACCCTGATCCAGCCCCTTCCCACCCCAGCTGGGTGCCAGCACAGCTGGCAAAGGCGGGGAGAAAATCAGCTCACTAATTTCAAGCTCCGTGAAAGGCAGGAAGCCTGTGGGATCAAAGATGTCAGCGCCAAGTGTCGAGAAGGCCAGCGGCAGCCAGGCAGGATCATTATGGGCTGGGGGGGGGGGGGAGTGGGTAAAAAAAAAAAAAAAACGTGTTGTGAGAAAATCGCAGAATAAGTGACACACGTGGTAAATGGTCTGGCTCCAGTCTCGGCTGCGGGGGGGTGACTGAGTGTGATGCTGGGGAGCTGTGGGGTGGGAGCCGGTGTGGGCTGGGGGCAACCCCGAAAAGGGCCGGGGGTTTTTCCCCCGAGCGTTGGGGGGGGGGGGGGATGCAGGCAGGCGTGATTTTTGGTGGGAGGGAGTAGGTGTATCTGAGCCCTGGTGCCCTCCCACCGCCCGCTCTTCGGCTCTCGCTGTCCCTGTTGGCACCTACTTCCATTTTCCAAGCCCGGGCCTTGCTCTAGCACTGTTTCGTAGAGGCAGCCGCCGCGGTTTAACCATGAGCTGGCCCAGCCCCGCTCCTCCATCCTCACCCGCCAGTTCACACTGGGGCTGGGCTACTACCACCCCCCCCGGGGCAATTGGCCCCTCTGTGCTGCTGCCGCCGGGGTGGGCAAGGGGTTCAGGGGCTGCGGCTCCCTCCTGCATCCCCAGCGGGGCTGCACCAGCACCCCAGCCCTCCCTCAGCTCCCCCGTGCTGCCAAAGCCGCTCGCCCAGGTCAGGGGGGAACCGGGAAGGGGCTGGGGTGGGTCTGGGAGGGATGGTCGGGGTCGGTGGCGACAGCAGGGAAACATGGAGGGTTTGTACAAAATCACGCGAGAGAAAAAGCTTGGGAAATTCAAATAGATGGAGAGATACAAGAGCTAAAGAGGGGGGGGAGGGGGCTGGCCCCCCGAGGTGCGGGCGGGGGTGGGCGGTGGCAGCACCCCGGGGATCCCCCCCCTTCCTCACTGCTCATCCCCGCGCTCTCCGCTGGCAGGTGGTGGAGTTGGTGGCGGCCACGCTGCAGCGGGCCCGCGTCAGCCCCGGCGCGGCGACCGAGCCGCAGACCCTCGCCATGGCCATGGGGCTCGTGGCCGCCCTGCTCGGCGGAGCCGTCCAGGTGAGGGGGCCAAGCCGGGGGGGCTCGGCGGTCTTGGGGTGCAGGGCGGGGGGAGACCGGGCACCGCGCCCGGCCGGGGCTGCTCCCTGGGTTGGGGTCCCCGTTCACCCCCTCAGTGTATACATATATTTTTTTTTTTTCCCCTCGGAGCAGTGCCAGGGTGCTGGCTGAGGGTTTGATCCCAGCAGGGCAGCCCTGAAAACCTCATTAATTAATTTATAATCCCAAATCTGCTTCCGAGAAGGCGCCGACGGAGCAGTGCAGTCGCGTACAGCGTCTTTAAATGCCAGCTCTGCGTCCCTGCACGGCCACGCTCTCCATCTCCGGAGCACAACGGACTTCCCAGGGTGGGCTGTACCGTTCTGGAAAGTCTTTTATAAAAAAAGGCACATCACTGGGTCACCCGGATTGTGCGGTGTCGGCTGAGCTGCCACCGGGGAGCCACCGCACGTTCGTTAGTGCGCTGTAATCGCTCCGGCTTGCGCTTACATCACGGAGCTGCTGGGGTTGCTTCATCCCCGGACTTGCCCAAAGGAAAATCCAACTGTTAATGGAAAAAGATAATTCATTGTGTCTTATTGCTGCATTCCTAACGTTGGGAAAAGAGCATTATTTAGTTGGAGAAAACTTAAAACCAGAGTCTTGTGGCTCTAATGGCCCCCTCCCAGGCGAGCTCCTGCTCCCGCTCTGGCGTTAATGGGAGCAACTTAACTCGGCAAATTGAATGCAAAAGGTTTTGGAGGCAGCTGCAAAGCTGTTTGGGTTTCAATGGCCAGGGTTGTTTTTTTGTTTCTTCGGGTTTTTTTTTACACAATCGTCCAAAAGCTCCCCAAAATTTCCACTAAAGCCTCACTTTTCAGGTCTTACAACCCAGATTTTGCTGAAGCAGTTAAACCCGGGTTAGGGCAGGAACTTGTCCCCCGCCTCGGGCACCGCAGCCTCGGGACAGGTCGCAGCTGCCTTGCTGGGAGCTTCCTTCCAGGCAGGACGGAGGGACAGCCCGGCACGGACGGCGGGAGGGATGTCCCCAGTTCAGCCCCGCACAGAAACAGCTCTCCTCTGGGCTTCCCACCTTCTCCCGTGGCACCCCAGGTCCTGACTGCTCCTGGCTTCTGCCCTGCCAGAGATGCCGCGGCTGGGATCAGCGCTGGGGCCAGTGGAGCTCGTGGCGATGGGAGCCCGGCTTGTGGGGTGGGGACGGAGGGTGGCCGGCTTGCCGTGGGGCTACAAAACCTCCTCTGGGGCTCGTGCGGCTCTGGGCTGCCTGCCTGCCTTGCCACGAGCACCCCGGGGAGCAAAACCTCCGTTGCGGAGGTGCCAGCGCGGCTTCTCTCCCCTTTGCAGCTGCGATCCAGCGACTTCGCGGCGCTGAAGCGGCTGGAGCCGTTGCTGGAGGAGCTCTCCCGCACCTACCCCGAGCCCCTCACCCAGGAGCTGGCCGCGGACCTGCGCATCGCCATCTGCACCCACGGGGCCTTCTCCCCCGGGACGGTGGGCGCCGCTGCCGGCGGCGTGCGGGGGAAGAAGCCGGGGATGGGAGCGCAGAGCCCTGACGGCGTCCCCGGCAGAGCCCCGAGGCAGCGGCACGGCCGCAGCAGCCCCTCGGCTCCCGGCGAGAGGAGCGAAGAGCAGAGGACGTGCCAGGAGCCCAGCGCCACGGAACCCGCTCCAGCCCCGTGTGCCGGCAGCCCGGCCCCAGTTGGGCTCCAGGAGCTGCTGGTATCAGCCTACGACCCCCAGCCCCCCGCCCGGGCGGCCGCCCTGCGCTGCCTGGCCCGCCTGATCACACAGCGGGATCCGGAGGCGCTTCAGCTTCAGGAGAAAATCCTGCAGGTACCAGGCTCCTGCCACGGTCCCCATCCTGCGCCGAGGCGCAGAGCTGGGGCTGAGCGTGCCGGCGGGCTGGGGACGGGCCGTGCTACCGGAGCCCTCCCCGACTTCGCCATCGCCGTTGGCTGAAGGCGCCAGGCGAGAGGCACCAGGGCTGCTTCCCTCTCCTCGCAGGTGTTCCTGGAGAACGTGCAGCACGAGGACGCCTTCGTCTACCTCTCGGCCATCCAAGGTGAGCGACGCCCGGCCGGGGCGAGTGCCGGCGCTTTGTAGGAGAAGGTTTTGTGCTGGGGGGGGGGGTTTTCTTTGGGCGGTGAGAGTGGAGAGCAGTGGAGCTGCAGCTGGGCGGGGGGCTCAGCATCTCCTGCCCTCCCTGGGCCGTGTCTTTGTGCCGCTCGGTCGAGCCTGGAGCTGCGGGCGGGCTCTGGGCCACGTTCCCGAAGCCGGTGGGCTTCGTCTCGCAGTCAGAGGACACCCAGGAGCCGGTCGCCGTCCCTGTGCCAGGTCCGTGCCACCAGCCTGGCGCTGCGGTTTCAGCACGGTGTGGGCGCAGCCCCGGCCCCCCAGCCCTGCACCCGCCTTACAGTTTGGCTTGCTGGTCTGTTCAGCTGAGGCTGGCAGAGGAGCTGGGGCCGTGGGCACCCACCAGTGCTCCGCTGGGGCTCTGCCATCCCCACGGCCAAGGCGGGAACCACCGACCGGTGCCGACCGGCTGCGTGGATGTGGACCCACGGGAGCGTTTCCCGGGTCGGTTCCCCGATCCGTCGCGTCTCCCAGCCTCACAAATTGTTGCCCCTGCTGACGGGGGGGAGGGCGGCGGTGGGCACGCTCCCAGCCCCGGCGCTGGTCCCGGCGGGCAGCGGGCTGGCCGGAGAGCAGCGCGCCGCTCTGCTTGCTGCTGGCTGCCCCGCTCCCCTCGCCGGGGCTGCCGCCGCGGCCACCGAGCGCCGCCGCGCCCGCCGCTTCCCGGGAAACCCTCGGGGTCCACGCTTGCTCCGGCTCCCACGGCACCGGGATGCCCCGTCGGGATCGCAGGCCGGTGCCTCCGCACCCGGGATGGCGCCGGTGGCCTGCACGACAGCAGGTCACAGTGCACCGGGTGACATGGAAGGGAGGTGCCATTCCCGGGTCCCCAGGCGATGCCGGCACTGCCGGGAGCCCCGGTGGGGTAGGTAACCTTCAGCGGCAGCTGGAAAAGGAGCTTATCGCTGTGCTTCCCTCTGCCTGTACGGTCTTGAGTGGGACGGGTCTGTCCTTGCCCTGCAGGTGAAACACGAACGCTTCAACCGTCCCCCCGGTGATTAATACGCCCTGTGCAGCTGCCTCCGTGTTTCGCAGCCCGGCTGCGGTTGTGATTAACCCTGACGCGGTTCCTCGCGGCGGTGACTCGCCCAGCCCCTGCCGCGCCGGCAGCGGGACCCGCGGCGTGCCGTGCGCGGTGCCAGGCCGGCTCCCCGCTGCCCCGGTCGGGCTCCCCACCGCGGCCGCAGGGCTTGCCGCGCTGGGGCTGGGGCCGGAGCTGGCTGTCGCGGCGCTGCTGGTTCTCAGAGAGCCGGGCTCCGGCGAGGTGATGCCAGAGGAGAGGTCACTGCCCTGCCAAGACGCGCCCGGGCTTGCAGGGGGTAACCCACACCGGGCACCTTCCGATAACCGGGGAACGGGGTAGGAGGTGAAGGCGGCTGCTCCTGGAGGGCAGGGGAGCTGGGGCTCACCGTGACTCAGCGCTTGGCACTGCCGCAGCAGTTCTCCGCCGCTCGCCCTTTCCCTGGAGAGCGGCTGCCTTTCCCCAGCAGAGAGGAGCCGGGCTTTGCCGGAGCCCTGCCCGGCGCTTGCCCCAATCCCGCGTCTCCAAAGGGAACGGCGAAGCTGGGGCAGCCCCGCGGCATCACCCGGCACGCATCCCGTGTCTGGGGTCTGACCCTTCTTCATCCCTGGGTGGGTGTGGCAAACGCAGGGCGCGCTCGGGCTCCCAGCCTGGTGCAGGCAAACCCCGGAGCTTTGGACAAGGACAGGCCAGCAGCGTGTGCCCGATAACCGGGAGCAGCGACCACACACTGCGCCCGAGCATCACCTGCGGCACCCAGCTGCCCCAGCCCGGGGCGAGCCCCGCAGCCTCCGGCGGCTGACGCGCCAAGCCGATGCTCGGTCAGTGATCGTTAACCAGCAACAATTAGCGGGCACCTGCTGCCAGCTGCCAAATGATTTATTTTCCAGCTCGGCACCCAACCAGACCCAGCGCCGCGACTGGGGCTGCGGGGTGTGCCGCGGGGCCGGGGCGACGCAGGGGTGTCCCGTGGGGGACGGCTGCGCCCGCTTGCACCGGGGACGCCGGGGTGGCGCAACCGCTGACCGGGGTGGTGGCACGTGCCATCCTCGTGCCGGGTGCTGACCCGTGCTTTCCCCTCGCTCTCCCCCCAGGCGTTGCCCTGCTCTCCAGTGAGTACCCGGAGCGGATCCTGCCCATCCTGCTGGCACGGTACGGGTGCCCGGCGCAGGGCACGGAGGACGCCGCGGCCGCCGTCACCAGGATGAAGCTGGGCGAGGTGCTGATGCGTGTCACCCGGGCGCTGGGTGAGTCCACAGCCAGCACGGCAGCGCCGGCCGCTGCCGCCAGCCGCAGCCACCGCTCAGCCCCTCGCTGCTCTCTGCCGTGCCGCCAGGTCCAGGGGGGAAAAGCCCACGGGGGCTTTTTGTTGTCTGAAAGCGAGAACCAGCTCCCACGGCCCCGCCGCGGCGGCTCTGGAAGCCGAAGGGCGGCTGGCCGGTGTTTGCCGGCGGGCAGGAGCGGGGCAGCGGATCCAGCCGGCAGCCCACCGTCCCCTCGGCCGGCAGCGCCGGGCTCGGAGGCTGCCGGGAAGCGCCCGGACACGCAGGGCTGAGGGGTAAAAGCTGGATGAGGCCTTTCCGGCAGCCGCTGTTGGGACACGTCCTAAAACGCCTCATTTTATTCCCTGGCAGAGGCCGGGCCAGAGAGAGCGTGCAGCCGGAGCTCTCCGTGACCAACGTGGCTACCGGAGTGTCCGCAGTCCCCGGTGGGCTGTGGCAGATCCAACATCCCCTTGCAGTGCCCGGGCAGCCCGTGCCCCACGGCTGCAGCTCCCGTGGGGCTGTGTTGGCTGCCTGAGCCGCCGGAGCTCTGCGTGCCCTGGCCGTGGGGGCATCCCTGAGCTCTGCCGGCTGCGGGCATCCCCCCGGGGCTGGTGCTCCCCGGGCCAGCCCGTGCCGCTCCGGGGATGAGGACGGGGCATCCTCCGGGCCAGAAATCCCCTCATCCCCCCGCCGTGGAGCTCCCACGAGCGGTGTGAGCGGCGGCAGAGCCTCTTGGGCTCTGAAAACCCCTGGGCGATGTCCGTGCGTCCGGCTCTCGCCTCGCCCGGGTTTCCCTCGGCGGCTGCCCACGGCACGGCTGGCAGCAGGACGGCGGGCACGGCCTCCGCTGCGGCTCTTCCCCCCTCCCCATGGTGCCTCTGCCACAGGCAGCGACTCCGGCACGTCCCGGCTCGCCTACGTATTTATAGAACAAACCGCACAAAGTTGTTTTTGTTGCAAAGCTTCAAGATTCGAGAGCGAGGATTTAGCCGGCGCTTCCAGAAACGCTCTGCTCCGGGCGGCAGCGCTGCTGCGGGTCGGAGCTCTCCTGCTGCTGCCTGGGGACCGCCGTGCCTCCCTCCCGCCCCGTCCCCGTCCCCAGCCCTGCCTGCCGTCCCACTGGAGCGGCTTTTTCCCATCGGGGAGGGGATTTTGGAGCGGGTGCCTATCGCCTGGCAAACAGCCGGCACGGGCAGGGTGGCTGGAAGCCCCGTCCCCAGCGCGCGGCGTCGTTCCTCTGCCTCCAGCAACGCGGGGCCGAGCGCCGCGCGAGGGTTCGTGGAGACCTTGCGCCCATCCAATTAGTTTTCTTTGCAAACCCGTTAAATCCGCTCTGGGTGCATCACAGCAGACCTTTTCCCTTCTCCGTTGGGGAGCGTGGGCCTTGCTTGCTGCGGGAAAGGAAGCGCTTCGTGCTCTCCCAGTGGCCGCCCAGCACGGGGCCGGTTGCCGTTTGGCTTTAGAGGGGCTGCATCATGCTCCAGCGCGCCAGCGCTGCTGGGACGGCCATCACCCCAGCTCCTGGGCTGCAGGCACGGAGCAGGCTGCGTTCCCGAGCAAGCGTGGCCGTCCTTGGCATCCCGGTGCTGCCCCCAGCCCTCCCACCCTGCGCTGCACAGGAGCCCTCCCTGCCCCTCGGCGCACATGGGCCTGTGGGAAGTCTCCGGGACTGTCCGGCTCTCGGCCACTGCATGCCGAATTTCTCCTCCTTGCGTGCAGCCGGTGCCGGTGGCACGGGGGTTGGCCGGTCCCCAGCCCCTCGCAGCCGCAGGGTGCACCCCGTGGGCAGGGTGATGGGGTCCCCCCGCTCCCCCCAGGGGTTGTTCCCATCCCCGGGGCAGCGTGGAGCATCCCACTGCCTCCATCAGCTGCACCGCGCCGGTGTCCGAGGAGCTTCCAGAGCTCGGGAAAGCCGGGAAACCACCGCGCTCACGGGCTGGTGAGCCTGCCAGAGCCTCCGGCGAGTGCCGGAGCAGCGGGAGGGCCACGTGCCCCCGTGATTGTTCATGCTGGTCACGGGCTCCACGCACCCACCTCTAATTAGGCGGCTCACGCATCTGCGACGCCTCCATGTGCTAATTGGGGGGGGGGGTGGGGGGGAAGTCGTGGGGCTGAATTATGTGTGAATTTGGGCTTCGCGCTTCGTTTGGATGTGCTGATTCTGCGATGGGCCCCGCGGGGGCGGGGGGGATGTGGGATGGGGGGGGGGACACCGGCCCCAGACAAAGGTGTTTGCGGTGGGGTGCGTGCCGTCGGGATTTGCTGGCGCCCCAGTGTCCTTGTCCCTGGCACCACGGCGGGTCCCCTGCTCAGAGCTGCGCCGGGCACAAGCCGTGCTCCAGATGTTGCATCCAGCTGTGGAGCGGTGCTGCAAGGAGGGAGGGGGGTCCAATCTGGCTGCTCCCAGCGGAGCGGGGGCTTTGGCAGGAAGGGGCCGTGGGCTTTTCCTCGCCCGTGATGTGCCGCTCTGCTCTCTCTTGCAGGGGACATGGTGGCCAAGCACCGGGAGCCGCTGGTCCAGGCCTTTCTGCGGGGCGCGCGGGACCCCGACGGCGCGCTGCGGGCCAGCAGCCTCTCCAACCTGGGCGAGCTCTGCCAGCACCTCGGCTTTCAGCTGGGCTCCGTCATCCAGGAGGTACCGGCGCCGCGCTCGTTAACGAGGGCGGTTCGTTAGCGGATGGCAGGGCTGCTGAGCGCTGGCTGCTGGGGACACGACAGCCTGGGGGGGTTTCCGTAAAGGATGTGGATGATATTTGCTGATGTTGCAGGGCGCAGAAGCCCTCCGACCTGAAGCAAACACTCGGGAGATTCTAGCCCTGATTTTTTAGGGCTAAAAGCTTTATAATTAGCTAAAGATGGCGCTGGTGCAGGGAAGCGGTAGCTGAAGGAAAGGCAGCGGTGCCTGCTCCACCCGTGGCAATCGCGCGGCGGGAGGAGACCCGGGGGGGCACGGTTAGGACCTGCCAGCGGTGCCTCCTCCTGCTTAATGAGACCTCGTTACCCTTCCCGTTAGCAGGAGGCAGCTGGCGGGTGCCAGGCACCCAAGCTGTGGTGCCCGTGGGGTGAGCCTGACTCCGGGGTGGGGGACTTCACCCTAAAGAAGAGCTGGGAGCCACCGGCATCACCGTCCAGCAGCCCCCAAGCTGGCGGGTCTGTGCCCCCCCCCCCGCCCCGAGCCAGAACTTCGGCCCCCGGTGCCTCCCAGAGTGAGGAGGAGGAGGAGGAGGGGGGTCAGGAGACATGAAGGACGCGGCGCTCGGCCTCTTCCCCAGTCCCCGCTTGGCATCGGGGAGGGGGGTTGGGGGGGCACCGGCGGCGTTCGATGAGCTGCCGCTGCACCGCGGGGCGGCTATTTCGGGAACACGCTAGCTCTGCTAATTCTCCCGGCTGTCGCTGCCAGAGGGGTTTAATGAGGTGCCTTCGACTCTGCCCGCCTGTCACAAAGCTGTGCGAGGCGGCTGCGTGAGGGCGGGGGGCTGGGTGCCCCCACAAAAAGCCCATCCCCACCATTTGGGTGCCGGGCGCGGGGGTCCCATCCTCATCCTCCAGCCCCAGGCTACCGAGGGCCATCCCCGCCCCCGGGGTCTGCCGGGTCCCCCCCACCCCTGCTGACACCCCACCGCCACCCCGTCCCCACAGGTCACCTCCTGCTTGACGGCCATCGCCAAGACGGACCCCGAGGCGGAGGTGCGCAGAGCCGCCGTGCACGTGGTGGTGGTGCTGCTGCGGGGGCTCAGCGACAAGGCCACCGAGGTGGGTCACCCCCCCACCCCCCCCACCCCGTGCTCCATCTGTCCCCAGGGGTGGGGACAGCCACCGCCAGGCTCCTGGGCATCCCTGGGCACCCGCACGGTGCTCCTCGGGGACGGCCCCTGCCCCGCAGGGGGCTGCAGGGCTCATTCCCAGGCGGCTTCCAGGGAAATTCCCGTGAAACCAGCACCTCCGGCTTGTGCCTCCCCCACCAAAGAGCCCCCCCCAGGTGCTGGATCCTTCCCGGGGCAGAGGGGACTTCGGAGCTGCTGGGCCGTGCCGTCAGGCAGTGCCATGCCGTGCCGCGGGGCGCTGCCAGCTTTCGGGAGCCGTGGGAGTTGTTTTGTCACTGATTTGACTTGGAAATGCCCAGTTTTTTCCGTGGGCCGCGGCCTCCCCCCCCCCCCCCCCGCCCCGGCTTCCCAGCAACAAGCGTGTTGGGACTCAGCTCCCATGGAGGAAACGGCCGGTTCCCCGCGGGAATCCCCGCAGCAGGGATCTCGGCTTTCCCTCGTGCCCCCGCGCCGGGGGGGGCGCCGGCGGTGCGCCGCTGTGCCGGACGGTGCTGCTGGCGTGTGGGGAAACTGAGTCACGGGAGGGCCGGGGCTCACGCCGGAGGCAGTGCGGTGGGTGCTTGGTGGTGGTGGTGGTGGTGGTGGTGGTGGTGGTGGTGGTGGTGCTGCCACGTCCTGGCACCGGCGGCAGCGGCGGTGGAAGGGGCAGCGCCCAGGGTTTGTGTTTCGGGTCGTGGGCGGGCGAGCCGCCGGCGGGCGCTGACGGTTCCCGCTGCCCAGGTGCTGCGGGACGTCCTGCGGGATCTCTACCGCCTGCTGAAGCACGTGGTGACGGCCGAGCCCGACGGCGCGACGGTGCTGCACGCCCAGCTGGCGCTGGAGGAGCTGGACGCGGGGATGAGGAGGGTCCTCTTCCCCCCGCAGGCGCTGGAGAAGAAGATTGTGGTGCTGCCATAGCGGGGCCGGGGCTGCGGAAACGAACTCCTCCTGCTCCGGCGGCGGGGCCGAGCGGCTCCCCGAGGGGACGGGGTCGCTGTGCCCCCCCGAGATGCCGCCGGCGGGTGCCGGCCGGGGCGGGTGGGCTGGCTGGGACAGGGCAAGGGATTAAACAAAGATTTTTTTTTAAACGCGCAGCCCTGCGCCCGTCATGTCTCCGGGAGCCATGTGAAGCCCCTGGGTGCCATCGTGGCCGTGTCCCCCCCCTCCCCGTGCTCGCTCTCGAGTGCTTGTGGCGGTGGCAGCGGTGCCGAGCCCTGGCGAGCCCCTGGGTCCTGCGGGAGGGTGGGCATCAGCCCCCGGGGCCCCCAGAGCCCCCAGCCCCTCCGCTGTCTGCACCCCCCAGTGTGAGCAGCCCCACGCCCCGGCCCTGGCTGGCTCCCCCTCAGCACCGAGCTCACACCACGGCAATTCTGGGGGGGTCCTAGGGCTGCTGGGGGTCCCTGGGGTTGCTGGGGGGGGGGTCCTGGGACTGCTGGGGGTCCCTGGGGGTGCTGAGGGGGGGTCCTGGAACTGCTGGGGGTCCCTGGGGATGCTGGGGGGCCTCTGGGACTTCTGGGGGTCCCTGGGGATGCTGGGGGGGGGGTCCTGGGACTGATGGGGGTCCCTGGGGATGCTGGGGGGGTTCTGGGGATGCTGGGGGGGGTACTGGGAGTGCCAAGCTGGCCGGCAGCTCTCACACACTTGCACACGGGCTGCCGGGTGCCCACAGGCGTGGGGGGAGCTTTTATGGGTGCCAGCCCTGGGAAAGAGCCGGGGACAGTCCCTGGAGGTAACAGCTGAGCCAACTTCCAAATGTGATTTTTAGCCAAATCCGTGTGATTTTTCCCGGGGGGGAGGGTGGGGGGTGGGGGGAGGCAGAGGGAAGCAGAGCCGGGTGTTGCGCCCATTCCTGGGGTCCCCCTCTCCGCAGGGTCTGAGAAAGGCAGCCCTTCCACCGCGGCACCAGGAGCCCCCACCGTGTCGGGGCTGCCACCGAGTGCTCGGGGACACCCCAGCGTCGGGGTCCCCCCTCCCTCCTGCCGGGGCAGCCCCCATGGGTGCTGCAGCACCGCGGGCCCCGCTCCTGTGCCGGGAGCTGCCCTGCACGCACCGGGCGGGGGGAGCAGGGCTGGGAGTGCTGTGGGGTCACACCAGAGCCCGGAGCCCCCCCCCCCTCACTGGGCAGCCCCCAGCCCCGCTCTGCACAGCCCCAGGGACCCGTTTCCCAGCTGCCCCACGCCGTGCCGTGCCGGATGGTGTGAGGGGCCCAGCACCCCCCTTCCCCGCAAGGTTGGGGGGTGCTGGGCTGTGTCTCCACCCCCAGCGAAGCCGCCTGTGCCAGGCCCACACCTCGCCGTGCCGTGCCGTGCCGAGTGTGCACGGGCAGCGGGGAGCGCATTGTCCTCGCTCCTCCTCGCTCTCGCTGCCGCCAGCCCACACCGGTGCCGCGGCCGGGATGCTGCCGTACCGGCTGTGCCTCCCCAGGGCCTGCCGCCAGCGGCAGACGACGGTTTTTGAATTAAAAAGTCTCTTTTGATGCCGCTGGCCGGGTGCCGTCCGGTTGTCCTGCTGCGGGGAACAAGGAGGTGGCGGTGCCGGAGGAGGAGGGAGTTTGGTTCCCACCGTGGGCAGCGCTCCTGCGGCCAGCAGCGGGGAGAGGTGCCCGGCAGCCGCGGCCGCACCGAAAGGTAAGGGGCCACGGGGCAAACCCTGGGGCTGGCTCCCTGCCGAGGGCCGTGGGGAGGGCTGCAGGGTGGGGACGTGCTGCCCCTGGCCCCCGGCCCCCTCCCGGTATCCTGCAAAGTGGCACCTGCAGCCGCGGGGTCCCCGTGTGTGCCCAGCAGCGCCGCAGCGGCGGCACCGGCACAACCATGCCGGGTCTGACCCCGCGGCGCTGGGTTTCGCACCTCCACGCCCCACTGGTGCCGGGCTCAGTGGGGACCTGTGGGAGCCCCGCCAGTGGGACTGAGGGTCCCGGTATGTCCCAGCCCTGAGCCCACCGTCCACGGGCTCACCAGTTCCTCGCCACCCATTCCGGGCGCTGCTCCAGCACCTATGGTGGGGAGTTCCCAGCCGGCATCACCGCGGTGCCGGGGGCTTCAGCCGAGGGTGCTCCTGTCAGAGGGATCCCCTTGCCCGGCTCCTGGGGCCAGGAGGGTGTGGGGCTCATCCCGGTGTCCCCTCGCACCCGGCTCCCATCCCAGCAGGACGTGATGGCCTGTATCAGGGTGAGGAACCCAAAAACGCTGGATTTGAGCCCAAAGGTGGTTGGCCCCTGCCATCAGCCTGGCACAGGGACATCGTGTGCGACCAGCGCGGGGTTGCTGTCCCCAGGGTGGCCCTGCCCATGGGGACAGGGTGACATGGCAGGGCAGGCCCTGGGGGGTCCTCAGGTGGTTCATAGCTACGGGGGGGGGGGACACGGTGGCACGGGGAGGTGACGCGTAGGTTACACGTGGGCATCATGAGAGGGGCCCAAAGAGCGGGGTGGGGGGACAGGAGGAGATGGAGTGGGCCTGGTGGGGGGCACAGGGGGACCCTGAGGTGTCCCTGGGTGTCCCAGCGCCGCGCTGGATAATGAGCTGTGGCCGGTCCCTGGTGCGGTGCTGTGCCAGTGCTGTGGTGCCTGCCGCCGTGCAGGGGGATGCCGGTGCAGCACCGGTGCCGGGTGATGTTGGTGCCAGGTGATGCCGGTGCCAGGTGATGCCGGTGCCAGGTGATGCCCGTGCCAGGTGATGCCGGTGCCGGTGCAGCACCGGTGCCAGGTGATGCCGGTGCCGGGTGATGCTGGTGTCGGTCCCGGTGCAGCACCAGTACCGAGCGATGCCAGTGCCGGTGCAGCACCGGTGCAGAGCGACGCCGGTGCCGGGTGATGCCAGTGCCGGTCATCGCTCCCGCAGTGCGGGGCTGGGGCCGGTGCCAGGTGCTGCCGGTGCCGGGCGGGTCCCCGCGGGCTGCGGGCGGTGCCGGTGCCGGGGGTGGTGCCGGTGCCGCCGGTGCCGGTGCCGGTGCCGGGCGGGGCCCCCGCGGGCTGCGGGCGGTGCCGGCCCCGCCGCGGTATAAAAGGGGCCGCGCGGGCCGGGCCGGGCTCACAGCGGCGGCGGCGGCGGCCGGGGCGAGCGGCAGCACCGGCACCAGCACCGTGAGTCCCGGTCCCTCCTTCTCCCTCCCGGTTCGGGGGGCCCCCCCCCTCCCCGCTCCCGCGGCGTTCTGAGACCAGCCGCGGCTCCACCGGGAGCCGGTACCGGCTGCACCGGGGGCTGCGGGGCCCGGGGAGGGTCTGGGGTTGCCCGGGGAGGAGCTGCCGGTGGCGCGGGGGTCCCTGGCTCTGGCTCTGCCCGCGGCTCTGCGCCCTGCCTCCATCCCCTGCCTGCACCCCCTCGCGTGTCCGTGCACCACCACCCCCCCCCCCCTCCCCTGCCTGCACCCCCTCCCTTGCCTGCACCCCCCGCCCCGCCGTGCAGCTCCGCAGTCCCCGCCGCGTCCTGCCCGCGCTGCCTGTCCCCGGGTCCCCGTCCTGCAGCGGGGTGGGGGGCCGGGTGCTGCCGCCCACGCTGCCTGGGGCGGGGGGGGGCCGGGGGTCCCTCCACAAGGCGGTCGGGGTGGCCGGAGCTGGGGGTGGGGTGGGGGCTCTGGGTGGCCGTGCCCTGAGTCCCCGACATCCCCGTGCCCTTCCCTGTCCTCCAGCCCGGCCATTGCCCGTGTCCCTGCTGGGCAGGATGGGGCTGGGCTGTGGGTGCCGGCACCGTGCACAGGGGGATGCTTGGGCCCCCCCCCCCCCCCCCAGCCCCCACGTGAGGTGCTGGGGAGGTCTCACCCCCAAACTGGTGACCGTTGAGAGGCAGGGTGGCCCCCGGGGAGCCCTCAGCTCTGCCCTGATGCTGCCCGGTGTGTCTGTCCCCCCACCCCAGATGCCAGTGAGCCTCTCCACGGCCCTGCGCGTCGTCGGGACCAGCCTCTTCGCCTTGGCGGTGCTGGGGGGCATCCTCGCCGCCTACGTCACGGGGTACCAGTTCATCCATACGGAGAAGCACTACCTCTCCTTCGGGCTCTACGGGGCCATCCTGGGGCTGCACCTCTTCATCCAGAGCCTCTTCGCCTTCCTGGAGCACCGGCGCATGCGGGGCGAGGGGCGGCCGGTGCGGCTGGGGCGCTCGGTAGCCCTCTGCATCGCCGCTTACCAGGAGGATCCCGACTACCTGAAGAAGTGCCTGCACTCCGTCAAGCGCATCGCCTTCCCCGACCTCAAAGTGGTGATGGTGGTGGACGGGAACGGCCCCGACGACACCTACATGCTGGACATCTTCCACGACGTGATGGGCTCCGAGCGCTCGGGCAGCTACGTCTGGAGGAGCAACTTCCACGCGCGGGGCGAGGGGGAGACGGAAGCCGGGCTGCGGGAAGGGCTGGCCCGTGTCCAGGCGCTGGTGCGAGGCAGCACCTACTCCTGCATCCTCCAGAAGTGGGGCGGGAAGCGGGAGGTGATGTACACGGCCTTCCGGGCGCTCGGAGACTCCGTGGACTACATCCAGGTGGATGCAGGGGCCGGGCGAGCAGCTGGGGGAGGTGGGAGGAGGGGGGGGGGACACGTGGGCACGCTGAGCCTGCGGAAGCCCCAGGTGCTGGATCCAGCACCGGGGTTGGGGGCAAAGTGTCACCAGGGTTGGGGGCAAAGTGCCACCAGGGTGGCCTGAGGGGTTGAGCCCTGCCTGCGAAGGGTCGGCATCACCTCCTCGGCGCATCCTGCCGCCTCAGGCTGGAGTCACCCCGTGTGGCACCGTGCAGGGTGCCGTGCCCCCGTGCCGTGGGTGAGGGGTGGTTGCTGGGGCAGGTCCCTCTGTGGTGGGGCTGGGTGGCCCGGGGCCACGGTGGCCAGGCACCGCGGGACGCCCCGCTCCCCGCCACTGCCTGCCGGTCTCCGGAGCTCTGCCTCGTCTCGCCGGCCGCGGCACGGGCTTGCCCGGCTGCGGGTTGGGCTGTCTGCCGGGGCGCGCGTGGGCGGCGGGAGCGGGGCTCGACGTTCCCTCTTGCCCCCAGGTGTGTGACTCAGACACGGTGCTGGACCCCGCCTGCACCGCCGAGATGCTCCGCATCCTGGAGGCCGACCCCCGCGTCGGCGGCGTTGGCGGCGACGTCCAGGTACCCCAGCCGTGAAGGAGGGCACCCGGGGCGGGGGGGGGCGGAGTGGGGGGGTTTTCAGTGGTGTTTGGGCTCACATCCGTCCCCTCCCCAGATCCTAAACAAGTACGACTCGTGGATCTCCTTCCTGAGCAGCGTGCGGTACTGGATGGCCTTCAACGTGGAGCGCGCCTGCCAGTCCTACTTCGGGTGCGTGCAGTGCATCAGCGGGCCCCTGGGCATGTACCGCAACGCCCTGCTGCAGCAGTTCCTCGAGGACTGGTACCACCAGACCTTCCTGGGCAGCAAATGCAGTTTCGGGGACGACCGGCACCTCACCAACCGCGTGCTCAGCCTGGGCTACCAGACCAAGTACACGGCTCGCTCCAAGTGCCTGACGGAGACGCCCACCCGCTACCTGCGCTGGCTCAACCAGCAGACCCGCTGGAGCAAGTCCTACTTCCGCGAGTGGCTCTACAACGCCCTGTGGTTCCACAAGCATCACCTCTGGATGACCTACGAGTCGGTGGTGACCGGCTTCTTCCCCTTCTTCCTCATCGCCACCGTCATCCAGCTCTTCTACCGCGGCCGCATCTGGAACATCCTCCTCTTCCTCCTGACGGTGCAGCTGGTGGGCATCATCAAGGCCACATACGCCTGCTTCCTGCGGGGCAACGCCGAGATGATCTTCATGTCCCTCTACGCCCTCCTTTACATGTCCAGCCTGCTGCCCGCCAAGATGTTCGCCATCGCCACCATCAACAAGTCCGGCTGGGGCACCTCGGGGCGCCGGACCATCGTGGTTAACTTCGTGGGGCTGCTGCCAGTGTCGGTGTGGGTGGCTGTGCTGCTGGGCGGGCTGGCCTACACCGCCTACAGCCAGGACCTCTTCAGCGAGACCGAGGTGGCCTTCCTCATCTCGGGTGCCATCCTCTACGCTTGCTACTGGGTGGCCCTGCTCACCCTCTACCTGGCCATCGTGGCCCGGCGCTGCGGCAAGCGGCAGGAGCAGTGCAGGCTGGCCTTCGCCGAGGTCTGACCGTGGCCGCGTGTGCCGGGGCGACCGTTCCTGTTCCCCTCCTTGCCCAGCCCCGGCACAGCCGGCACTGAGCCATCGGGTGCTGGGCAGCGCTGAGCGCGCCCGCCGTGGCGTTTCTGATCAAGTCTCGCATTTTTGTTGTTGTTTTGGTTTGTTGTTTGTTGTTGTTGGGCTTTTTTTTTTTTTTTTCCCCCCTTATTCTTTTCATATTTCTGTACAAAACGGGCGGCTGGCCGGGGAGAGGCCGAGCCGGGGCTGCCCGTCACCGGGCTGAGCACGGTGTCGGTGCTGCGGGGATGCTGGCAGCGTCCCCCCCCCCCCCCCCCAGCATCCCGGTGTGCTGCGCGGAGCGCTGCTGGCCGCGCTCCCCCCGCCGCGGCTGGGCCCTCCGCCCTTCGGTGCTTTCTGTGGGGACGTCACTGTCCCCCCGACCCCACGGTGCTACAGCAAAAGGGCCCCATGCGGCCCCGTCTCCGTCCGTCGCTGCGCTGGCACCGCCGGCTGCTGTATGTGCAGGCACGTACCCACGGGGAGCCCCCCACAGCTCCCCCCAGCCCCTTTTGGGGGGGCCAGGCTGCCCCGGGAGGGCAGCACCTCTCTTCAGCTTTGCCAAAGACCCAAGGGGGGACCCTGGCACGCAGAAACTGGGTACCAACCCCATTCCAACCCCGCTGCCTCCCTGGCGTCTGTCTAGACAGCGAGGAGACGCTGGGTTTTGGGCTGGGGCACGTGGAGGAGGGCGGGGAAGAGCCGGTTCCCAACCTTTTCCCTCCCCTGGGGAATTCACCTGGTCGTCTCCCCTAGGCCCTCTTTTTTTCAGGGCTTAAAAACCTTTCTACGATTGAGCTTTTAGATTGTTTTGTTTAATTTAATATGAGGTTTTTTAGGAGACTTTTGTAGCTCTTTGGTATTCATACTTATTGCTAATTGTTTGTAAATCTATTTATTTTTTAACCTGCGGGGTTTTTTTTCATATTTTGGAAAAGTCTGGTTTTTATATCCCGACGGATTTGTCAAAATAAAGACTTGCACAGAGATAAGGCGCTGTGTGGGGGGGGGACAGGGTAGGACGGCCCTGACTGGGCTGGGAGGAGGTTCCTGCCCACCCCCAACCCATCTGGCAACCGTGTTTGTGCCCCAGAGCTCAGCGGCTCTCAAATTGTGTTCCCCCCCGAATGATTCCAGTGACCTGGGAAGGGCTCGGGGTGCCCAGACACAGGACCCAGCCCCTCGGGGTGGCCCCGGGGAGCGCTCTGAGCAGGACGGGGCTGAGGCTGGGCTTGCCCAGGATCATTCCCCCGAGCCCCCGGCCGCAGAGCGGAGAGGCTGTTCCCCGCGCCCTCACACTTTCTTGGGCACGTTGGTGATGATGGGTTTGGGGCGGGTTTTGAAGAGCAGCTTGGTTTTGATGAGGGCGGCGACGGCGTAGCGGGCGGGGGGCTCGCCGGCTCCCCGCTTCACCAGCACGGCGAAAGGTTTCTCCAGCCGCACCACCTTCCCGTAGAGGATGTGGTGGCCCACGACGAGCACGGGGACTCCCTAGAAAGTGAGAAAGGCGAGGGGGGGAGGCCGGGCTGGCCTGGCCGTTCCCCCCACCCCACCCCGGGGAGGAGAATGGGAGGATGGTGATGGTGTGCTGCCTCACCTCGCGGGTGTAGTGCAGGTCTCCCAGGAGGCTGCCCGCCAGCCCCCCGCTCTGCCGGGGCTGCACCTCGCCCTGCAGCTCCACCAGCACCCACTGCTCCGGGCTGCCGGGGTCCTCGCTGCGGGGCACAGGGGGGGGGGGGGGGCTTCACCCACCGGCTCCGAGCCCACCCGTGGGCACGGCTCGGACCACCCCCCCCCCCCCCCCCCCCGGGGTCGCGGAGCCCACCGTGACCTCACCTGGAGATGATGATCTGCACCATGCTCCGAGCCCTGCAAAGCACCGGCAGAGACACGGTCAGCGCGGGGGGGGGACACACACGACACACCGGGACGAGCCCCCCACCCCCCCCCCATACCGAGATCCCCCTTTATGCCCTGCAAGCTGCCCCCAGGACCCCTTAAACCCCCCCCCGAACCCACCCGCCCCGGGGCCGCGTTCCGCGGGGCGCTGGTGCCCTCCAGCGGCCCCGGTGTGGGGGGGTGGGGGTGGTGGTGGGGGGGCCTGGGGGGGGGCCGGGACCCCTTCGCTTCCCCCTCCCGCCCCGGCCCGCACCCCCGGCCCGGCCGGTGCCGGCAGCTCCCGAATCTCCCGCCGCGCTGCGCTTCTGCTTCCGCTTCCCGCCGCCGGTGGAAACGGGGGGGGGGGGGGGGAAACGGGACACACAATTCCGGTTCCGGGTGCGCCGAGCGCACGTGTGTGTGTGTGTGTGTGTGTGTGTGTGTGCAGGGGACACACACACCCCCCCCGGGGCCGGTCCCGGGATGGGGGAGTTCGAGGTGCACCGGGTGCGGTTCTTCGGGCTGGTGCCGGCCGGCGTGCGCTGCCTGGCCTGCCAGCCCCGCGGCGGCCGCCTGGCCCTGGCCCGCACCGACGGCGCCGTCGAGGTCTACAACTTCGCCGCCAACTACTTCCAGGAGAAGGTGAGGGGACCGCGCCGGGCTGTGCCGGGCTGTGCCGGGCCGTACCGGGCAGTGCCGGGCCGTACCGGGCAGTGCCGGGCCGTACCGGGCTGTGCCGGGCCGTTTCGGGCAGTGCCGGGCCGTACTGGGCTGTGCCGAGCCATACCGGGTGGTACTGAGCCGTATGGGGCGGTACCGAGCCATACCGGGCGGTACCGAGCCATACCGGGCGGTACTGAGCTGTACGGGGCCGTACCAGGTGGTACTGTGCAGTACCAAGCCATACCGGGCGGTACCGAGCCATACCGGGTGGTACCGAGCCGTACGGGGCCATACCAGGTGGTACTGAGCAGTACCAAGCCATACCGGGTGGTACCGAGCAGTATGGGGCCATACCAGGTGGTACTGAGCAGTACCGAGCCATACCGGGCGGTACCGAGCCGTGCGGGGCTGTACCAGGTGGTACTGAGCAGTACCAAGCCATACCGGGCGGTACCGAGCCATACCGGGCGGTACCAGGTGGTACTGAGCAGTACCGAGCCATACTGGGAGGTACTGAGCCATACGGGGCCGTACCAAGCCCTACCAAAACGTTCCGGGCCATACCGAACCATACGGGGCTGTGCCGAGCTGTACCGAGCCCTGCCAGGCTGTACCAGAGCTGTACGGGCTCATACCGAGCCCTACCAAGCTCTTTTGAACCATACTGAGCCATGTGGGGCCGTGCCGAGCCGTACCGCGCCGTACTGGGCGGTAACGGAGCCGTTCGGGGCTGTATGGCGACGTTGTGGGTCGTACTGAGCTGTACCGAGCCCTGCCGGGCTGTACCAAGCTGTACCGGGCCGTACCGGGCAGTGCAGCGGGGTAACAGTCGTCCCTTGCCAGGTCATCCCCGGGCACGACTCCCGGTCGGTGGAGGCTCTGTGCTGGGCGGCAGGTGACCGGCTGTTCGGGGCCGGCCTCAGCGGGGACGTCACCGAGTACGACCTGGCCCGGCTGCGCGCGGCCCACGCCACCGACGGCTGCGGGGGGCCCGTCTGGAGCATGGCGGCCAACAGCAGCGGCACGCAGCTGGCGGTGAGTGCGACCGGGACCGCGACCGGGACGGCTCTTCCAGCCCCGGAGCAGGGGCTGGGTGGGGGGGAGAGGGTCCTCCTGGCCCGCCGGGGCTGACCCCCACCCTCCCGCAGATCGGCTGCGAGGACGGCTCGGTTAAACTCTTCCAAGTCGTGCCGGGGGGGATCCAGTTCGAGCGAAACCTGGACAGGCAGAAAGGTGACTGTGGGAGGGCTCGGCGCGGCGGCGGCATCGTCCCTCTGTCCCTCCTGTCCGTCCCGGCTGCCCCGGTGACCGAGGGGGCTGCGAGTCCACGGGGTCAGCACCGGTGCTTCTTTGCCCGCAGGCCGCATCCTGTGCCTCTCCTGGCACCCGTCGGACACTCACATAGCAGCCGGCTCCATCGACGCCTTCCGCGTCTTTGACGTCTCTTCGGGTAACTTGCACCCCAAGGGGGGAGCCCGTTTTTTCACCCACCCCAGGGACCGCCAGCACCGGCACATCCCGTGCTTTGGGAGGTGGGGGATCCCCTTGCCACCCCCAACCATCCTTCTCCCCCCGCCCCCGTCTCAGGCCAAACCGTGCAGAGGATCATGGTGAGCTACCACGTGCAGAAGGTGAAGCGCGAGTGCGTCGTGTGGAGCATCGCCTTCCTCTCCAGCGGCACCGTCGTCACCTCGGACTCTTTCGGGAGGGTGCAGTTCTGGGACTGGGAGCGAGGGTCGCTGCTGGAGTCCCACACCGTCAGCACCTCGGCTGTCCTCTCGCTGGCCGTGTCGGAGGTAGGCAAGACCCCTGCCGTGTCCCCCCCACCCCGGGGCCCGTCTAGGCTGGAGGTGCTGAGGCAGGAGCTGCCTGGCTCGGTGCTGTGGGGCTGGCAGGAGCGGGGCTGCTGGTCCCTGCCTGCCTCCCGCTCCTGCCCTTTCCCTCTCCCCGCTCTGCGCCCGCGAACCCCGTCCCCGTTTCTCTCGCCAGACAGAGGACAGCATCATCGTGGGCACCTCGACCGGGGCCACCTACCAGTTTCAGCTGCTGCCGGTGAAGATGGGCAGCCAGGAGAAGCGCTGGGTGCGGACGAAGCCCTTCCAGCATCACACCCACGACGTGCGAGCCGTGGCGCACAGCTCGACGGCTCTCATCTCCGGGGGTAGGACTGGGGGGCCTTCACAAGGAGGGCTTGGGTGTCTCCCCCCTGGTACCGGTTCGGCTGATCTCTGCTCGGCTTCCAGGCCTGGATGCCCAGCTGGTGATCCGCCCGCTGATGGAGAAGATGCAGAAGAAGGGCTACGACGCAGCGCTCCGCAAAATCACCTTCCCCCACGTGAGTGCCGCTCCCAGCAGGGTCTCGTGCCTGGCGAGGCAGGCTGGCAGGGCTGGCTTTTCCTGCAGGAGAAGGCTGGCCGTCCCTACCCCACTGGGTCCCCTCCCTACCCCACTGGGTCCCCTCCCTACCCCACTGGGTCCCCTCCCTGTCCCTGCCGCATCTAGAGGCTCCTGCTATGGAGCGGGTAAAGGGGTAGAAGTTGGCAAGCTGGTCTTGCTGGTCCTGCTGGGTCTCCATCTCCAGGCTCCCGTCCCACGGGACCCAGTCCTTCCTCTCCCCCGCCTCGGAGTCTCTGGCACCCCAGGGTGTTTCGGCTTTGGCCCAGCCCTTTCTGCCAGGCTGTGGGTTCGTGACAGTCTGCCTGTTTCTGCGCGCAGCGACGCCTCGTCTCCTGTGCCAGGAAAGCCCGGCTGCTCCTCTTCCAGTTCTCCCAGCACCTGGAGCTCTGGAGACTTGGTTCTACTGAAGAGACCGGTGAGTCGCAAGGCCCAAGCCCTCCGGTGCCAGCCCTGTGGCAGAGCCCGCTCTGCCTGCAGGATTTTGGGCACGAACCGTCCCGCTGCTTGGGCAGCGGAGGGGGTGGTTTAGCCCCCCCCCACAGCCCTGCGCTGGCGTGACGGCCACGGCAGGGCCACGTTTCCCAGCGCGGCACCAGGGCTGCGCTCGTGCTTCCAGCGGCGCTGGGCTGGACTCTGGGGAGTTCAGCCTCGGAGGAGGGTGGGGAAGGGTCTGGGCTCTCCCTCGCTGCCCGACAGGACCCTTGCGGGTTTCCCCACCGGCGCTGATGCCCTGTCTGGTTTCTTGTCGTTCCCAGGGAAGGATGGCGAGGTCCTTCCCTTGTGCCGCATGCCCGAGCACCTCGTGCAGCTCAAGAGCAAGGTAAGGGCTGAGCTGGGGCTGGGCGCCCACCCTGGGGCTTGCCCCTCCAAAACCTGTGTGCCGGGCTGCCGGGGGGATCTCACGGGCCCCTCTCAGCCCCTCTGTGTTCCCAGGGTCCGGAGCACATCTACTGCAGCTGCGTCTCACCCTGTGGCAGTTGGGTCGCCTATTCCACGGCCTCCCGCTTCCACCTCTACCGAGTGCAATACGATGGCAGCGGCGTCAGCGTCAAGAAGGTGAGGAGGGGCGGCGGGGAGGGGTGGTGGGTGGCTGTGGGGCCCCGGGGGGCTGTCAGGGCCACCTTTGCTCGCCGGGAGCGAGGGTGGCAGTGGTAGGTGGCTGCCAGCGCTGCTTTCTCCCCGCTTCAAGGTCCCCAAAGTGCCCAAGCTGCTGCTCCCAGCCTACCAGCTCCAGTTCTCCTCCGACTCCGGCAGCCTCTTCGTTGCCTCTGCTCGAGGCTCCGTCCACGTCCTCCAGCTGCTGGAGCCGGGGGGCTGCAAACACCAGCGCACAGTTCGGCCGCCCTCAGGTTCGAGCTGGGGAGGTTGGGGAGGTGCTGGGAGAGGGGCGGGGGGTGTCCCTGGGCTGCGTGTCCCCTCCCTGCTGTGGGTGCAGAGGGGTGTGCAGGGCCGAGCGTGTTCCCCCCCCCCCTTTCCTGCCCTGGGGTGTGTGGGCCCTTCCCCCCACCCCAGCAATCTCTGCCCTGTGTTTGTGCCGCTTTCTTGGCCTGATGTGGGTAGGGGAGTGGGGCACCCAGGTTGGCAGAGGGGGACGTGGGTCTGGATGTCCCCTGGGGTTGGGTCCAGGGCTCCACGCAGGCCCAAGCACCCATCACAGGCGCTGGGGGTGTTTCACAGGGTCTCCCGAGGCCGTTTACCTGCTGGCGTCGAGCGCAGACGGGCAGTGGCTGGCCGCGGTCGGCGGGGACTGGGCAATCCACATCTACAACCTGAAATGCTTCAAGGTGGGAGCAGATGGCAGAAGTGACACCCCCCCCCCCACTGCCCTCCTGTGCCGGTGGGGCGGGGGGTGTGTGTCTGGGTGACAGTGGTGGGCTCAGCGTGTAGGTCCCCTCCCCAAAAGCGGTCGCTGCATCCCCGAAGTGGGGCTGGGAGGGGGGGGAGTGGGTGTGTGGGAAGTGGGGGGGTGGGGGGGGTCAGAGGCGTCCCCGGTTGCTCCCGTCAGCGTGCTGTCCCCCCGCCTTGCAGCACCACTGCACGGTGCCCACGTACAGCTGCGCGGTGACGGCCCTCGCCATCCACCCCACCACCAACCACCTCGTGATCGCCTACTCGGACCAGCAGGTAGGAGCTCACCTGGTCGCACCCCTCGTTGGCCCTGGCCCTTTCCCCGTGGCCCTCACCCTGGCCTCGGGGCTTTCTGGCCGCAGGGACCCAGCTGCCCTTCGCTGTCCCTGGCAGAGGCTCATCCCCACGCAGAGCTCACGGCCTGGCTGGAGCGGGGGGCTGCCGGTGTGTGGGGGTGATGCCAGGGAGGGCTGGACCTCACGAGCCGCCCCGTCTCCCCTCTCCAGCTGTTTGAGTTCAGCATCACCAAGCAGCAGTACACGGCCTGGAGCCGCACGGTGCAGAGGTGCGGGCTGCACAAGGTCTGGCTGGAGAGGGACTCGCCCATCACCCACATCACCTTCAACCCCAAAAACCCCTCGCACATCCTGCTCCACGACATCTACATGTTCTGCGTCCTCGACAAGTCCCTGGTGAGCCCATATCCCTGGTTGGGAGGGCTGGATTTGTGCCCAGGGCATCCCCGGCCCGGCGGGGAGCCGAGGGAGGGGAGCGCGGCGCCGAGGCGGTGGGTGATGCGGGCAGCGCCGACGCGTGCCCTGCGCTCTCCTCGCAGCCCCTGCCAGACAACACTGCCCTCCTGATGAACCAGAGCACCCTGAAGCAGCTCCCCGAGACGGCCAGGCAGCGCCAGCTCCACGCCTTCAAGATCTGCAAGAAGTTCCAGGTGGGTGACGGTGTTGCTGGGCCACTTGCTGGGGTGGGGGGGTGCCCAAGCGGCAGAGCAGAGCTCGGTCTGGGTCCCCATCACGCTGCAGCCGCTTGCTGCGCGGCCGAGCCCGGCCAGGCGAGGCAGAAAGGGGGGGGCCAGCACCCCTCTCTCATCTCCTGCCCCGCAGCCCCTGCTCTTCGTGGACCTGCTGGACGAGAACTGCCTCGTGGTGGTGGAGCGACCCATCATGGACATCAAGACCCAGCTGCCTTTGCCCATCCAACAGAAGAAATTTGGCACCTGAGAGCAGAACAAGCTGCTCCGGCCGCAGAAACTGTGTGCGCCGCTTTCCCAGGCTGCTGGGGGGAATAAACCCCGCTGTTCTGTACGGCTGCAGGCTCCGGGCTCGTCCTTGCCCCGCCGGGCTCGTCCTTGCCCCGCCGGGCTCCCTGGTGTCGCAGCGGCGGGTCAGGTTTGGTGCTGCCCAAGGCCACGGCCGCCTCGTGGGGCTCCCGCACCGGTTCTTCCTGGTGAGGCTGTGGGGGGGAACGAGGTGGCGCCCCACATCTGCCTTCTCGCTGCCTGCTCTTCGGGCAGCGTCGGGCCCGGGTGTTGCACCCCAGCTGGGTGAGCCGCCTGCGCCCCTGCTCCGCGCCTCGGGAGAGGCGCCGGCTCGCCGAGCTGGCGGGATTGGGGTGTAGCGGGGGTCCCCTCTGCCAAACCCCCTGCATCTGCCAACCCCCCCCCCTGCGCCTGCAGCTGGAAAACGGGGCGCCTTCTCCATGCCTCCCAGTAACACCAGTACCCCACTTCCAGTTTGCGCTTGTGCTTTCCCCCAAGCAGGCCGGTTGTGGAGGTTGGGTGGGGGCGGCAGCGTGGGGACGGCGCAGCTGTGCCTGGAGGGAACCAGGATTTGGGGGCTCCCCCTGCTCTCCTTCCCGCCCCCCCCCCCCCCAAATGACCCCTCCTCACCCCCGCGGAGGGGCCCGGCGTGGGGAAGGGGCAGGCCGGGCTCTAGGGAGGGCTTAGCCGGCGCGGTCCCACGGAGGGAAGGTCGCGGAGCGCGGCTTCGGGGAAATGGAGCGCGGGGCGGGAAATGGAGCGCGGGGCGGGGCTTCGCCTCCCCGCCCTCCGGCGCGGCCAATCGCAGCCGGTCGCGCCGGTGGGGGGGGGAGGGGCCTCTCGGTCCCGCCTCCCCCCGCCGAGTTGAGCCTACCGCGGCGCGCCATGCGGGCGGGGGGGCGTGGCCTCCGCGCCACGCCCCCTCCCCCCTCTCCTGCGGGGCCCCGCCCCTTCTCCCGGTGCGGCGGCGGCGGCGGCGGCGGCGGCGGCAGCGGCATGGCCGTCTGGACCCGCGCCTGCAAAACGGGGCTGCTGGAGCTGCTGCTGCGGGAGCGCTGGGTGCGGGTGGCGGCGGAGCTGAGCGGCGAGGCGCTGAGCCTGACAGCGGAACCGGGAGGCGGCGAGGCGGCGGTGCTTAACGGCGTGGTTAACGGCAACGCGGAGGCGGCGCCCGGTTGCGTGCGGAGGGTGCGGGTGGTGAAGGCGGAGGCGGGAGGGCTCGGTATCAGCATCAAGGGAGGTCGGGAGAACCGTATGCCGGTGCTCATCTCACGTATCTTCCCGGGGCTGGCGGCGGAGCGGAGCGGGGCGCTCCGCCTGGGCGACGCCATCCTCGCCGTTAACGGCGTCGATCTCCGGGATGCCACCCACGATCAAGCCGTCCAGGCGCTGAAGCGAGCCGGGAAGGAAGTCATCCTCGAAGGTACCGACTAACCTCGTCCCCGGTACCGGCCCCCGGTGCTCCCTCCCTCCTTTCCCGAGTGTCCCTCCCGCCCCGGTACCGGGTCCCACGACACCTCCCTGCCGCTGCCACCGGGCTCTCGGACACCCCCTTGGGGCCCTTTTCCGGTTGCCGGACCCCGCTCCCCCCCACCCCACTGCGATCACGGTACATGTACATCCCCCCCCCCACACCCCCCCCCCAAAACCTCCGCGCTGGGTCCCGGTGCTGGGTCCCAGTGTGCCCCCACCTGGCATAGGGACAGGGGTGTCCCCTCCGCGGCCGGGGTGCTCCTGCTTGTGGTGGGACAGGGACCCCTCCCAGCTGGGGACAAGGACAAGCCATTTCTGCTGCCGTGCCCCCCTGGTACAGAATCGGGGTCCCCTGGGACAGAGCTGGGGTCCCCCAGCTGCAGAGTCCCCCCAGCACAGGGTGTCCCCCACCTTCAGGGACAGAGCCCCTCGGGGTGGGTGCCTGTGTCCCCCCCCAAAGTCCCCAGGGAGGGCTCTGGCTCCCCGGGGGGGTGAGTTTGGGGTCTGCCCGTGTCCCCCCGTGGGCTCTGTGCCCGCAGCGCAGCTGGCTCGGCGCTGGCCTGGCCGAGCCACCGGCTCCCGCCCGACCTGTTCCCGGCAGCCCGACAAGCTCGGGCAGGACCTGCCTGGCCCGGCGGCACGTGGCACGGGGCTCGTGCCACGGGGCACCGCACCCGGGGCAACCGGGAGGACACGAGACACCCCCCCCCCCGCCCCCCGCCATGCCGTGGATCAGGGTGGCCCACGCAGGTCTGTGGTGCCACACGCGCCGTCCCGGCGAGGCCGGCTGCCCTCCGGTGCGTGGGGCTGCTCCCACCAGGGACGCAGCGCCCGGTTGGGCTGGGCTGACCCCGGTGATGGGCGCTCCCGCTTGCCCGCCGGATCCCGGCACTGGTGGCCCGGTGCGGCTCGGCCGCGGTTGGGGTGCTGCGGGGGGTCGAGGCGGAACTGCGACGTTGGGCTTGGTGTTTAAACACCCGGCGGGGTCACGGCCACCTTTGGAGTCCCCACAGGATTCCGTGCCGGATTCACCGGCTCCCCACCGCATCCTTCCCCCCCCGCTCCCGTTTCACGCCGCTCGGCTGTTTGATCCTGTCCCCGGCGTGTTTGTCCCTCGTTTCCGCCACGGGCACGAGCGCTGCGGCAGCCGTCCCTTCCCTTCCCGCCGGCGTCGGGGCCGCGGGGCTGCTCATCCGATGGCTGCGGCTGCCCCACGGCCCGGCGGGCAGCTGGCTGGCATCTGTGGGGCTGGAGAGGAACTGAGGAAGACCTTGGCTGCACCGTCCCACCCCGTTCCTCCCCGCCAGCCCCCTGGCAGACCAGGCTCCCAGGGAAGTGCTGGGGCTTTGCCGAGGCCTGGAGCCAGCAGTGGGGCACCGGCCCCGCACCAGCACCCCAGTGGGGCTGGGTTTGGCCACAGGGACCCATACCGGGCGCCTTCCTCCCCGGGGTGCTATCTGGCACGTTCCGGCACGCTGGGGGAAGGGAGCCCTTCCGTCTCTGCGGCGGAGCTGCCGGCCGGCGGGCACACGGGCCAGCCAGGCGCTGGCGAAGGGGAAGGCCGGTTGCAAAACCCATGTGCAAACGCGGCGAAACCTTTTCGGTGCTTCTCGGGCAGGCGCTGCGGAGGGACCAGTGCCGCCTGGGTGGTGCAGGGGGGCTCGGCCGCGGTGAGGCCGGTGCTAACCCGGCATTGCCGTGCAGCCGGAGCAGCAGCCTCCCCCCCCGCCCCGGCAGGTCGGGCGAGGGGTGCAGGCGGCAGCCGCGTTTCCTTTGCGGTGAGCGCGGAGGCGGGGCGGCAGCGGCTGTGCCGGGACGGCTGTGCGCCGGCCGCCGGCTCACCAGAAGCAGAAAAGGTGGTTTGGTTGCAGGTGCCACCGCCCTGGGGCCAGTTTTGTGCCCTCCGGCACGGGACGAGGGGATCCACGCTGCTGCATCCCCCCGAAACCAGAGCGCCGGTTCCGCTGCCGTCCCCGCCGGCAGCCACGGTCCCTCACATCTGCTGGGTGCTGGGGTCCACCTGCCTCGGTGGCCAAGCCGGCACAGCCCAGCAGTGGCTGCTTGCTGGTCCCAGCCGCCACCAAGAGCCACCGCGATGGGCACAACCGCTGAGCCCACGCTCCTCTGGCAGCACCCCGGCACGGTGCTCGGGCTCTCACCCTCCCAGCTCCGGGGGTTCTTCGGGGCCGTTGTGGCCGTGCCCCGGCGGAGTTTGGCACCGGGACAGTGGGCACTGTTGCCTGGATGGTGCTGAGCTCCCAGCCAGCGCTGGCAGCAGCTGCCCACATCTGGCAAACAGCTGCCGAGCGGCCCCGCGGCCCTGCCCTGCCCTGCCCGGCCAGGCAGCGGGATTAGGGGTGCGTGGGGACGGCGGTAATCCCGGGATCAGCGCGGCGGGAGGCTAATATTAACTCGTTTGCTGCCCGCAGCAAGGACAAGCGCCTCGTGGCAGCACGTCCTCACCGCTCAGCAAATCCGGCGGGAGGGCCGCGGTGGGGGGAGCCCCGCGGTGGGCCGGCTGGCCTGGCTCCGGCGCGGCATTGTGCCGGCCCCGCGGACGCTTTCGCTGAGCAGCAGGGAGCTTCACTGAGCGGCGGGTTACAGATTATTTGCTTTTTTGTTTTGTTTTGTTTTGTTTTGTTTTGTTTTTTCTGTTGTCGTCGGTTTTGGTTTTAACTCCCTGCTGCCCCGGGCGCGTGTGGATGTTGCTGATCCCAGCGCGTTCCTCCTTTGGCGATGGGCTGCCGGGGCTTGGCGGTGCGTGCTGGCCAGGGCGGGGGGCACGGTGGGTGGGGGGTCCAGCGCCGGCGGCATGCACCGCGTCCCAGGCTGCCGTCGCGCTCGCTCGCAGCTTCCCTGCCTGGCCGAGCCGAGCGTGCCGTCCCACGCGGCCTCACCCCCGGCTCGGCCGGTGCTCCCTGACATCTTGGAGGCGTTGGCTTTCCCCGAGCGTGGCGGCTGGTGCCGGTGAGCCCACGGTGGCACCACGGGCTGGGTGAGCCGCGCTCCGTGCCACCCGCTCGCCCCGGCCGGAGCTGGATGGGATCCGGGGTGCTGGTGCCTCGCCGGGGCTCTGCATCAGCTGGGTGGGGGGCGTTTGGGGAGGGATGCTCCGAGGGGAATCAGAGCCGGTTGCCTCCTTCCTTCCTGCCTGGCCTGGAGAGGAGCGTGGAGCCGGGATGTCCTGGCTGCAAATCCTCCTCCTCCTCCTCCCGGGAGCGGGGGCAGGCCGCTGGCAGGCGTGAGAGGCAGCGTGGGGTCAGCCGGCCGTCAGCGCCCGCGGCGCTGGAAACTTGGCGGGTGCTGTCCCGGCAGCGCGGCGGCAGCCGGGGCGCGTCAGGATGGGCTGCAGCCTGACCTCCCGCCCGGCCCCATTGTGCTGCCGCCGCCTTCCCTTTCCTACAGCTGCCGGTAACGGGGATGAGCCGCCAGCGCCTGTCTCCGGCGCGGGGCATCTCCGTCTCGGCGCAGGGTGGGACCCTCCGGGCCGTGCCCCCGGCCCTTCCAGGGCTGCCGTACCCCCCCCGGGGTGGGAAGGCAGGGTACCCCCTTTCCTGCTGCCTGGCCTCTGCCTGCAGCACGAGGCTGGGGGGTGTGTGTGTGAGTTCAGCTCCCTGGGGTTTGTGCTGCTGCGGGGGGGGACACGCAGCCCCCCAGGGCTGGCTGCCGTGGGGTGGGGTGGGGGGGGACGAGAAAACCCCCATGGTTAGAGCATCCCTGGGGCGCAGCGCTGTGGTATAGGGGTGCAGGACCCAGCCCTAACCTATTCCCCCCCCCACACACTGTGCCCCCCTCCCCAGTGAAGTTCATGCGGGAGGTGACCCCCTACATCAAGAAGCCGTCGCTGGTGTCGGACCTGCCGTGGGAGGGGGCCGCCCCGCAGTCGCCCAGCCTGAGCGGCAGCGAGGACTCGGGGTCCCCCCAGCACCAGAGCCCCCGCGACCGCAAAGTGATCCCCCTGAAGATGTGCTTCGCCGCCAGGAACCTCAGCATGCCCGACCTGGAGAACCGGTGAGGGCGCAGGGGCTGCCCACGGGCCTCCCCCACCCCCCGAGCCCGGTGGTTGTTGATGTGGGGGGGCCCCACATCCCACAGACACACACACACCCCCAGGGACAGATCTGGGGGCTGCCCCTCGCTGCGGCCACGACCTCCCGCTGAGCCGTGAAAGGAAAGTCCCCGGGGGTTTGGGCCAGGGCTGTGTGGCCCCCCCCAGTCCCCAAGGGTGGCTGGCAGCTTCCCCTACCCACAGAAAAGGGGGGGCACTGCAAATCCCTGCCGGCAGGGCTGATGCCAAGCTGCGCTGGCGGCTCCCTGGCACAAACCAGTGCGGCCAGTTTGCCGGGCAAAGGCACGCTCCGCCGGATGCCGCCGCTCCCGTCCCACCCAGCTCCTCGTCCCCTCGCAGGCTGATCGAGCTGCACTCGCCGGACAGCAGGAACACCCTGATCCTGCGCTGCAAGGACACGGCGACGGCACACGCCTGGTTCACGGCCCTGCACGCCAACATCACCGCCCTGCTCCCCCAGGTCCTGGCCGAGCTCAACGCCACGCTGGGCACCGGCGGCGGCGCGGCGGCCGGCGGCAGGGAGGTGAAGCACATCGCCTGGCTGGCCGAGCAGGTGCGTGTCGCCGGGGCCGTGACAAAGATGCTGCTATGGGGCTCGGGGACAGCGGTGCCGACGGGGCTGTGGTTGCAGCGGCGGGGCTGCCGGAGAGCCGAGCTGGGCACCGGGCTCTGCCGCGCTCCCAGCCGACCAGGCGAAGGCAGTGCCCTCGGCCCCCTCTCCCGCTGGGATTTCCCAGCTGGAAACGCTCATCCTTCCCGTTTTGCCATTAATTCACCACCCAAAAGCCGCAGCCTGGCCGGGCACCGCGGCGAGCCCGGCAGCGGGGTCCCCTGGGGCTGGCTGGGGGTCCACAGCCCCCCAGGTGCCCCTCACCATGTCCGCGCGTCTCGCGCAGGCGCGCCTGGACGGAGGGCGGCAGCAGTGGCGGCCGGTCCTCATGGCGGTGACGGAGAAGGACCTGCTGCTGTACGACGGCATGCCCTGGACCAGGGACGCCTGGGCCTCCCCTTGCCACAGCTACCCGCTGGTGGCTACCAGGTGGGCTGAGAGGGCTGGAGGTGGCCACCAGCGTCCTTCGGGGAACCGACCGGCTCCCCTTGGCCGCATCCAGCTCCTCCGCTTGCGCCTGGGCTCTGCCTCTCGCCGGAGAAGGAGGGGGAGACCCCAAAACGCGGTGCTGGCGCTGCCGTTGCACCCCTGACTCCCCCCCGCCTCTCTTCCATCTATTTCCACCCCCCCATCACCGCTCCAGGCTGGTCCACTCGGGCTCGGGCCACCGCTCGCCCGCGCTGGGCTCGGAGCTCACCTTCGCCACCCGGACTGGCTCTCGCCAGGGCGTGGAGATGCACGTCTTCCGCGTGGAAACCCACCGGGACCTCTCCTCCTGGACGCGCATCCTCGTCCAGGGCTGCCACGCCGCCGCCGAGCTGATCAAGGAGGTGTCTGTGGGTGAGTGCTTGGGGGAAAAAAAAAACCACACGCATGAACGCACGCACGCAGCCCCCTGGGGCTCCCTGCCCGGGAGGTGGGGGGCTGCGGGGGGGCTGAGCCGTGCCGGTGCCCGCAGGCTGCACGCTGGGCGGGCAGGAGGTGCAGCTCTCCATCCACTACGAGGGCGGCTTCACCATCTGCCGCGAGGAGCCGGGCGGCAGCGTCCTCTTCCGTTACCCCTACGAGAGGCTGAAGATGTCGGCGGACGACGGCATCCGGACCCTCTACCTGGATTTCGGGGGCCCCGAGGGGGAGCTGGTGAGGAGGGGGCAGCCGGGCCCACCCTCGGGTTTTGGGGGGCAGGGGGGTGTGTGTGTCTTTCGCTGGGGGTGGCTCCTGCTTCCCACCATCCCTGTAGCATCATGGCTGCCTGGACCCACTGGGTACCACTGCTCGGGAGCCCCCAGCCCAGGCGGTGAGACCCCCCCGCTGCCCCCCCCACGGGGTTTGGTGTGCAGGTGAGGGAGCTGACGCCGCTTTCTTCTTCTCCCTCCCCCCCCCCAGGCGCTGGACCTGCACTCCTGCCCCAAACCCATCGTCTTCGTCCTGCACACCTTCCTCTCGGCCAAAGTCACCCGCATGGGGCTGCTGGCGTAGGTGGCCCCAGCCCCCCGCCCGCCTCCCCCCACCACAAACCAGCTGGGGAATGTAGAGGGGGGCCCCCCCCCCCACCCCACCCCACCAGTGCCTTGCTGGGGCCGGGACTCAGCGCCCCGAGAGCCGCCGGGGATAGGCAGGGTGGCTGCTCCGGGGTGGGGGGGGGGATGAGCCTCTCCTGCTCCACACACCAGTGGTCCTGGCCCCCCCAGCACAAATGGGGGGGGGCCGGGGCACATACACCAGCTTTAACCGCCCCCACCCCCCCCCAGGCCCAAAGCCATCACTGATCTCACCACCTGTGCCTTGGAGGGGGGGTGAGCCTGGCCCCCACACCTGGGGGTGCTCCCCCCCCTCCCTGTGTCTGGGGGAGCCAGCACCCTCCCTGCCTTGGGGCTCCCCCCCCCCGCCGTGGGTCACGTTGTTCCTGCATGGGATGGGGCTTGGGTCCCCTTGCCCCCCCCACAGGGTTTGGGGGACACACACACTTGTCTTACTCGGGGCACTCACAGATGCAAAAGGGGCTCCACCCCCCCCCCCCCAGCAGCTGCCCACAGGGCGCAGCAGTGACCCCCCCCCAACCTCCCAAAGCCAGAAAACAAATGTGTTTGTTGTCCCCCCCCGGACAGAGGGGCTGAGGGTGCCTGGGGAGCCCCCCGGGGGTGCTGCCCCCCCCCTCCAGCTGTGGTGCCCCCACAGCCCCCCCCCCAGATGGGCAGGACGTGTAGATTGATGCACTTTTACTTTTTGTACTTTCCCTCCCCTCGGGGTGGGGGGGAGGAGGGGGGGGCAGCTCCCACACCCCGGGGTGCTGGTGGGACCCCCCCCCAAGGCCCCCCCCCCCTCCTGGCTGAGGCCTCGTTACCCCCTCGGCCAAATTCCTCTGCACATTTTTCTGCTTCCCGTGGGGCTGCGCTGGTGGGGGTGCCGGGGGGGGGTGCCAGCCCCCGGCCCGGGGGTGCAGCTTGCACACAAGCACTACAGGTCCCGGCCCCCCCCCTCCCGCCGCCCCACCCTGGGCACCGCACGCCCCTTCTATTTTTGTATTCTTTGTAAATCGCTATTTATATCAGATATTGCCTTTTCGGGGTCTCTGAGTCTCACTCGAGGGGTGTCCACACTGCGGGGGGGGCTGGGGGGATCGGGGAGGTGGGAGGGGGGGCAGTTAATTCCCAGTACAGCACAGGTTGGGGGGGCGGGAAGTGCTGGAGTGCCCAGGAAAAGAGAGACTGGGATGTACCGGGGATGGGGGGGGGGGGGGGGGGGGGAAACTGGGGCAGCTCGTGTAGTGGGGCCAGTGCGGGCAGTTCAGCCCGGGGGGGGGAGGGAGGGGGGGGCACAGGTACCCACAGGAATTTGGGGGGGGGGGGGGGGGCCTGTACACACACGTGGGTTTGGAGGGGTGCATGTGCACACGCAGACACGTGGACACGCACACACACGGAGAGACACACAGACAGACAGACACGTGCACACGGACAGACAGATACAGACAGACATACGGCTACACAGACACACGCACACACAGACACACGCACACGCTGCGCGGGCGGCGCCGGGGGGCGTGTCGCGGGGAGGGAGGGGGCGTGTCCCGGCGAGGCCCCGCCCCGCGGGTGCCGGCGGGCGCCGGCAGGGGGCGCCGCCGCGCACAGCCGCAGTCGGGGCGGTCCCGCCGCCGCCGCCGCCGCCGCCGCCGCCGCCGCCGCCGCCGCCGCCGGGCCGGGCCGGGCCGCGCCAGGAGCGGCGACCCCCGGGCGATGAGATGACAACGACCACCCTGCAGGTACGGGGGGGGGGGGGGGGGGGGGGAGGGCCGCCGCCCCCGGGCCGCGCTCAGTCCGCGCCGCCGAACCCGCACCCGCCGCCGGGCCGGCCGGGGAAAAGGCCTCGCCCGGTGCCGACCGGGGAAAGGCCTCGCCCTACCTCGGGGCCAGGCCCCGTTCTGCTCCGTGCCCTGCCGCGGCGCTGGGGGGGGGGGTGGAGCGGGGGGAGCTCGTCCTACCGGGCGCTGGGGAAGGGGCTCCGCTGGGCGCTGCGGTGCGGGTAGGCCCGGCCCTCCCCCCTCGGGGGGGTGGGGAAGGGCCTCATCCTGCCCGGGCCGCGGTGCCGCTCCCCGGCTCACGGCTCTAACCCCCCCCCAACCCCCCCAGAAAGCCATCGACCTGGTCACCAAAGCCACCGAGGAGGACAAGGCCAAGAACTACGAGGAGGCGCTGCGGCTGTACCAGCACGCTGTGGAGTATTTCCTGCACGCCATCAAATGTGAGTTGGGGGCCGGTTGTGTGTGTCCCCCCCCCCCCGGGGTGGGGGGGCTGCGTGGGTCGCTGGCTGTGGCCACGGGTGATGTTTTTGCGCGGGGGGGTGTGGGTGTTTCTGCAGATGAGGCTCACAGTGGCAAGGCGAAGGAGAGCATCCGAGCCAAGTGCATGCAGTACCTGGACCGGGCGGAGAAGCTGAAGGAGTACCTGCGCAGCAAGGACAAGCAGGGCAAGAAGCCGGTCAAAGAGTCCCAAAATGACAACAAGGGGTGCGTGGGGGGGGTGCGAGGGGACCCCCACCCTGCCCACTGGTGGAGCTGGCAGGACCCTGCTCCCGCTCCTGACCCGTGTTCCCTTTCCCCAGGAGTGACAGTGACAGCGAGGGCGAGAACCCCGAGAAGAAGAAGCTGCAGGAGCAGCTGATGGGTGAGGGGCCGCGGCGGGCGGGGATGTGCTGGCTGCCGGCGGGAGGGATTCCCAAATGGTCGTCGCGAGGGGTGCGGGGAGGGGGACAGGCCGTGGGGCTGGGGTCTGGTAGCTCCCAAAACGGCTTCTGTGGGTGGGACGAGGGCTCTGGCTCTCGGCAGACGTCGGGGGAGCGCGATGCCCGCTTCTGCAGGGCCGCGTGAGCAGAGCCGCCTCCTCGCAGGTGCCATCATGATGGAGAAGCCCAACGTGCGGTGGAGTGACGTGGCCGGCCTGGAGGGAGCCAAGGAAGCCCTGAAGGAAGCCGTGATCCTGCCCATCAAGTTCCCGCACTTGTTCACCGGTGAGGGGGCACGAGCACGTCGCTGGGAGGGGACCCCAAGCCGCGGGGACGCGTGTGTCCCGGGGGTCCCCCGCGGAGCCGGGCTGCGCAGGGACAGGGGAGCCGTGACACTGGCCTCGTGTCGCAGGGAAGCGCACGCCCTGGCGAGGGATCCTGCTCTTCGGGCCCCCCGGCACCGGCAAGTCCTACTTGGCCAAGGCTGTGGCCACCGAGGCCAACAACTCCACCTTCTTCTCCGTGTCATCCTCGGACCTGATGTCGAAGTGGCTGGGAGAGAGCGAGAAGTAAGGCGGCAGCAGGGATATATGGCCACAGCCGGGCTGGCAGTGCCAGAGCTCTGAGCCACCAGCATCGGTGAACCCCGTTAACGCAAGGAACGGGTCCCAGGGGAGAGCACGGACCCTCCCGAGGCCCCAGAGCCCGAGGGTGCCCCTTCTCCCAGCACGGCGCTCGCCTCCTCCGTGCCGGGATGGGCCAGGGCGGGAGGAGCCGGTGGTGCGTGGGGCTGCTCGCCTCGGGGTGCCGCTGGTGCTGTGGAGGGTCCCTGAGCGGGGACCCCGCTCCCCTGCTTTGTTCCCAGGCTGGTGAAGAACCTCTTTGAGCTGGCGAGGCAGCACAAGCCCTCCATCATCTTCATCGACGAGGTGGACTCGCTGTGCGGCTCCCGCAACGAGAACGAGAGCGAGGCGGCCCGGCGCATCAAGACGGAGTTCCTGGTGCAGATGCAGGGTGCGTGGGGACAAGGGGGGGCCCCGGGTAGATGTGTGTGTGTGTGTGGGGGGGGGGGGGACACGCTGCCATTCCCCGGGGTTTGCTCTGAGCCGTCTGCTGGGCGTGTCCCTGAGCAGGTGTGGGGAACAGCAGCGACGGGATCCTGGTGCTGGGCGCCACCAACATCCCCTGGGTGCTGGACTCGGCCATCCGGAGACGGTGAGCGCAACACGATTCCCTCGCGGCCCCGGCGGGCTCTGGCAGCGCGGGGCTCACCCCCCCCCCACCCCCCTGCCCACGCTACCCTCTCAGGTTCGAGAAGCGCATCTACATCCCGCTGCCCGAGGAGGCGGCGCGGGCCCAGATGTTCAAGCTGCATCTGGGTAACACCCCGCACTGCCTGACCGAGGCCAACATCCAGGAGCTGGCCCGCAAGACCGACGGCTACTCGGGGGCCGACATCAGCATCATCGTGCGGGACGCCCTGATGCAGCCCTGTGCGCAAGGTGCAGTCGGCCACCCACTTCAAAAAGGTGAGTTTTGGGGAGGGCAGGGTGGGGGCGGGGCTGCACCCACATCTGGGGGGTGTCTGTCCCCAGGGTGCGAGGGGGGTGAGGGCTCTGCCGTAGGTCCGCGGTCCCTCCCGTACCACCCCCGGCGCTTTCGTGGACGATCTCCTGACCCCGTGCTCGCCCGGTGACCCGGGGGCCACCGAGATGACCTGGATGGAGGTGCCCAGCGACAAGCTGATGGAGCCCATCGTCTGCATGGTGAGCGCGGGCCGCGGCGCGGGACCCAGCACCCATCCTGCTGCGAGGAGACCGGCCCTGGCTGGGGAAGGGCCCGGGGTCCTCCGCACGCAGCCCCCCCCTGATCTCAGCTGCTTCCCCCCCTCCCCGGCCTCGCCTGTGTTACAGTCGGACATGCTGCGCTCGCTAGCCACCACCCGCCCCACCGTGAACGCCGAGGATCTGCTCAAGGTGAAGAAATTCACGGAGGACTTTGGACAGGAAGGTTAAGGCGAGGGGTGGGGCGGGGGGGGGGGGGGGCGCTGCAGAGGTGGGGAGGGTGGACTGTGGGGCTGGGGCAGCCGTGGTGGCAGGGCCCCCCCCCCCCCCCCACCGCGCCGGCCGTGCCAAACAGGTTCATCTTCCGGTCACGACTTGCCCCATCCGACTGCAGCACTTGGCGGGGGGCGCGGGGAGCACGGCCTGGGGGGGCGGTGGCTGAAACTCTGGGGGAGGCATCCAAGCGTGGCCGGGTGCGCCCCCCCCCCCAGCTGTGCCCCCCCATCCCCCCCCACTCTTCTTCCTGCTCTTTTTTATTTTTTAAATTAATGCTGCTTTGGGTTCTGTCTTGTTTATATGAAAATAAAAACAATTCAAAAGCTTGAGCTGGTGCCCAGCCCCTCCCTGAAGCTCTGGCCACACTGAGGGGGGGTCCCAGCCTGGCCCACCACCCCCCCCAGTAATGCGCTGCCCCAGCCCCAAGGCCCTCGGCTCTGCCTGTGCCGCCCCTCGCAGGCAGGAGCCCCAGGAGCTGCTGCCTGGCCCCAGTTGGGGTGTGGGGCTCACTGTGCTGCAGATGGGGGGGCGGTTGTGCCTGCAGCAGGAAAGTGTGGGGGGCCCCCCCCCCCAAAACGTTTATTGCTCGGAGCAGCCTCCCCCACTCCAGGGATGAGCTCCGAGGGCTCCTGCCAGGAGCTGCCCCCCCTCCAAGCCCACCGTGTCCCCCTGCGCAGTCTCCAGGCCAGGCTGAGCCCCACTATCCTCCAGCCCCACACTGTGCCCAGCCCCACGGCCCGAACCCCAAACAAGCCGCAGAGTGGGAGATCCCCCCCTCAGCCCCCCCTCCAGCAGCAGGTCAGGAGCTGGGCCGAGTCCTCACAGCGTGTATTGGCCGCAGCGAAGCCGAGTGGGAGCCCCCGGGGTAAGGACAGGCACCCAGTGCTGCACTGGGGGGGCCCCAGCTCACACTGGGGGGCCCCAGCTCACACTGGGGGCTCCGCCACGGAGAGGGAGGGCTGTGTGGAACCTCGTCACGGGGGGGCAGGTGTCAGTCCAGGAGCTCCATCCAGCCGACGTTGGTGAAGGTGCGGGGGTCCATGCGGTCGATGTAGAGGATCCCGTCCAGGTGGTCCATCTCGTGCTGGATGATGCGGGCGGCCCAGCCCGTCGCCTCCCAGCTCACCGGCTCCCCCCGCTCGTCCACGCCTGCTGCCCGGGAGAGCGGCGGTCAGGGTCTGGGGGGGGACGGGAATTGGGGGGGGGGGGGGGGGGGGGGAGGAGAGCGTGGTGTCCCCCAGTTTGGGCTGGGCAGAGCAGGGTCCCAGGGAGGGGGCAGGCAGGGCTGGGGAGGTCCCGGGGGAGCGGGGAGGAACCCCCCGGGGCGGTGGGCAGGATCTCCCCGGTGGGAGAGGGCAGGATCCCCCGGGAGAAGTGGGCAGGATTTCCCGGGGGAGCGGACAGGAACCCCCGGGGGCACCGGGCAGGATCTCCCCGGTGGGAGCGGGCAGGATCCCCCGGGAGAAGTGGGCAGGATTTCCCGGGGGGAGCGGACAGGAACCCCCGGTGGCACCGGGCAGGATCCCCACGGGAGAATGGGCAGGACCCCCCGGTGGGAGCAGGCAGGATCTCCCCGGTGGGAGAGGTCAGGATCCCCCGGGAGAAGTGGGCAGGATTTCCCGGGGGGAGCGGGCAGGAACCCCCGGGGGCACCGGGCAGGATCCCCACGGGAGAATGGGCAGGACCCCCCGGTGGGAGCGGGCAGGACCGCCCCCCTTACCCCGGGGCCCGTACCGGAGACATGAACGGCCCAGTGGCGCTGGACGTAGGCGGAGAAGCCCCGGAGGCTGGCGCAGCCCTCCGGGCCCGTGACGAGGCGGGAGTCGAGGACGCGGAGCCGGGGGTTGACGAGCAGGCGGAGCGGGAAGGGCTCGATGCGGTGGGCGAGGCGGAGCGCCGGCGGGTACCGGCGGCAGCGGGCGGGGGGCAGCTCGGCGGCGAAGACCCGCAGCGGGACGCCCAGCTGCGGAGCGCTCAGCCCCAGGCACGGGCCCCGCCGCAGACCGGCCGCCAGCGCCGCCGCCAGCTCCCGCAGCTCCGGGCCGCCCAACCGCTCCGGGCCCACGGCGGCGGCGGCGCCGCGCAGCACCGGGGCTCCCACCTGGCAGGGGGCGGCGAAGGGCGGCGCGGGGGGGCCCAGCACCCGCCGCCGCAGCGCCCGCCAGTAGGAGCGTTCCCGCCGGGCCCAGCCCGCCGCGTCCCCGCACCCGCGGCCCGGCGGGAACGGCCGCCCCGCGGCGGGGAAGCGCCGCGCGGCCCCCAGCGCCGCCGCCATGAGCGCCCCGCCCGCCGCACGGCGCCCCCTGGCGGCGCGGAGGAGGCGCGGCACCGGGGCGGGGCCGGTAAGGGGGCGGGAAAACGGGCGGGACTGGGAACAGCGGAGAGAGCGGGAATAGAGGAGAGAGTGGGAATAGAGGAGAGAGTGGGAATAGCGGAGAAAGTGGGAACAGCGGAGAGAGCGGGAATAGAGGAGAGAGTGGGAATAGAGGAGAGAGTGGGAACACAGGAGGGACTGGGAATAGAGGCGGGACTGGGAATAGCGGAGAGAGTGGGAACAGAGGAGAAAGTGGGAATAGAGGAGAGAGTGGGAATAGAGGAAAGACTGGGAACACAGGAGGGACTGGGAATAGAGGAGAGAGTGGGAATAGAGGAGAAACTGGGAATAGAGGAGGGACTGGGAACAGCGGAGAGAGTGGGAATAGAGGAGAGAGTGGGAATAGAGGAAAGACTGGGAACACAGGAGGGACTGGGAATAGAGGAGAGAGTGGGAATAGAGGAGAAACTGGGAATAGAGGAGGGACTGGGAACAGCGGAGAGAGTGGGAATAGAGGAGAGAGTGGGAATAGAGGAAAGACTGGGAACACAGGAGGGACTGGGAATAGAGGAGAGAGTGGGAATAGAGGAGAAACTGGGAATAGAGGAGGGACTGGGAACAGCGGAGAGAGTGGGAATAGAGGAGAAACTGGGAATAGAGGAGAGAGTGGGAATAGAGGCGGGACTGGAATAGCGGAGAGAGTGGGAACAGAGGAAAAAGTGGGAATAGAGGAGAGAGTGGGAATACAGGAGGGACTGGGAATAGAGGAGGGACTGGGAATAGAGGAGAAACTGGGAATAGCGGAGAGAGTGGGAATAGAGGAGGGACTGGGAATAGAGGAGGGACTGGGAATAGAGGAGAGAGTGGGAATAGAGGAGAGAGTGGGAATACAGGAGGGACTGGGAACACAGGAGGGACTGGGAATAGAGGAAAGACTGGGAATAGAGGAGAGACTGGGAATAGAGGAGGGACTGGGAATAGAGGAGGGACTGGGAATAGTGGAGGGACTGGGAATACAGGAGGGACTGGGAATACAGGCAGGGAACGGGGCCTACTTCACTCCCAACAATCACGGGGTGACACAGCCCGGCCACAGCTTTGCTACTCTGTGGCTGCTGGGATGTCAGACAGCGGAGCTGCCCCAGGGGGGTTCTCCTGCTCCAGTGCAGGCAGTGGGAATACAGGCAGGGACTGGGAATACAGGCAGGGTCCAGGGGCTACTTCATTCCCAAGAACCGGGGGGTGACACAGCCCGGCCGCAGCCCCACTACCCCGTGGCTGCCGGGATGTCGGGCAGCGGAGTCCCCCCAGGGGGGTTTTCCTGCCCCGGTGCAGGCAGGGGCTCCCCGGGCACAGGCACGGCCATTTCTTCCCCCTCCAGGCGTAGGGTGCTCTCCTGGGCTGGCTCTTCCTCGCCCGGCGTCGGCAGGAGGAAAGCCAGCGGCTCCCTGAGGGCGACCACATCGATGCGGCCCAGGCGGCCGTTAGCGCGGCAGTTGGGTGGGGGGGACGCCTGCCAGGGAGGGAGAGGGGGCTCGGGTGGGGGCCTGCGGGCAACCAGGCACCCCCACAGCGGGAGAGGGACCAGGGCAGCTCCCTCCCGCTCCCCACCGAGGCATAAACCCCCCGCCCCGGGGTCTCACCCAGCGCCTGCGCGATCTGTGCCGGGGGAAAGAGGACCTGGAGGCAGCGGTTCAGGTAGGGCAGCAGATCTTCCAGGAAAGCGGCGCAGAACTGGGCAAAGAGCTCCTGCTCCCGCCCGCTGAAAGCCGCCTCCTCCGCGCGGTGGAAGGCCAGGATGGTTTTGGTCACCTGGAGCGAAAAGCGGAGTGGTTAATTCCTCAGAAAAATCATTGAATGGGCTCAATGAATCTTAAAAAGCCGTCGATTCCGTGACTCTACCCCAGGAATACTCGGCGCCTCACCTCGCCCAGCGCGTCCTCCAGGCTGGCGGTGACGTCCTGGGCCAGCGCGACGGGGCAGCAGAGCCGCAGGTCGTTGAAGGCGACGAGGAGGCCGTTGAGGAAGCAGGCAAGGGGCGGGAAGTCCAGCAGCACCATGGGCGGCTGTAGCGTTCCCGGCTGGGCGTCGGGTACCGGCACCCCCCCGCTGCCCCCCAGCACGGCCGGGGCGGAGATGAGCGTGTAGGAGTTCATCTCCTCCCGAAACTTCTCCACCGCTTCCTCCACCGCCTGCTGGAAGGCGGCGGCGGCCACGTGCTGGAAGAGAGGGGCCAGCTGCCCGCGGAAATCGGCCCCCACCCTGCTGAAGGAGAGGCCGAAGTACATGCACTGCCCCAGCAGCGAGTCCAAGCGGGCCCACCCCGCGCCGCAGATCACGTTCCAGCGTCCGCAGGAACTCGGAGACTTTCTGCAGCACCCAGCCGTGGAAGATGGCCCCCTCGTCGAGGGCCTGCCCCTCGGGCGGCAGGAGCGGCTCCTCGTCGGAGAAGATGGCGCGGTACTGGGTGACGATGTCGAAGAGGTGGACGCGGCAGGCCTCGATGGTCTTGGTGATGTGGAAGTACGGGTCGTCGTCGGGGATGGCGGCCTGGATGGAGCGCAGCCAGGCGCCGCGCCTGCAGGAACTTGATGCGCAGCTCGGCCTCCGTGAAGACGTCCATGCGCCGCAGGTAGCCGATGACCCGCAGGCAGGCCGGCAGCTGGATGTTGGTGCGGAGCTGCTGGATGAGCTGGTTCAGCATCAGCTGGGCGGACTGGCGCACCTCGGCCACGATGCCCTGGCGCCGGGAGAGAGGCCTGAGCCGCGGGGGCTGGGGGCCGGGCACGGGGCTGGGGGCCGGGCGCGGGGCCGGGGGGTTACCTGGATCACGGGGATGTTGCTGTGCTTCCTCTCCAGCCGGCGCACGTAGGCGGCCAGCTCCAGCGCCTCCTCGTAGTAGCCATTGCGGACGCAGGTGTCCATCAGCTGCGGGATCTCCAGGATCTCCAGGATCTCCGTGTGCCGGTTCAGCGTCAGGCTGTTCATGCGCCGGCTGCAGGCGATCTCCTCGGCGTCGCGCATGAAGTTCCTGCGGGGTGGGAACGGGAGCGGGATGACGGGAGTGGGATGGAGTCGGGACAGGGTTGGGATGGGAGTGGATGGGGTCAGGATGGAATGGGGACAGAATCAGGACAGGATTAGTACGGGGTCCGGACAGAATCGGGATGGAATCAGGATGGAATTGGGACAGGGTTGGGATGGGGTCAGGATGGAATCGGGACAGGAGTAGGAGGGAATTGGGACAGGGTAGGGACAGAATTGGGATGGAATCGGGATGGGGTCGGGACAGAATCAGGACGGGAGTGGGATGGAATCGGGACAGAGTCAGCGCAGGGTTGGGACAGGGTTAGGATGGAAAGAGGACGGGGTCGGGATGGAATCAGGTCAGGGTTGGGACGAGGTCGGGATGGAATCAGGATGGCGTCAGGATGGAATTGGGACAGGGTCAGCACAGGGTCGAGATGGAATCGGGACAGGAGTGGCATGAAATTGGGATGGGTTCAGGATGGAATCGGAAAAGGGCCGGGATGGAATCGGGATAGAGTTGGGAACAGGGTCGGGACGGGGTTGCGATGGAATCAGGATGGAGTCGGGATGGAATTGGGACAGGGTTGGGACAGGAGCAGGACGGGGTGGGGACAGAATCGGTCGGGCTCGGGATGGAATTGCGACTGGGTCAGGACGGGATCGGGATGGAGTCGGGACAGGGTCAGCACAGGGTCGGGATGGAATCGGGACGGAGCCGGGACAGGGCTCCCCCCCCCCCCGCAGCGGGTGACCCCCGGGACCCTCCCCCCCCGCCGCCCCAACCAGTCCCACTCCCCGCTGCGCCCGGGCCCCGGCCCCGCCGCCCCCCCGCACCGGCAGGCATCCCGGAGCGCGGGCAGGCGGCCCAGCAAGCTGCCGAGGCGGCTCTCGATGCCGCCGAACCCGCGGCCGGCGCGGCCGGTGCACTCGGCGGAGCGGATGAAAGCCCGGTAATGCTCGAAGGCCAAGCGCCGCGTCTCCGCCCCGACCCGCGCCCGTTCCGCCGCCAACCGCGCCGGCTCCCGGCCCAGCTCCGCCAGCCCCAGCGCCGCCAGTTCGGCCACGTAAGCGGCGAGCTCGGGGCCGCCGAGCGCCGGGGCCGCCGGGCCGCGCAGCCAGGCCAACAGCCGCGCCTCCTCCGCCGCCGCCATCGCCGCCGCGCCGCCGCGCCGCTTCCGCTTCCGGTTCAGCTTCCGGTTCCGGGGCGCGGAGCGGCGCGGAGCGATGCGGCCGCTGACGGAGGCGGAGACGCGGGCGGTGTTCGAGAAGCTGGGGCGATAGTGAGCGTTCCCGGGGGAATTGGGGGGGGGGGTTACCGGGGAGGGGGCGCCGGGAGCGCGCGGGGCCGGGCTCACGGCGCCTGTCCCCGCAGCATCGGCGAGAACATCCAGCTGCTGGTGGACCGGCCCGATGGCGCGTACTGCTTCCGCCTGCACCGGGACCGCGTGTATTACCTGAGGTGAGCGGGGCGGGGGGTGGCCCCGGGGGTGGCACCGGAACCGGCACCGACACCACACCGGTTAACCACCACCACCCCCCCCCCCAACCGCCACTTCCCCCGCAGCGAGAAGCTGCTGAAGGTGGCAGCGAGCGTCCCCCGGGACGGCCTGGTGGCACCGGGCACCTGCTTCGGGAAGTTCACCAAGACGCAGAAATTCCGGCTCAGCGTCACCGCCCTGGATTTCCTCGCGCCCTACGCCAAGGTTGGGGACACGGAACCGCCCCCCCCCCCTCCCAGCCCCAACCCGGCCCCCCCCCCCCCCCCCCAGCCCTCACGGCTCTGGGTGTCTCTTCCAGCACAAGGTGTGGGTGAAGCCCGGCTCGAGCAATCCTTCCTCTACGGCAACCACGTCCTGAAGTCGGGCTTGGGACGCATCACCGAGAACACACCCCAGTACCAGGGGGTGGTGGTGTTCTCCATGGCCGACGTCCCGCTGGTGAGCAGCCGGGGCTGAGTTTCCCAGGGAAAAACTGGAAAAGTGCTTTTTCCATGGCTGGGGTGTGGGGAAAACTCTCTCTCTTCCCTTCATCCCCCCCCCCCCCTCAGGGCTTTGGCGTGGCTGCCAAATCCACCCAGGAGTGCCGCAAGTTGGACCCCCTGGCCATCGTGGTGTTCCACCAGGCCGACGTCGGGGAGTACGTGCGGAACGAGGACGCGCTGACCTAAGGGAACGCTCAGCGCGCCGCCGACGCAAGCGTGCCTGGGTGGGACGGAGCTTATCCCGCACCCTTGGTGCAGGGAGCCACCCCGAGTGGGGCGGAGGGGCTGGGAGCTGCCACCACCCCCGGGGGGCCGCTGTCACCGGGAAGAGGAGCTGCCCCCTGGCCAGACCTGGCCCTGCTGTCACATAAAGCCTGTTCCTTTTCCCAGAGCGTCTGGTGTCTGGTGCGGAGCCCCAGCGCAGTGTGACGCATGGGGTGCGACGCTGGAGGGGAGAGGTGCAGCGTTGGGTTCACCAGATGAGGCTGGGGGGGCAAAATGTGCAGCCCAGGGCTGAGCTTCAGGGAGGGAGGGACTTGCAGGGCAGGACTTGCTGTGCCCAGGCTGGTAGAGGGGGGGATGGCAGGCAGCAGGCTGCGATCGTTCCCCAGAGCCTGTGCCGGGGGTTCCTTTATTCGGTGTTTGGTAGAAACGGCACGTTGGGACACTGTAACGAGGGGAAGGGATGTAACAAACCGACCCAGCACACAAAGCTCAGGCGGCTGCGTTGCGCTTTTCTTCTGTGAGGGTGATTTCAGGCGAGGCAGGGCTAGAGCCGCAGGCAGGAGCAGGAGGGGACTCTCCTCCCTCCTCCTCGAAGCGGGATGTGGCCTTCCCTCCCGCTCTGCGAAGGGGCAGAGTGGCAGCTCGGGTAGGGAGCAGTCCTGCCCGCAGTCCTGGGCGCTGTTAGCACTTCTGCCTGCCAGAGGTTTGCACGTTGAAGAGGCGCTTCAAGAAGTAGAGCTGCAGCACCCCGGAGAGGACAATGATGCAGCTCTGAGCCATCGACCACCAGTTGACGTAGTTGTAGTTGGACTCCAGGAGGAAGGAGTCGGCCCCTTTCCGCATCCGGGCAAAGTTGTAGAACCGCCACATGTGGAAGATGTGGAGCTGCAGCCTCAGGATGCTGACCTGTGGGAGAGGCAGAGCCGTGCTCAGAGCTGCCCAGTGCGCTTGGCATTCCATCGAGCTGCAGCTCAGCCAACGGCAAACGCCCTGGGGGGTTCCCTTGGGAGGACGTGCCCGTCCCCCGCTGCGCCAGAACGCCCTGTGGTTCCCCCTAACACTCACCTCGATTGCCTCCAGGGTGTCGTTCAGCTCTTTCCTCTCTTCCAGCTGCTTGTTTTCCACGTTGAAGCCTTCGTAGTAGACACCGAAGTTGAGATACACCTGCATGAAGCCGAAGTGGTTTTGCTGGTTGTCCAGGCACAGCTGGTAAAAACCTGCAGAGAGAAACAGGGATTAGCGTTCCCCGAGTAGAAGAGCTGCTGCCAGGCAGGGCAGACCCCTCCCCAGCACTCGCCCCTCACCCTCCACATCAGGGAGGTGTGCTCAGCGCGATGGGTGCTCTGGGAGGTGCTGGGCAGGCTCGGAGCTTGCTGCTGCCGGTGCTGGCAGCGGGGCCGGGCAGGGACCGGGGCAGCAGGGACCTGTCTCCTTGGTGAGGAAGTTGATCTGTCCTCGCACGTGCTGGGAAGCGCCAAGCTGGAAGCCGTTGGGGTCGCTCGCCGTGGCCAGGATGTTCCTGTTGTTGGCGATGCCCGTCGCCCGCTGGACCTGGAGGCGGGAAACACCCGAGGGGCGTTCGTGGGCCTGGCCCCACACCCAGGAGACGGGAACCTGCAGGAGCCCTCGTGTGCAGGGTAGGGACCCTGCGGGGATCTGCCTCTACTGAGGGTTGGTTTGGGATCCCGGGGAGCTGCGCCCTTCATTACGGTGAGGGCAGGAACATCAGCGAGCTGCCAGTACACGTGAAAATAAAAAAACCCGCAAACCTCCACAACCCACAGCTCTGGGTTATGACCCCTGTGGGTTCCAATGCCCGCTCCCGGTGCTGCGGGTGCTTGAACAGACCCCACGTTGCCCACCCCGCGTCCCTGCTGCCTGGCTCGGTGCTGCCAGCCGCCTGAGTGGTGGCAGAGGGAGCTGTGCCCAGCCCCAGGGCCGTGCCGTGTTCCCGCGGGGCTGCTCTGCCGAATGCAGCGCCGGGGGAAGCTGCCAGTGCTGGCACAGCCGTGCCCCAGCTCTCCTTCAACCAGCCCAGTGTAAACAGGAGATAAAAGGGCTGCAGTCTCCCCTGTGGGAAGGGGACAGAGCGGGGTCAAGCAGGTAGGACTGTGCCTGAGATCTTCCAGCTGCAGCTCAGAAAGCTGAGGGCTGTGCAACAGCCTCCAGCCAGCCTGGAGCTCCCCGCGGTGCCAGGACACCCCGCAGCTCTCTGCGAGCCTGCTTGGCTCTATTTATTAAAAAAAATAAATGGGATGATTGATGATGGAATTTGCCAAAAAAAAAAACCAGTCCCTGAGGTGAAGCAGCCGAGTGACTGCGACCAGTCCCTGTCTCCACTGAGGACCTTCCCCACAGAAGGCAAACCGCCTCTGCCCAGGGAGCAGCAGGTCTGGAGCTCAGCCGGCAGTCTTCAGCCCCTGGGGTCTCCTGGACATAAGCCTGGTCGCAGGACTGAGGCGGCGGAGGCTTGCCCACCCCAGGCCCTGCCCCACGCTCAGAGGAGGCAGCCGGCACGGGCCGCAGAGCCGCACCGATCCAGCGCAGCCGTCCCCGAGCCCGCGGGCGGCTGCATCCCGCCGGCAGCTTCCCGGGCCGCGTCCCGCAGCACTCGCCTCGTAGCTGAAGAAGAAGTTGCCGCTCTGGTGTGCAAACTGCCAGAAGCACTCCACGGCGCCGGCGGGGATGACGACGGCGAAGTCGTAGCGGTCTGCCCCGCGGAAGAGGGGCTCGTGGCCAGACCCACTCAGGGCTCGGTCTTGGGGCAGCCGGCGGGCCCAGCAGCACCAGGAGCACCAGCAGCACCAGCATCCTGCTTCCCAGTCCCCTGCACTGCCTCTGGCTGGGGGACCCGGCGTGGCAGGGGTAATCATTAACTGCTCAGCAGCAGCACGGGGCAGCGCCGGTGTCGGGAGGAGCAGCACAGGCTCCGCTCCTCAAGGTGATCTCCCCCAGCTGAACCCCTCTGCAGAGGCCAAGGCTGCTGCCAAGAAGCGCCACGGTCCCCAGGCAGCCCCTGCCCCTCGCCTGACCAACTCGGCCAGTCTGGGTCTCATGAATGAGCAAATTAATCAAGAAAAGTGTTTTCCTTCAAGAAACAGAGAGAGTCCTGAGCATGACTGACTGAACAGGGCCGCATCCTGCTCCCCCCCACAGTGGTGGCACGCTTTGGGCTGCACACCCTCCCTGCGCAGCCGAGGGCAAGAGCCTGGCGCAGAGAAGGGAAGAACAGGCTCAGCCCCACACCTGCTTCCAGCTGGGCAACACCAGCAGGCACTGCCTCACACTGGCAATTACTGGTCCAGCTTGCGGCTCCCAGTTAACCTCCCTACCCTGGTCTCTGCAAGCACAGGGTGCTCCTGCCTGCCCCGAGCCCAGGGACAGGGTTTTCCCGGCAGGAGAGGAGGGAAAGGCCCAGCCAGGTGCCGAGGGACTCTCAGTCCAGCAGCTGCTGCTGAAGGACGGAGGGAAAAGCAGGTGTTTCCACCTAGATTTCTCCCCAGCTCCACAGGAACGTGGCCAAGAGAGGCCGCTTCTAAAAAACACCCCCAAGACCTCCCTGCCCTTTGACTTCAACAGAAAACGAGTCCAGAAGCGTCTGCTTCACGCCTGCACCGATGTGGCAGCGCCTCACCCCTCTGGGGCAGCGCTGTCCCATCCCCAGCAGCCACTGACACGGCACCCCCAGCCCCAGCCGGCTCCTGAGGGGAGCCCCGTGGTCCTGGGGCGAGCAGGCAGCACCCCAAACTGCCCCACTGCCACCCACCAGGTGCGAGTTCACACTTACTACAACTCTTGAAATCCAACAAGAAAGGAACTTTATTTTACAGAAGACCACAGCTTTGGCACCTGACAGCAGGAAAGACGCCGCACCCTCAGAGCTCAGATGCTTGCAGGGATCGCACACAGAGGAGGATGTTGCCAGGAAGGAGGAGTGCCAGTAAGACATGACCAAAACCAGTAAGCACTACAGATTTAACATGGGAACAACCAATACTGAAGTACCGAAACAAAAAGTAATGTTTTTAAAGCCTCAAAGCTGGGAGGGAGAAATTCCCACTCACAGAGTAGCCATTTACAGAAAGAAACATGAAAAAAAACATCTAAGCAGATCATCTTGCCTAAATCTCCTCTCCCCAGAAGCTCTGGGATCATGTGCTGCCTCTCCCTCCAGGAGACTGAGTGCACACACATGAAACAAGCGATTCACAATTTAGACAGTTAAAACACATAAAAATAGTTACTAGTGGGATTATCCTACCATTTGACAGCATCTCTGGGCAGAGGATACTCGTTTCAGCAGCCCATCGGGTTGGCATTCCTTCTACAGCTGCCAGGTGGAAAAGGAAGTCCCAATCCAGGCCGTTTCCGAGCGCGTGCAATCAGGCTGCGCAGCTTCTGCCAACTGCAGGAGGCCTAAGCCTCGCAGCTACAGCTCGAGCCACGAGGCTCCTCGGCTCCTGTCAGACGTGGGTTCCGCCTGCTGCAGCAGCCTCAGGTACCACGAGCCAGCGGGGCTCACCACGCCGGCCCCAACACCCATCAGGGATGAGCGCAGCAGGCTCCCCGTTACTACTGCTCGGTCCATCTTTCAAAAGAAAAATAAGAAGGTTTTTGCACTGAAGGTCCTGTGGCGCCCATCTTTAGAGGATTCCCAGCTTTTTCATGGTCCGCCAGCGATCCTTGATCATCACAGCCGTACGGTTCTGGAAGGGGTATTTCTGGCAAATGGTTTTCCATCTCCCTTCTCCAAACTTCTTCACGCCCTCTTTGATCCACTCGCTCTCCTGGATTGTCCATTTCTACAAGAGAGCAGCAAGCAGTGTTCTGTGAGTACAGGCTGCCGCCTCAGGGAGGAGCTGCCTCTGGCAGAGCTGCACCCTAACTCCTTCCTAGCACGCGAGCTTCCCTGCATCACCCGTGCTGCTAGCACAGAGAGGCCGAGCTGGCCTGCCAGGAGCACACCCAGCACTCAATAATCACTTCGCTGCAGAGGTGCTCTCGCAACTGTTACAAAGAAGAGAAGTGCTGAGCTCCAGCACAAGCTCAGGAGCAGCTCTGCTACCCAAAGCACAACGCTGATCACATAAAAGCCATTGCCTTTTGATGCAACAGCAAGCCTCAGAGAGGCAAAGTACTCGCTGCCTACACCCTGTTCTCACAGCATACAAGTAGCGTTAAAAAAAAAAAAAAAAAGATCTGCAAGTTCAGGTCTGCAGGTCCCTGAATTTTTGTACTGGAGGCAAAATGCAAAGTAACTAAAGAAAACAGCTACCATGAACAAAGCGCTGATGTGGCATAGCAGCACAAGAGCCGGCAACAAGGGTGAGAGTTCCCAGTAGCACCAAACCCGGGACCCAGGTGTCGGCGGCCGTACGTGCATCCCTCACCCACGCGAGATGCTGAACCTCTCCGTCGCGTGGGGAATGCAGCAAACCTGGCTCTGAGCCACGTGCACCAAGGAGAAGGGACTTCACCCCCACCCCCCCCGGGCCTGGCGCGTGGGAGGCACGCAGCTTCAGCCAGCTACCAAACCGGGCTGTTTTAACAGAGGAACTCCAGCAGCTCTGCGAGTGCAGAGACCTGCTCAGCTCGGCTCAAGCCCGGATACGGCAAGCACGGCCTCAGGAATGATCCCGTTCCAACCCAGCCTCGGGTGCTTCATTTAAAGCACAGCAGCAGCTCGCCCCGCTGCAGTGAGCTGCGGGCTGCTGAGGAAGCGGTCTGAGCCGCGGTCCTCACCAGCACACTTCTAATTGTCCAGCAGTTTGCTTTCTGTACCGACATGTCCTGATTTCAGGCTCCACATTACCTGTTTCTTGGAACCAAAGACCATCGTGGTGTTGTTTGTCTCAAATGATGCTGAAAAACAAGGCCAGAGGATTACATTTCACCGTAACTCAGGAGGTACAGACCTCCTCGAGAGACCTGCCTTGAACTGTTGAACTGTGCAGTCGGCCTACAGTGAGAGCACCCTGTGACAGACAATAAAACCAAATGCCTTCATCCCTCCCTTTTCTGCAGCTATAGCGTGCACAGCCTTTCCGTTTCAAGCCCCAACTGCTTTACATGAGAGGATTCCAATAAGACCTGTTTTGTTTTAAACAAGCCAATACATCAAGAATAGGGGCATCCAGCCAGGATGTGGCTACGCTGTATGTTGAGGCTGGAATTAGGCATCTATTGTCCACTCCTTTTTATCAGCCAAGCTGTGAATTGAGCTGCAAAGGGGACTGGACTGGAAAACTGATCTGGCTGAAAACATAAACTTAACTTTTATTTCATGCCACTAAAGTGGGAACGGGGCAAGAGCTGCATTTCCAATATTTACATCCTGTGAGCTAAGCACAGTAGTCTGAAACTCGAACAGGAGTTTCTGGTGTGCATTTCAGGTCAAAGGTACAAAGAACAAATAATTCCAAGGTAGACAGCTATGTATTTTCTTGGGCTTTTAGGGTTTCTGGTTTCAAAATTCAGTCACATAGAAGGTAGCAAGACACCCGTGAATGAGCCCCAGAGCCAGAATTACCATCAATTAACATCTGCAACGGGGGCTCTGCTCTTACCTGCATCTGAGAAGAGCTCATCCTCCTCGCTCCACCTGTCTTTCTCCTCTTCACCGTATGAGCTGTTCCACCTTCTTTGGAAGGACCTAAAAACAGGGAAGCGTTTACTTTGGCTACTGGCTAGGGAGAATGCTTTAGTGGGAGGAGGTTCAGGGACACCTGGAACAGAGCAGGCAAGCCCGCAGCGAGCACACTGCGCAGAGAAATGTGCCCAGAACACAACAGATAAACACGCCAGCACCTCCTCCGCTCCCCTCCAAGCGGGGACAAATCCTTAGGAGCTCTTATCTAGAGATGGCATGCAACACGTACACAAATATAAGTGGAGTACTTTGTAGCCAGCATTTACAAAACCAAGTGACTGGGTATTAACTACACAATTAAGCACTTCCAGCAAACAGACACGCACAGCTGAACTTTCCAGGCCTTCGGGTATGGCACAGACTCGCCAACAGCCCAGGGGAGAAGCCTTTAGTCTTCCCAAGAAGCATTTAACTCTTACTGCTTCACTACTAACACTACTGAGGTCAACTAAGCACCAGAGGCCTCTCCATAAAATCAAGTGCCTCCATACCATCACCTGCTTCCAATCCTCAAGCACAAACGGGTGAGATAAAATTGTCTGTTAAAAATAAACTTAAAAAGGTCCATCCCTGGCTGTCACATCCAATATAATTGAAGCTTTTTATGATTACAGGAAAGTAATTGTTCTCTATTCTTATTTGAAGTTGCCTCTTTCTTGCACATAAAGATTTGAGAGCCAGATACTGGCAGAGATGCACACGATTAGATTTCCAGAAAGATGTGGAATCTGTGGTGCTGACAACGAGTCCTGACGTGTAACAGCTTCAAGACAAGACACCTGCACAAGCAGCACAGGCGATATATCACTTCCTGGACACCAACCTGCACAGTGGCAGGGCTGAAACTCAAGAACTGCTCAAGGCAGTGTCAGCAGCCCCTCCCCAATCCAACACCAACCCTTGCTTTAGGCACCAGGCATGGGATGGGAAGGCATCACACATGAGTCACTGCATACAGCCCCTTCCCCGGGCTGTCAGGCACAGCACTATGCTCTGGAAGAGCTCACAAAACATCATCCTACTCCCACAATGATTCCCAGCACCCTCAAAAAGAAGTCCAGACATGTCATAGGGACAGCAACATCAGCTGCAATGTATTACCAGAAAACAAAAAACAACAAAAAAAAACAAAAAACAAAAAAAAAAAAACAAAAAAAAAAACAAACTCCAAAAGAGTTCAAGTGTCACCACTCAAGGGTTTGAGAGTAGGAAATGTATTAATTCAAATTCCCAGATGACTCTAGGGAGTGGACAATAGCAGGGGTAGAGACCCCTTCTCAGCATCATAAACTAATTGAGTTTAACCCTGAAGAAGACACAGCAGCAAGGTGTCAGAGATGTCACCACTGTCTGCATTGATGCTTGCTGCACACCTCTACTTGCAGTAGCTTCCCGTGCTACCGCACGTGCTTCAGGGAGGTGATCCATCCACAGCAGCCAAGCTACAGAGCACTGAGACCTTCCCTGCCCGCCCTTCGAAACCAAACCTTTGTGTTCTTGACATTCTTAAGCCAGAAACTAAGGGAAACTGTGTTCTAGTTATCCTTCAAACACATCAAGTTCTCCTCAATCCTCCCAGTTTCACTCCTGGGGATCCAAAACATCACTACTGCTGGCATCTATGCAATCCACTAAAAGAAGAGCAACTCAGACATTTAAGCATGAAGCTTTGTTACACCCTTGTTACGGCCTGCAGGAGATACTCATGAGACTCAGCTTAAGAGTCTCATATCAGTGTTAATTTTGGCCGTCTGACAGTAACCCTACCTTGACATTTTCTGTAGGAAATCCTTATAAAAAGGAAAAAATCCTAACATACCTCTACCCTTATTGCAGTCATTTCAGCTGCAGGGTAAGTGATAACTCATACTGAAGAAACAGTCAGAGAGCTACAACTAGGAGTTTCTTAATCAACACAGGTTTCAAGACAAAAGATCTTCAGCGAAGTCAGTGTTTTATTTCTCAAGAGGTGGAAATAGTTCAATCTGTTCCACAAGATGCACCTACAAACCCTTTCCAGCTCCAGCTTCACTAACCAAAGTGCAGAGGAACAGGCATTACCTCTGACCCACATGCTGCAATCACCTACCAACACCACCTGCAGTACCTCTGACTCCCTGCCACCAGAACCTGGATCATTTTCTCCCCTCCATTAACCAAACGGCAAAGCGTAAGGACAACAGTGTTTACTTTGCCCGGTTGCACGTATGCTAGCAGACAAGAATGGTCAATATACTCATCTTGAATTAAAGATAAAGGTTTTTGTTGTTCATGCTACCGATGTCAGCTGCAAGTCAAAAGATTGGGTGCAGATTAGAATATACCACAAGAGATGGGCTTCATACTTGGCACTCTCAGTAGATACAGGCTGGACATGCAATTTCTGAACAGGTCTGGAAGCAGAAGATACAACTGGCTCCTGGGAAGAGTCTGGGCTCTCACTCGACTCGCTGTACTGGCTGTCTTGCTCCATGACCAGTTTGCTTATGGTCAACAAGCGTTTGCCCTTATGGGGTATTTCAGGAGGGTCTGAGATCTCAGAATCTTGATTCGCCGCCTCTTTCCGTCTCTTGGTTCTGTGGGATACAGAAGGAGACAGTTGCTTGGGGAAAGAAAAGTCTGTTTCGTCCAGTTTGGTGAAGAGTGCATCAGAATCCTGGGAGTCCGACAGGATCTTGAAAGCTTCTCTCAGAACAGAAATCCCATACGTGGTTACAGTTCCAGAGGGCTGCCTACAAAATAAACAGAACTGAGCAGGTTGTAAAGGCATCACCAAGGTGGCTCCACTTCACTGAAATCAGGCTTTTCCCCTACAGTGTGACCCTCAACAGCTGACCCTGGGTGCAAAATGTCTACTGAAGAGGGCGTTCCCAACCCTTCGGTCCACCTTCCTTCTAAACGATGCGGCACACCGGGGAAGCAGGTTGAGAATGCCCACGCTCCACACGCCCCTGGGTGCCCTGCTGTTCTCAACTACGGCCTGAACCGTATGGTTCACCAAACGCTGCTCCACGAGAGCAAACCTGGCAGCCGCCGCCCTCCCTCCCTAGTTTACAAAAAGGACTACATATCTTTGGATAAAAGAACCAAACCGCCTTAACGTTTTTACTGTGATCCAGACAGAAGTCTTACACCGACAGCCTTTGGGGCTTGCTCAGGCAGACCTGCTTGGGCTGGCGTTCGGGGAAGCTAAGAGCTACCTGGACTGAGCAAACCACCCCTCGGAAGAGACCTGCTGCCACACTTTACCCACCACGCAGGGCCAGATTCCTCTGCCCACCTTTCCGAGTCCCTGAAGGACACTCCTGGAAGTTCTGGAGTTGCTGCTGCTGGTTCTTTAGATATTTCCATAGGCTCTGAAGCATCTTCCAAGATACTGGCTGATTCCATTACATGCTCAGGAGTTGCTGCTCGGTCAGTAGCTCCTTCCATAGACTCGGGAGCTGCTGCTGAGTCATCTGCCCTTTCTACAGGGTTGGGAGCTCCCTCCAGGTCTTTCGCTGTTTCTGCAGGCTCTGGAGCTCCTGCTGGGCCTTCAGCCCCGCCAAGGGCTCCAGAGCTGCTGCCTGGTCCTTTGGCCTCTTTGCAGACTCAGGAGTCGCCGATGAGGTTTTGGTTCTTTAGCACATTCTAGATTCAAAGACTTTTTCATTATCTTGGAGAGAGAAAAAGCACGTAACCATTATAAAAATGACTCCTTGTACTACCATGCAATTTTATCCCCTCCCCAAAGGCACTTTAAGACGTTACTTGTAGTTTGACCAGCACCATGTACAGAGCTCACGTCTATCAATTAAAACTTGTTACATGGATTGAAAGACATGTTTAACTATATAAACCTTTCAGGAACAGACTTTAAAGTATTTGGATTCAACCCACTGCTAATTAGGTGCCTAAACTCTAACTCATTACTGGCTCAGAAGGCACACAGAAGCCAAATTACTGTATTTCGTTGTGGCAAAGTGTTAGTTCTCCCCAAATCTGCACCTCGTGCCACTTTCCTGCTGCCCCTTGCTGGGGCAGAGGCAAGCGCAGGACGGGAAGCCAGGTGAGCAGGGTGGACACGTACTGTTAGCAGCAGCGGCTCCGAATCATCCACATAGGTCTTCAGGACCTGAAACACGCTCTGCTGGAAGTTCTTGTAAGAGAAGTTTTTGATGATTGGATGAGTGAAATTCTTCTCCCGGATGATAGTCAGCAACTCGTTCCTCTTTTTCTAGAGAAGGGGTAAGAATGCTCTGAGTAGGTACAAGTGTATATGTGGCAAGCGCAGGTGCTAGGGTCTGGGTGAGGGTTGGGCCTTTCCTAACTGGCATTCTCCAGGCACAACTAGTTTACACTGACATAAGGTTGGGAAAAGGCCAGAGGAACAGGCAAGCTGTTTAGCAGTTCTGACTTTTCACTTCTAGTGCCCAAGATATTACACTGCCTACAGAAACAGGAACAGGGACTCTTTTCTGCTTTCAAAACCAGCCCTTCTTACAATCCCACGCTCTACACGTGAGACAAAGGATGAGTGTTGATGCCTGGAAGACCCATGAAGATACGTGAGTAACAGAGAAAGCTCCAAAATGACAATCCACATGCTTTAGAAACACGCAACGCTGCATGTCCATCATTCAAGGAGGACTATTTCCATGTCATCACCCTTACCCTTTTTTCTTGTTAAGGTTTCCCCACAAGGCATGCTTCTCAGGGAAATCTTTTACGCCTGCAATACAGGTCACAAGTGCCCCCTCCCCCAAGACATATAAGACCACCCCAAACATCCCCGCTCCCCAACACACCCCGTCAGACACAACGCACAGTCCTCAAGCAGCCATCTTCCATTCCAGCAGACTCACCTGGTTTCTGGGCTCCTTCCCAATATGCCTCTTGACAATTTTGGAAGCTTTATCAAACTCTCTGTTTTGATGCAGACAACAACAGCCTACGGAAGAAAACAAATATCAATTTCTCTGGTGACATTGAATTGACCATACACTCTAGATCAGCTTTGGAAAAGCATGTATCGTAATCAAGCACACAGGTAACAGCTTAGTATTGACTTCCACAGAGAAAACAACTTCTACTGATGAAAAAGTACATACACTGAAGAGACACATTTGTGGCAAAGTCAGTACTAATGACAATATTCCACACACAAGGCAATTCCCAGTCACTTACACAAGATCTAACACAAAAGAGGAGCAGAGTATTTATTGAAAAAGGTCTTACAGCTTCCTTCACCATTTTCTGAACAGTTTCCATCGTCTTCTCCGCCACGGAGAATTCTCTCTGAATGAGCTCCAGGACACCGAGTGCCGATTCAAGAGGGGTGAGCTCCAGCTCTTGATCGAAGGTGCAATCTGCAAGAATTCACGGCATTGCCTCACAGACAGCTGGCTACTCACTTGCTCAGCCTGACTGCGAATTCTAGAGCGATTGCGGATGAAGAGGGAATGGCAGGCTGACTGCCAACTGTCTAAACTTGGGGCAAGACCCACCCCCAGACACGGAAAGCTACAGAAGCACCACTTGACTAGAAGTAACTGATCGGGGGGGCATTCCAGAAGTCAGGAGGTTGGTATGTTCAGATAGCAGGACAGCCCTGGAGCTTGGGTTCAAGCATGTTGCTTGTGTATGAGGCAGCATGACGCAGGCATAAACAGCCACGCTCTGGGGCCCTCACCCTCAGGGGAAAGCTCCGACAGCTCCAGAGCTCCGGCACAGACCTCTGCTCCGCGCAGCACAGCTCCTGGGAGCTGCAGGGGCACAGCCACGGAACCGGGCACGCTCCGGCCGGGGCAGCGGGCTGCGAGCCTGCACTGGGGTTTGCCCAGAGCCTTGCTGGGGGCGTTGGGGACCCACCGAGGTTCTCGCCTTCCTCGATCCGCGACAGGAGTTGCATGAAGCGCAGCATCTTGGACACCAGCAGATCCTTCTTCAGAGGCCGCATCAGCAGCGCTGGGGGACAAGAGGGAGGTTACAGCGGCCCAGCCTGCGCCCCCCCTCGCCCCCGGCCCCCCGCTCTCCCCGCCCCGACCGGCCCCGCCACGGGCGCCCCACGTGACGTGGCATACCCTGCATGACGTCGCGGAGCTGACGGAAGTCGCCGTTCCGTCCGGAGCGGTATGCCGCCATGGCCTGGTGGAAGTACAACTGCAGGACCTGGGCGTTCACCGTCTCCTCGGAGAGGCCGCCCCGCGCCGCCATCTTCCCCCGCCGAGCCTCCCGCGCCCGCTTCCCCACCATCCCGCCAGGAAGTGACGTTAAGCCCCGGCGGAAGTGACGATAGAGGTCGGCCACCTCCTCGCCCCCCTGGCGCGGTAGGCCGTATTGCGCAGCGAGCGCCTACAGCTCCCGGCGTGCACCGCGGCGGCGCAGGGCCGGGATGGCGCCCTCTGTCGGGTGGGCGGAGTGCTGCAGGGCGGGGCGCGGCGGGCGGGGAACAGGGGGCAGGGACAGAGGGCAGGGACACTGCAGGCAGGGAACACAGGCAGGGAGAGCGGGCAGGGACACTGCAGGCAGGGACACTGCAGGCAGGGAACACAGGCAGGGAGAGCGGGCAGGGACACTGCAGGCAGGGACACTGCAGGCAGGGACACTGCAGGCAGGGAAGACAGGCAGGGACAGCGGGCAGGGACACTGCAGGCAGGGACATTGCAGGCAGGGAACACAGGCAGGGACAGCGGGCAGGGACACTGCAGGCAGGGACATTGCAGGCAGGGAACACAGGCAGGGACACTGCAGGCAGGGACATTGCAGGCAGGGAACACAGGCAGGGACATTGCAGGCAGGGACATTGAAGGCAGGGAACACAGGCAGGGACAGAGGGGAGGGACACTGCAGGCAGGGACACTGCAGGCAGGGAAACAGGCAGGGAGAGCGGGCAGGGACACTGCAGGCAGGGACACTACAGGCAGGGAACACAGGCAGGGACAGAGGGGAGGGACACTGCAGGCAGGGACACTGCAGGCAGGGACACTGCAGGCAGGGAAGACAGGCAGGGACAGCAGGGCAGGGACACTGCAGGCAGGGACATTGCAGGCAGGGAACACAGGCAGGGACAGCGGGCAGGGACACTGCAGGCAGGGACATTGCAGGCAGGGAACACAGGCAGGGACACTGCAGGCAGGGACATTGCAGGCAGGGAACACAGGCAGGGACATGCAGGCAGGGACATTGAAGGCAGGGAACACAGGCAGGGACAGAGGGGGGGACACTGCAGGCAGGGACATTGCAGGCAGGGAACACAGGCAGGGAGAGCGGCAGGGACACTGCAGGCAGGGAACACAGGCAGGGAACACAGGCAGGGACAGCGGGCAGGGACACTGCAGGCAGGGACACTGCAGGCAGGGACACTGCAGGCAGGGAAGACAGGCAGGGACAGAGGGCAGGGACACTGCAGGCAGGGACATTGCAGGCAGGGACACGCGGCAGGGACACTGCAGGCAGGGACACTACAGGCAGGGACACGGGCAGGGAAGGCAGGGACACTGCAGGCAGGGACACTGCAGGCAGGGACACTGCAGGCAGGGAAGACAGGCAGGGACAGAGGCAGGGACACTGCAGGCAGGGACATTGCAGGCAGGGACAGCGGGCAGGGACACTGCAGGCAGGGACATTGCAGGCAGGGAACACAGGCAGGGACATTGCAGGCAGGGACATTGCAGGCAGGGAACACAGGCAGGGACAGAGGGCAGGGACACTGCAGGCAGGGAAGACAGGCAGGGACAGAGGGCAGGGACACTGCAGGCAGGGACATTGCAGGCAGGGACATGCAGGCAGGGACATTGCAGGCAGGGACATGCAGGCAGGAACACAGGCAGGAGAGCGGGCAGGGACACTGCAGGCAGGGAACACAGGCAGGGACAGCGGGCAGGGACACTGCAGGCAGGGAACACAGGCAGGGACAGCGGGCAGGGACACTGCAGGCAGGGAACACAGGCAGGGACACTGCAGGCAGGGACACTACAGGCAGGGAACACAGGCAGGGACAGCGGGCAGGGACACTGCAGGCAGGGACACTGCAGGCAGGGACACTGCAGGCAGGGAAGACAGGCAGGGACAGAGGGCAGGGACACTGCAGGCAGGGACATTGCAGGCAGGGACAGCGGGCAGGGACACTGCAGGCAGGGCATTGCAGGCAGGGAACACAGGCAGGGACATTGCAGGCAGGGACATGCAGGCAGGGAACACAGGCAGGACAGAGGGCAGGGACACTGCAGGCAGGGAACACAGGCAGGGAGAGCGGGCAGGGACACTGCAGGCAGGGACACTGCAGGCAGGGACATTGCAGGCACATTGCAGGCAGGGACATTGCAGGCAGGGAACACAGGCAGGGAGAGCGGGCAGGGACACTGCAGGCAGGGAACACAGGCAGGGACAGCGGGCAGGGACACTGCAGGCAGGGACATTGCAGGCAGGGACATTGCAGGCAGGGAACACAGGCAGGGACACTGCAGGCAGGACACTGCAGGCAGGGAACACAGGCAGGGACAGCGGGCAGGGACACTGCAGGCAGGGAACACAGGCAGGGACAGCGGGCAGGGACACTGCAGGCAGGGACACTGCAGGCAGGGAACACAGGCAGGGAGAGCAGGCAGGGAACACAGGCAGGAACAGCGGGCAGGGACACTGCAGGCAGGGACCTTGCAAGTAGGGGCGAAGTAGGCAGGGAGAGAGGGCAGGGGCACTGCAGGCAGGGGCACAGGCAGGGACAAAGCAGGCAGGGGAAGAGGGCAGGGACAGTGGGCAGGGACCAGGGGAAGCAGGCAGGGACAGCAGGTAGGGGCACTGCAGGCAGGGACATTGCAAGAAGCGTCAAAGCAGGCAGGGGACACAGGCAGGAGCAGCGGGCAGGGACAGAGGCACTGCCAGCCTCCTCCCTGGGTGTGGGAACCCACCCGCCGCCCATCTCTGCCCACGGGCAGCGTGGCGGGCTCCTGCCGGCACCCACGCTGCCTGGCCCCCGTGGGGAGTGGCCCCCAGCCCCCCACGGGTGTGGGGAGCCGTGGGGCAGGGCCCACCCCAGCCTGCCTGCAGCTTTGCACCCACTGCGCCCAGCACCCGGGTCCTGGCATGCTCAGCCCTGAGCCAGGCGGCACACCCGCTCATCTATAGAGTCCCACGAGCTCGCAGGTCATTCCCCGCCCGCCAAAAGGTGAACACAGAGCGAGAGGCAGAGGAAGGACGCCTTCCTCACCCTCTTCCAACCACCAGTTCAATTCTCCCAGCAGAACCAGTGTTTTTTGGAGCACTGGTTACCTTATTTCAGCTGGGAAACGGGGAACAGAAGGGAAACGGCCACCTGTAAACAGTGAGAGATCCCCCGAGCTGTGCATTCCACCTCGCACACCGGGTTGGGGACGGCTGTTGGACCTAAACCAGTCAGTGCCCTCCCTGCCAGCACGGACAGCCGCCCGGCACGCGAGCCGTCCCGCCGAGAAACGGGCAACAGAAACCACCACGTGCACCGGCCCGGCCTCAGCGTGGGGAGAGGCGGCTCGACGCCCAACTCGGGGCAGGACATTAAGGCTTAAGCACAACCTCCATTTGCAGACACGGTTGAACACTTCAAGTGTTAGAGAGGAGCTGTTGTTTTGTACACTATTTGTGGTTATTTCTTTACTTTATGCTCTTTATTCTAGTCTTTTGAACAGCCAGGACATTTCCATACACCGTTGACGCCCTTTCCTCATACTCCAGCCAGCTGCAGACATCATTCCCCTAACCTGCAACAACAGAATGAGGTCCCCATTTCAGCGTCTTGGGGCAGAGATTTTGCCATAGTTACTCAGGCTTTGTGTAACTTTGGCTCCCCAGTAATCCCCGGGTGCCAAGAACTGGTGCCCTGCGGAGGGAAGCGGATCCTCTAGATTAGGGGGTGGCTCTCTGCCGCTCCAGGACATCTCTCGCTCGGAGGCGGCGTCGCTTTGGCCCTGGGAACATCACTGACACCGTTCTGGAGATTATTTCACCTGAGGTGAAAAAGCACGTGAAAATTCCTCTCGCATTAGGTTATCCAGGATACTCCCCTCCCTCCACCCCTGGCCAGAGGAGAAGGAAACACACATGAGAAAAATCCATGTGTCAAAGGGAAAACGGTAAAACTGGGAGGGATTTTTTTTTTTTATTGGCAAACAAAGGGAGATAAAAATAATCTGGGCAAGAAAGAAGGGTGGCTGTTCACGCGGGGCAGCGTGACTGCCCTGGGGAGAGCAAGCACAGAAAGGGAGCCGTGCGAGCGGGGCACGGCACAACCGTGTCACGCGGCCGGCGAGTGCGCGCCGTTCAATGTTGGGAAGGACGCAGAGAGAGAAACCGACGGCTGTTTCCTGGGCTGAAGGGATGATGGAGCGGCGTGCTTTGGTTAAATTACTTTTCTGTATGAAATATTGATGAGCAAAATGGTTTTTGTTCTTTTTCTGTCACAAGAACAGGTGACAGGGCCGGGGCTCTTGAGCGTCACCGTTCTCCCCTTGATTCAAGGAGAGGCCGATCGGCCCCTGCGTTAGCGTAAGATTGGTTGCCCCCACAGCCTTTCAAACACCGCCGCTGCTCTCCTGAGTAGAAAACTCCATGTTTTCTGAAAAACTCAGTACCTTCTGCACCTAAGATACACACCTCTCCAACTAGATGTGCCACCCACTTTGGCAGATCCCACCAGCCCCGTACAGGTTTAGGATTTTGAGTCATTTAATTTATTTTTTTGCTCAAAGATCAGAACAGAGGGTCCTCAGAGTCCTCTCCCAAGGAAAAAAAGTGAGCTTTCTCTCTGAGACACCTGGACAAAGCCATTTGGGGACTACATGCCATCTCCAAGCCAGGCTTCTCTCAGGAAAAGCAGCGGAGTTGTTGCTCACCAGGTCCACTTCCGCAACCCCCTGCTTCTCCCTCCTGTCCTTGCCCCTCTGGGGCTGCCATCACCTCGTCCTCCTGCCCACCAGCATCTCCCCTTCCCACACTGTTTCATGGCCTGCCGGGGCCAATTACATGTTCACAGCACCCAGCATTGGAAACTGGGCCTGAAAGTGTGATTTCCAGAGTAAATACAGAAATATAAACCATTGTTTCACTCTCTGACTCTTCTACAATGAATGAAAAGGAACGGGGACTGTGGAAGCAGGCAGTGGGCCTGGAATGCAAGTGGCCTTGCTGTCCAGTTTCACCAAATCTTTGCCCGGTGTCATCATCAATTTTTTCAGGAAAAGGTTTGGTGTTTCACGTGCCAAAAGAAACACTGGGCAGGAAGACCCAAATTACAGTTGTGTTTGTGCTTTTTAGTCTTAACTAGTTGATTTATGGATTTTGATGAAGTGATTACAGATGAAAGAAAACATTCCAGGGAACAAGATCTGCACGTTGCTGCGGTCTCGTGTCTGTCTTTCTGTATGAGTTACAGTGGAAAAGAAAACAGGAAAGTCACCAGGGGCACCTGGTCACCACGCACTCTTTTCTCTGTCACACAGCACAGGCTGCGTGCGCGGTGCTGTACTGAACAGAAGACAACAGCAGCTGCCCTACAGGCTTGATCTCTAGACAGACACGACAGATTTCTGACTTCTGTTTGGGCTCAATAATCATAAGGAAGAGCAGCGATTTAATTCTGTTGCTCAATAAATATAGAGCTTGCTTGTTACCATGATCATTATTTATATTGCTAATATGCCTAGAAAGCCTGCTCACAGACCAGGATGCCACTACGTTACGCACAAGTGCAAAACAGACCCTGAGCCAAGTAGTCTTAGAAAGGCAGTGGACAGCTACAGAAAAACAGGCAGCAATGAAACCAACAGAAAAGGGAATTGTTGAGAAAGATAATGAGATTGCTTTGCAAAATACACGGAGAAACGCTCCAGGCATGAAAGCTGCAGAGAAGAAAGCACAAAGGCACTTACTAAAAAAATTGATCAAATAGGTTATAGAAACTGATGCTGTGAACCGCTTTGAGGCAAAGGTTATATTGAAATCGAGACAGGCAGGAATGTGCTGGGAAGGGTCTAGAAAAAGAGACATAGGTTTTGATGCAGTGAAGGGCTGGGCCCAGCAGAAATGTGCCAAGAGATGGGTAGGCTGGTCAAAGCAAGAGGGCAGAGTGATCCTTACAGCAGCTCTGTGTGAGAAATGATACGTGACTGAGCTTACCAAGGCCAGGCTGAAGGATGGTGTGGCAACGGGGGTGCACAATGATGCAGTTCCACACTAGTTTACAGGATGTAGCCTGGCTGAGGGGAGCTTGCTTCTTAGCAAGGTCAGACGGTAGGGGAACTGCAAGGTGATACGTCAGATCAGTGCAAGGAGCTAGAAATGGTTCCATGTCAGAGAGAATACTCGGGTTACACACAGAATCAGGGAAACACCCCTAATGACTGGAAAAAGATATACAGAAAGGAACAAAAGAAGCAGCAGCAGCTCAATATTTAAGCTATGTTGAGACTGAGCTATTGATTGGGTAACTGTGAAGAAGTTTCAGAACAACAGGCTAAGACTTCAACAATATACAAGTATCTGGTGAAGTAAATGTATGGACTTGCCCGAATAGAAGATACCTGAATTTGCATTTACAGATGAAGTATCTGTATTGCTGTGAAATAGCTGGAGAGGAAGCCGTGAGGTCTGCACCCTCCAGCCCATAACAAAACTAGAGAGGAAAAGGAGGCCAAAGATTTCAAGAACAGCATGACTTTAGCAGCTGCTTTGCATAGCCCAAGCACGTAGAGAGTACTGGTTCTGACACTTGGCTTGGAAGAAGTCACTGCAGACTTTATTGGGCAATGAGTGGGGATCGAGTGTGTATTTAAAGGACTTCAAGTGTGCATGCATTGCCTCAGTTAAAAAAAAAAAAAAAGTTATCATAGATGAAAGCACTGAGATATTCTAGCTTTATGGCTGTCTCAATAGATGTCATAAAGTAACAGAGTTTAATTTAGAGGGTGGCCACACAAAAGCATACAATTCATCAGAGTAACATAGCAAAGGCAGAGCATGCAACCACGTGCTGCACTATCTACCAGGCTTTTGGAGAAGCAGAAACCCCAGTTTGCTGTGCCAGCAGAGTATGAGTAAGAATTCAGATAAGACTACAAGCCCACTGGGAAGCACAAGGCAGTAAATGCCCTGACAAAGACACTCTGGTACAGCTGTGAGAACCGAGCGCCTTACGGAACAACATGAGGGAAAGTCACCAGCACACCAGGTACCAAAGGACGTGAAACATTCAGTAAAGTTCAACTACTGCTGTGGTATATCCAAATTTATAGCCTACTTCCTAAGACAGAGAACACACTCACAGCAGGAGATGGATTTGAATCCTACGCAAATCTGACTCGAATGCCTTCCCTCCCTGCACTTTACCTAGTAGAGTGGCTTTATTTCTTTACTACTTTGATTGCACCTTGATCCCCATTTCCTTGTGCAGAACCAGCAGGACAAGGCCAGGAGATGCCAGTGTATGAAAAAGAGCTGCCATGCCAGGTCTCACCCAGAATTTCAGCCATTTGGAAAGGCTGTGCATTACAACAGTAATTGGATTACAGACTATGGTTGGCAGGCATCACTGAAGCAATTTCTCCCTAAGTAAGAAAAGATACCATTCTTTCTACCAGAGAGTGACTGAGAACATTTGTTTGACTTACAACCTGGGACCTTCAGGGACCTAGCCTGCCTTTGTACAAAAGTGGATGTGGACAGACAGCACGGTTAGTTAGGATAACATCTTTGAGCTGATAAATCTCCCAGACTGTACCATTAGGTATGTCTCATTCCCATAGAGATCCCAGCTTAATGGCAATGCAGGTACAGGTATCTACTTCACTTGAGCTCCTTTTAAAATCCCAACTGTAGCCAACTGCACAGACCTTAGCCTGCTCAAATTCTCTTTGCATATACCTTTAATCTCTAGTCAATGTTGGTAATAGTGTTAGCACTTCTTACAACATAGGGCATTTCTGCTCCTCAGCAGTTACGTTAAAACAAACAGTCCACTGTCCAGTGTTATACCTCCACTGCAAGTGTAAGAAAATAAATTCCACAGCCACAGATGCGAGTACATGAATGAAAACCATCAGGTTTACAAGTTACTCAGGTTCCTGAGCTTCCAAACAGTCTTCATCCCTAAACCTGCTCAACGTGGCTGGCAGGGATGAGAGAACTTGCCAAGTGCCCCATCACATCTGCATGGGAACGCTTTCCTTTAGAAGCTGATACAAACGCAGCCCTTAGAGGCGTGCCGCACCTCCACTGGCTCAATTTAAAGATCTGTGAGATGGCCATCTATTTTATCTACACGCAGAAAGAATCAAAACAAAAATCGAAAGCCCACCCAAGGAGCACTGCAGTTCAGCCCAGGGACCCTGACAAGTGGTTCTTGCCTGTGTATATCCTGTACGTTTTCCTGATGAAGCAGCTGCTACCTTGTGGCCCTGTCCCCACAGCTGCCGGGGGTGGCCTGCACTGCCGCACGGCCTTTCCGACCGCGTTTGCCACCAGAGACAACCCCGAGGCAGCCCGTAAAGGGGCCTGCAGCTGGGCTTGGGGTGCCGCAGCTCCAGCCGCAGGCTGTCAGGCCAGCTCGGACGGTCCCGGACCGGAACGAGCACGTCCCCAAGACACCCCGGTTTCCCTTCACCCGCCCAACAGGCCGGACGGGAAGAGTTACCAGAGGCCGGGGATGGACACCGGGCAGCGCTGCTGACAGGCACCTCGCTGCGGGGCGGTTGATGGCCCGGCTGCCCGCCAGCTGCGCCCCGGGGGAGCCGGGGCCGGGGCCGGGCCGCTCTCCCTGAGGCGAGGCGAGGCGAGGCGAGGCGAGGCGAGGCCCAGCGCCTTCCCGCCCTGTCGCTCTGGCCGCTCCCTATTGGCCCTCGCCCGGCATTGCGCCATCCCATTGGCTGCAGCCGGCGGCAGCACCCGCCCTTCCCTCTCCTCATTGGCCGACGGACGCGGCCGTGAGCCGCCGTGGGATACCGGTAATGGGGGCGGGCGGGTCCGCCATCGCTACGGTGGCTGCCGCGGGCCACGCCTCTGCCGTTCCGCGAAGCTGCTGGCGGCCAGCATGGAGCCGGCGGAGCGCACGGAGGCCGGGGGCTGCGCGGCGGGGGCCGGGGCCGGGGCCGGGGCCGGGCCCGGGCCCGTGTTCACGCTGGAGGAGGTGGGGAAGCGGAACTCGAGCCGCGAAGCCTGGCTGGTTATCCACGGGCGCGTCTACGATGTCACTCGCTTCCTGGAGGAGGTGAGGCCGCGCGGGGCGGGGTCCCGGCCCGTCCCCTCAGGGGCCGGCTTGGGGAAGGACAGGGCCTGGGGGGGCCTGAGGGGCAGGGGGGAACAATAAGAGACAGGAGGGCGCCATGGGGGGCAGAGATCTGAGGGGGGGGTGTGCGAGGGGAAGGGGGGAGCCCCCCGCCGTGTCCCTGAGGCAGGAGACGCCTGGAAGGAACGGGAAAGGCCATCCCGAGCGCAGGGGATGTGCTTCGAATCGTTTTGAGTCAACTCCTGTTTCCTTAGGAAATCTGTTCAAGCATGCCTTACGTGGGAGGTGCAGCTCCCCTTAAGCCACAATACTCCTGGTCTTGTGGGGTAAACAGGATCGGGCTAGATCAGTAGTTCAAATTTGACATCTCCAGGGTCACCCCAGAACTTAAAGCTGATTCAGCAGGTGAGCCTCTGCTGCACTGGTGCCTTCCCAGAGGTGACCATGCACCAGCGATTTGGAAGTGATGCAGTCTCTGCTGCCTGATCCCCAGTTCTCTGGGCTGTGGGGTCAAAAATTGCTTCTAGGCTCGATGCTTTGCCTTCTGTTTTTAAGAAGGTTGAGAGCGGTATCATTTGTGTTTGGAACTGAAAACTGAAATGGGAAGAAATGGTAAAAAAATTTCAAAGGGCTTTTATCCCAGCTTAAAATACCAGTTTAAAATAACACCAAACCTGCTGTAGCATCTACAGAGTAACATGTGAAAGTTAGTCATAATCAGCTCTAAAAGAAGAGCACTTCATTGAAAATGTGCATGTTGCTGCTTGTTGGCTTTGCTTGTCTAAACTAAACTCTGATTTTCCTTCAGGCGTATATGATTAGAACATGTCTCTTATGTAGTCATAACATATAGTGACAAAGCTACTTTGGTGAGGTGTAGAGGCTCATCAGATAGGAGGAGAAAATTATAACCTGGCAGCTTTTTTACAGTGGCCTGACAGCTGGAGGTAGTAGCTTTTGGTATTTATTTATAAACTTGGACACACTTGTCTTGTTCACTGGATCCAGCATCATGATGCTTCCTTCGCTTTGAGTCTTCTCCTGACATTTATTTTAAGAGAGCCTCTAAGATATTTCAGTGAACAAATTAGGGACTTGTCTTTTGCTATGGTGGCTTGATCTGGCCATTGCCATAGCCAGTTCTGCACTGTTCATAGCTTTTGTAATGAAAAATCTTGCTTTTGTGGGACCATGAATGGATCCTGGCTGCTCGCTCCTTTGCACACCAGTGCATACTGTTGGTTCTCCAGCACTGTTTACAGATGTCTCTGTGTCAGGTGCAGGATCTGAAAAGCTGCCTGCTGAGCTGCTGTTGGTCTTGGGTCTTTGATACTTGAGAGAGACTCTGGGCACCCAGTACGCTGGAGAGAAAAGCATGTGGGGCAGTGGGAGGGTGCCTGGGGTCCTGCAGTGCTGCAGAGCGGCAGTGGCATGAAGAATTACCATATCAGCTGGTGCTCAGCTGTTTGTTTTATAGGAGAGCCTGCAGGTCCGGCCGAGGTGAGGGACCGTTTGCACATTTAGTCACGTGCATCTACAGCAAGAGGTACACTGTGCAGTAGAGAGCTTATTGTTGGGGTGGGAAGGAGAAGACAATTGTGTTGAGTGTGACTAACTCAGGAAGCTCTTTAATGGTGGAGCTACGAGCAGAATTGAGATACTCAGATTCCTGCTCCAGGGTCAGTTCACAAGACCAGGAGTTTTCCAGCTGGTACATGAGGATTTTTTGGGCAGCTGACTGCCTCCTTCTGCATGCACGCCCCCTCCAACGTTTGGGTGCCAACCCTGTCATCTAGCATCTGTCAGATTCCAGAGAGTGCAGCAGAGTACAAAGCTGTGGGCCCAGCTACCTCTGCTGATCAAATGAAACGGGCACTGTGGTGGGTGTATTTTGAAGAACAGTTGTTACTCCACTAGTTTCTGAAATCTGTCACGTTTGCCTGCATCTAAGAGTCTAGTACAAGAAGCAGGGGACACCAAAGAAGCTGGCTGGAGCCAGGTTCAGCACAAACAAATGGTGTTTCTTCGTGCAACAGGGAGCAGACCAGTGGAACTCATTCACAAACAAATGGTGTTTCTTCGTGCAACAGGGAGCAGACCAGTGGAACTCATTGCCAAAGGTTGTTGTGGATGCAGGAAGGTTAAGTAGATTCAGGGGTAGACTGGGCAAAGATGTGGAAAAGCAATTCGCTGCTGTTTTACAAATAACAAAAGGCTGTGGGTTTAGGTAGAGCCAAAACCAGCTGGAGGTTGGGACAGTACTTGCAGAAGCTGTGTGCCTTGTCCTTACGCTTGCCTCCGTGTCCCAGTTATGGCTGCTGCTTATCGCTTTTCAGGCTTAAGAGTTCAAAAAATGTTTTCAAGATAATTACCCCCACATGAATGACGCTGTGTTTCAGAGCATGGACACTGCGTGGTGGTCACAGTCTTCATCTTGGCATTCCGTGTGTAAGAGCATGTGGGATGTGCTCCCTGGGACACCTTCAGTATCATAAATGAGCCCAGAAAAACACTTCACTCCCCCCAGCAGGCCACGTTTAGCAGTGCCCTGAATGTTACCTTGAGAGGATATTTCACATTGCCCTTTCCAAGCCCTTTATCCCATTTCTGTTTTTCTGACAAAAAGATCTTGGACTAGGGAAAGGAAGAAGAATAAGGCTACTGTTGTAACTGTGCCAGCATGGTTGACATAACACTCTGCTACGTACATCCCTCGCTGACATAGTGAAACTTATAAATGTAGATCAAGGCCTAATTTATTAGCAAAAGTATGCTTTATATCTGTTGTCCCACTGTAATCAGTTGAGTGGCAGGGGAACAATGTGTAGCTGATCAGAAGCAGGAGTGTTTGTCTTGTCTGAAAGTTACAGTTGTCTGATAAAGTGTTCTGGTTTAGAGCTCAAAGTTGTTGTAACTGCAGCTATCAGGGTTTCAGTGGGTAATATTTCCCCTTGATCCTGTGTAGTCACTGAAGCAGTGTCTAATTGTTGCCTTTTCTGGCCTTTGGTCACAGATTATTTGAACAGGATTGCTGAATTCCACTGGAGCGTTACCTTGGAGGGATTGTGTAATCTCGAAGAAGCCTCACTGCTAAAAGATTGTCGAATTCTGCTTCGTGATTCTTGCAAATGAAGTACAGCAGGTCAGCCATTAGCTAGCCAACTCAAAATCTGTATGCTGTTTGAAGTACAGATCAGTTTAAATTTCCAATTTACTTTGTTATTTACTGTGCAATAGGAGTAACAATTAAGACATTTATCACCTAGCAAAATTCTGCTGAATTATAAGAATGTGAACAAAATGCAGGAGAAGTACAAAGATGGCAACTGAAATTTCATAGATGTTTCTGAGACTGCAATCTCTTTGTGCCTCAGAAAGCCTGTAAGTTCCTGAAATGAAGTGTGATGGTTCGAAATTTGAGACAGCCTTACGGCGATAGTATAATTCTCTCCCAAATCTAGGTAACTGGGCCACCAGAATATGTGTCATTACTCCTGATCGCAGTGGTCTAGAAAAGCAAGTGTGGACTATGGCTGTTGCAAAAAGGGCTGGCTGCTCAGGTAGGCGCCAACGATGAGTGGGGGAGCAGAGGAAGTTCCCTGACAGGCTCTCGGGGGTCTGGTACTGCTCACACTTAGGCCCTCACCACACTTGTATTAAAATCTGTGGCTTTTAACTGTGCGCAGCCTGTAATAGATTTATTTTCATAAGCATTCCTACGATACAGCACCATGGTTTACCTCCATTTTTACACAACTAGAAGAGTTTGGAGATACGTGTTTCTCCCGTATACCCTTTTGTCTGTTATCTGAGTCCACAGGCCACAGCAGCCACCACTGCTTTGTGTCTTGGCATGTGCTGCTGCTTCCGAAACCTGTGATAAGTGGGACTAGAAATCCATTTGAACCACTTTCCAAGTGGAATGAGCCTGGGTTGTGACAACTCTAACCCAAATTGGTCAGTTGGTTTCAAGTATAATGCTCTTCAAACTGTGTTTCAAAAGAAGGAAATAGTCTACTACAGACAGCTTCTCTTTAAAATCTCTGGTTCTAACAGAAGTTGGGCTCCTTCCAGGCCAGTATATAGCTAAGGTAAGGTTTGTGCGTGGAAGAGCTGGTAGTTATGAGCATTATCATTGAGGTGAAAGTAAAGAGGAGGGAAGTATTGGATGGTTGCTTGCACCAAAGAGGCAGCAAGTTTTTAGATTCTTACCTCCTTACTGCGGCAGCAGCAAGAAACCAATATGGAATGCCCTTCTTTGTCTTCCTGCATTTAATTTCTGTGTACTCCCGTGTATCTGAAACCAGAACTCTGTGAGGGAGAAGGAGGCATGCCCAAGATGTGGTTTTGCTTATGCCGACTTGCTCCAGCTTTGCAGAGATGTTTTTGGGGAAACCTGTTGTGTGCCTTAAAACAAGCTTTGAGGGATGTGTGGTTGATGAGCACCGTTTGTCTAGGTGGCTGCTTGTTCTTGTTTTCTGGTTTGTTGTATGGTGCTGCCACGTTGTTATTGCACAGTAACACTCTTCCCTTTCCTGGCTTATTTCTCTGATACTAGGGGCTAGGAATGAAAGCTTTCGCCTCCTTTCCCAACCTGATGATCTTGTGCGTTACGTGATCCATCAATCTAATTAGTCAGAGAGCTCAATGTTGTTTCTGAGCTCATTTGTAGTTTACAGTGGGGCTGTAAGAGCAGTTGCCAGCCAGACGTATGCAGGCAGGCGCTGGGAGTTTGTGAAGAGGCCACTCTAGGCTCTCACCTCCTGCAGTGAGTTTCAGCGTTGCCTCTCAGAAGCCTTTGCTGCTTGCCTACAGTTCTGACTTGCTGCCACTTGTTGCTTGCTCCGTGTTCCTTCTAAAGGCTGCACGAACAGAACATCTTCTGAGGTCTCACAAAAAAATACAACCTTGCTGGCCAAACACAGATGGACTATATGAGCTGCTAATTAGGGAGTGAGTCATCAAGGGCAAACTTTCTTTGCTCACCACCTTAGAGCATCAGTGACATTTAAAGTGAGCTTGGAGCGAGTATGGGGTCGTACAGCTCCCTACTTCTGCGGTGGTTCTCTGGACCCAGTTTGGAATTTGGAGAACTTAATTCAAAGAGCATACTGAAATGATCCTTTTGAGAGCGCTTGCTGTCGCTGTGCTGCAGAGCATGGGGGAGCCTTGGGTTTTCTCATCCCCTAAATCTCCTGAGTGGGGCAAGAGCAGGCTGCACTCTGCACCGCCTGGGCCAGGGCCTGGGGGTGCCTTGTACTGGTGATGGCTGGGGTGCTTTCTCTTCCAAGTGACAGGGTTCTCCCTGTGAAACTGTTTTCTCCGCTCTGTGGTGTTGGTCATATCCTTCCAGATCTGGGGCTTCAAGACTATTAATGTTGCTGTCAGCGTGTACTTCATTTATTGTGTATGCTGAAGGCTCCTGTGACAACAAGGTTCCAGTTCTTACTGTTGGTGAGGAAAACTTCTGAGTACTGGCACTTGGGCCCACCTCTCTTTTTCTTGTTTGCTTTTGGCTGTTTCTTTTCAGAAACAGACATTCTTCAGCCATTGTTTCCTCTGGAAGTACTGGTTGTTTTTTTTTTTTTTCCCCACAGTTTGCAAGACTTTCAGTTGTCCTGTTTTCCTGCAGGAGCTGTAGCTTTGAGAAGTTCTGTGGCAGAGTAAATGACTTCCTGTATAAATAATCTAGTTTTAGGTTTGCTTGGGTATGACAAGGTAAGAACTGTCTGGCTGGAGTTGTGGTTGTCTAGACTAAAGAGTCCTTTCAGAAATATGATATGCCAAAATGTGTTGAAGTTTTTTCTTTTGCCTCGGTGATTATAGTGAAGGACAGATGTGCATGAATAAATAATTATTTTTCTTATTTGTGTATTTAGCAAGTGCATATAATGGCTTCAGACCCAAAGATGTAAAGAGGAGTAAACTTTACCATTCTTATCTCTTCACCGTTTTTCTTGTATATGCAGAGGCTGGATGCCACTGAAAGCCAATATCCACTGCGTGTTCCCTGTTGCTGCAGGTTTTTGTCTGCCCTTTTAGGGTATATGATTAGGAAAACAAGGTTGTCTTCTTAAAATTCAGTTCTGATATTTTTCCATCTGAAATGAGATGTCTGGTGAGACATCCCTAAGGAGTTCTCCTAGAAGGCGTAAATGGCCAACTTCCCATCCCCTGGTTTCTGTGGGTCTTTGCAAGCATGCTTATAAAATAGCTGAAAATTGGGCAGTTGTTCTGGGTATTGTGCATAGGAAATGTGCAGCCAAGTCTGAGTGTGTGATCTAAGGGGCACAGAAATGATCTAAAGGGTGGTCTTGCTGCAGCCTGTGCTCCTGTTAACTCCCCTGAGTAAACAGACATATACATCCAACTCCCTGGTGAGCTCATTCACAGCTACACCAGCAGATAGTCACTTCCTTCTCTTTTTTTGTAGGGTGGGTTTTCTGCCAGGGTAGTAGGCCCTGATCTGACTCCTTCTGAGATCGAGTGAGCCTGAGGGTTGGTGTGGGAGGAATGGCAGCAAGACCTGTAGCCAGGCACAGGGGGACTGAGTAGAGTGGAGCCTCGCTTGGTTTTACAGCCAAGGCAAGCTAATAACTGACTGCTAACCAAACTGTGTCCTAGGACTGCAGACTTTGCCCTTCGTGGCTGCTGAGAAAGCTCCACGTTGATTTTGTTACCTACCTGGACAATAAAGGGATTTATTCAGAATAAAGAGCCCTGATACGAGGATTGCAGAATTGGCTGCAGCAGCTCACTGGAGTAAACAACTGGACTGTTTTGTGTCCGTACTGAGTGTGTTTGGTATGAGGTGTGATAGCCAAGTGGGAATATTTAGACTTCTGGCAGCAAAAACAGACAAGCTGAAGGAGGGGGGGCAATGACAACTGTTCTGTGTCTGTGGGAAGGAAAAGGATACTACTGAGAAAACAGGTGTGATAGTCCTTTGATCTGAAATTTAGCCTAACATCTCTTGGCCTGTTCCAGGCTTGTAGCTGTCGGAGGCATTTCAGGCAGCAGGGAACAAGTCTCATCTTTTCAACCCGCACATTTAGTGCTCCTTGCCTGATGCTCTAGAAAACTGGGTTAGTCCCTGTGTGTGCACGCAGAAGCCTGACCGCTTTATTGGTTTAAGTGGATTAGCTGATAGTTTAAACTGAACTGTTTGTTCACGTTCACACTGTAAAGAGATTATAATTTGCCGTCTTTGTGGCTAGCGCTTTCCATTGCCAATCTGTTCCTGGAATTATGGTATTGACAGTGCTAGAGAAGAGCCCAACCCATCAAGGAAAACACAATTGCACCGGGGTTTTTTGTCAGTTCGTACCACTTGGTCTCACTGTTGTCTGTGACTGTCTGCCACCAACAGAAACACCAGTGTTGTTGTGGATTTGGTACTTTTATAGTTGTAACTTCTGAATCTCTGAAAACAATATATAATGTCAAATAGTATAATTTTTCTTGACACTTTTTTTCTCTCCCTTGGTCATTGAGTGGCTGTACACTGGATCACGTTCAGTATTGTTGAGGCTACACTAGAGTTGTAACTTCTTATGCCACTAGAAAACCTGATGCATTTCTCTTCTGTTCTTCTCCATTCCTCAGTGCACAGCTATGTGCAGAGAGAGGCTATCAGACAAATACTTTTATTTTTTGTAGTATCTGAAGAAGTAGAATATCCTTTCCTCCACTGGTGTCTGTAAAGGCAGTGTTATCCTGTGCTTCGCTAGCAGCTGAGTTGCCTCAGGAAGGTTCTTGTGAAAATCATGCAGGAGAGGCTCCTCTGCAAGCAATGGAGTCTGATTTACACAGTGAAGCCCATGAAAAGCTACATGAGGATATCCTTTCTTTTGTATTATTTTCTTGCCCAAATCCATTACAGAAGCACAGAAGGGATAGCTTGGCTATCGGGGACAAAGCTGTGCTTCCCTGTGGGTGTTGGGGTTTCGCCTCTTTGGGAGGATTTTTATTATTTAAGGTATATTCCAGGCTGTGCAGCACATGCCGTTCTTTGTGAATTCCTGAAGGAGAGGTTGGGCAATTGAATCTTTGCAATATTTTTTGAGGGTGTTGGTTTGAGGCATCTGTGATGCACAGAAGAGGTTGGAAGGAAGGCTGCTGACACTCTTGGTACTTTTTTTGCATCTAGCCCTTTGCTCACCTGAAGACTTCTCTTCCAGCATCCAGGTGGAGAAGAGGTTTTGCTTGAACAAGCTGGTAGAGATGCCACAGAGAGCTTTGAAGATGTCGGGCATTCCACAGATGCCAGGGAAATGCTCAAGCAGTACTACATAGGGGAGATCCACCCGGTAAGGACCAGCTGGCTGTCACAGCCTCTCTCACACACAGCATGGGACTGTGTCAAAGTGACTCTCCTTTGTGTAACCCTCTAAACACATACACCAAGATGTGTCTTGGGAAATAAGTAAGTAGTTAAGGGGTTTAGGCAGTCTCTGTGTTGTCCAGGATTTCTGTTGAGGAAAGAAAACTAAATTAGCCTTCTTGTTCCACCATTCAGAACAGACTTCTCACTACAGTTACATCAGGGGCACTTAAAGAAGCTAATCTAATCAGTTCCTGCCTTGGCTGGTGGTACCATAACTTCCCCTTGCCTTGTAATTTAGAGCTCAGGGGGGTGAGAGATCAGAGGGGCAGGGCGCAAACACCAGCTTCCTGCCTGCTGCAAAGACGGTGCCTTTGGGTGCTGAAGGAGCAACTCCTTTGAAAACTGAGTCCAGGCAATTACCCCTGTGATGAGGACTGTGTACAGAACAATTCCCTCATAAAGACTGCAGGTTTCTCTTGAAGTCAGTGCTTATCTTTTTTCTTCTTTTTTTCCCCTTGGCAGCACGATCGTAAAAAAGAAGGTTCTAAGGTAAGCTGTTAGTGTTTTACTTTTCCGTTTTAACTTAACGCAGTGGAAATTATATTATGATCACAAAATCAACAAAGAAGTTGTCACATGCCTCTTTTTTTTTTTTTTTTTTTTTTTCTCCTTGTGGAGCTTTTGGCTTTTTGTCTACACAAACATCAGTAATGAATAAATCTTCCAAGCAAATTATACCTTCAGTTTTGCTCTGAAGCTCAGCAGTCACATCTGTGAAACTGGAAGTGGGTTTCTGTGCCCTCTGTCCCCTGACATCAGCAATGGTATTTCCACACCTTGAGCCACAGACCATTGTTTTGCATTACTCGCTGTGTCCTGACCACTGAACTGATGGTGTTGTTACATTCGAGCCAGGAGACAGGCCCAGCCACCGTGGGCTTGGCTGCGAAACAAGAATTCTCTGTTAACTGCCCTAGTAATCATTGGTGTTGCTTAAAACTCAGGTACTCTGGGATTAGAACAGGGCACAGTGTTGCAAAAATGCCTTTGGAATGGATGGCGAGGGCGCGCTGGTAATAAATAGAATCCCATCCGGGAGGTAAACATGTGCCTCGCAGCTGGCTTCTCGTCTCGCTTGGCTCGGAGGCTGGGGCCAGGCACAGCTCAGCCTTCAGCAGCGCTTTCACTCGACGTTGTTGGAAGCGGGGCCGCTCGCAGAGTAGCGGGAATCGAGGAGGAACCTGGCACCAGGGAGAGCGGCGGCCGAAGGCCTCGGGAGTGTTTGCTGTCGTCAGCCACGGGAAGAGTAACTCGGGCTGGGTAAAGCCCACGCTTAGTTATGACATGGGACTGCATGATTATGCATATATCCGGCTTAAAATGTATTGTTGGGTTCAACTCTTGTTTCATGAACAGAATCACATGCCTAAAATGTGCGTGGAAATGAGTAGTAATGAGTAGCTCCCTTGGATAGGAGTTAAATATTTTTTTCAAAGATTTTGCTTTTTTCAGGAGATAGTCCAGTGAGTTATGTACAGCTAAGGTCTTTCTCCAGTGTACAACATCTGTTTTAAAAGGGGGGGCAATTATAATTGAAAAATAGCAGCAAGAGATAGAAGACAGCAACGTAAAAATAAAAAGGGGGTGATCACACATGCCAAAAAAAAAACCATGCTAAAAAGTACATGTATACTCTTGTGCTGCAGCTCATAGGTAGCTCCCCACAGATAAGTGTCAATGTTTAGCATCCGCTGAATGTACTATGGCAGAAAAACTCTCAAGAAATGGAGATAATTCTGTTTAGGAGGGGCAGGAGAGGTGATACGTTTTGGCTGGTAGATATTAGTTAAACTGGAGAGCAGCAGCAGCCATGGAGGAAGAAGCTGCAGAGTTGATAAAAGCCTAAATGAGAATTTTGCCCGACTGGAAAAAAGTATTTAAATTCCCGGAGTTTTATGAAAGGAGAGGTATAGAAGTTTGGAAGCAGGTTGCGGGCAAGGGAGGAGTTGAAGAGAACGTTGTGGGTGTGCGCGGCAGCGGCCAGGCCAGCAGACGGGGCGCTGGGCCGGCGGCTGGCGAGGGGACCCCGGGGACAAGGTGACCCGTGCCGGTTATCGGCCACGGCACAGGGTGGACAGGCTGCTGTGCGAGGGGACGAGCAAAGCCTGCTCTTGAGAGGGGAGCGAGTTCCAGGCGGCGGCGATGGGATTGACGGGAAGGACGTGGAGGTGAGGAGGAGGGCAAACGTCCCCAGAAACACCCGCGCTGTGGCAGAGGGTGTTGGGGAGGGCAGGGTTACTTTTCCTCCGTGTTTGTCATCGCATGTTCAGTCTTGCATCTTCATAGCTTGTGTTTCGTGTTTCTTTTTTCCCCTGCTAATTCCCTCTTTCCTCCTTCAGAATCCAAGTATGACATCCTCAGGCCAAGCAAGGTATGGTATCTCTTAAAATATGAGTAAGAAATTGGGGGGTTAGGGCGCTCTGTTTGTAGAACTACATATTAACTCTAATGGGCAGGAAAAAAAACTGGGGATATTACCGCACCGGCCTTCCGGCAAATAAAATCAGTCGCCAAAATAAGTTGCCCCCCTAAATAAGTTGCCAAACTGCAGCGCACCGAGTTGGCTGCCAGGGCGTGCGCCTCCCGTGCTGGATGCGGAGGCAGAGCCGGGGGCCCCGGGCCCCCCACGCTGAGCACATCAGGCGTCCTGGTGCTCACAGCTTCGGTTCTGCGGGCCGCGTGGCAGTGCCTTTGCGCCGCAGGGATTATTTGGGTGGTCGCTGCAGGCCACGGCGTGATGCAACACAGTGATGTGCATTTTTCTGGGGGGAGGATTTTTACCGTGATCAGCCCCGTTTAGTTGAAAATCCTTACAACCAGAACAGGGCCCGAGTCTTTCATAGCTGAGGCAGAACATTTTTTGCTGTGGAGGCTGCTGAAGGTGAGCTCGTGGCCTCTGGTTTGAGTGAGGAAGATTTATTGTGGGATAGCTGTAGCAATTTCCATCCTTGAGTCAACTCAGCTGTTTGTATAGCACAAATTACAGTCTGACTTATTTAAGGAAAAAAAAAAAAAAAAACAAACAGCTAACAACAAAAAGCCCAAATTGGTTTCTGTATTATGCCAGGCTGGAAACTTCAGCAATTCAGCTGCTATTTTATAAGGCACCAAGCCACCCTTGCAGGCGTCGGGGCCTCACGCAGGGGCCGGGCAGAGCCCTGGGCACGGGGCTGCGGCTGTGAGCCACGGCCCCTCTGGCCGCTCTGCGGGCTGCTGGGAGACAGGTCCCGAGAGCTGCCGGCTGAAAACAGACACGTAGTAAGTCAGGAGCATCTCGAATGAATTGTTAACTCGATACTTTCTTCTGGTTTATGTTGTGTGTATTTTTTTGGTTTGTTGTTTTTGTTTTTTTTTTTTCTCCCTCTAGTTTCTGGTCAACATGGCTAATCCCCATCTTCGGAGCACTGGTCATAGGTTTAATGTATCGCTATTACATGCTGGATGGGAGAACCTCTTGAAGTGACCTTGCTGGGACCTCAGAAAGCCTGAAAGAAGAGGGTGTGAGAGAGCGCGCATGCATGCAACACGCGGTGTTCTGCGTCCCTTACCCTTTTCTGCCTTGCTTTTAGCTGTGAGTCTGTCAAGCGATGTCGATATCCATGGGACCAAGCTAATACCGACCTCTCTCTACCCTAACTCTGGACCCGCAGACCTGCTGTACTTCCCTCTCGACTTCCCGGTATTCTCTTACATTTGTGTGTGGTCTCCCCCGCGTGTGTGTCCTCGTGTGCGCTCTCTCTCTCGCTCTCTCTCGCTCTGAAGTAAACCACAGACAACCTTTTTCTTTCAATGCCTTTTCGTTAAGCCAGACAACGTGAAACAGCTGCTAGTGAGCCTGTGGATTTGCCGCAGTCCTTCACGTAGCATTGTCAGAAATAAGCTGCAAGTTGTCTACGGTCCTTTCCAGAAAAGACGTCCAGAGATTCGGTTCCGCAGCAGATTTCCCAGTGCATGCAGGCAACACTAATCGGAGCAGCAGGAAATTGTTAGCTTTGCTACCTCTTTCTGTACGTGTCTGTTTTTAACGGTTAAACAAATATAAGTATTTTAAAAGCGGTTCTGTTCATTTTGTAATGTTTGTACTTGTCCCTTTAAAATGTATGTTCTGTCAAACAATTTATACCTTGAATCCTGGTTTGTTTGGGTGCTTCTGTGCTGCGTGCGGCAGTGCCAGAGATGGGAACTGATGTGTGGCTGCTTGAAATGCAGATTTTTCTTTCTCTGTGAGGTCTTGATCTGACACATGCCTGGGAAACAAAAATCATACTTACTGTGAATGTGCACCAGATGGGGCAAAAAAAACCCAAATAAATCCGGTCTCTTCTCCCTAAATGAGAAGGGAAAAGAAACCCATTTGGGATTTACACATAATGCTGGTTTTGTCTTGGAATAGACGAGGATATTTCTCTCTTCTGCTGTTTTTGTGTAGCGTGTAGTTGGCCTCCACCAGTGCAGAGGCAGTGTGAGTGTGTGTCAGGCACTGAGGCAGGAATCCTGCCCGCTCCTCCAGCGCGTTGGTCTGTGGCTTTGGGATCTGCTAAATAAAGGGAACTCGTGTTCTAGTGTCTGGTGTCGGACACTGGCTCCTAATTCACGTGTTACAGCAAAGCTGCTCATCTTTTTGAATTGGCAGCAAAAATGGGAGCGATCTACTGGGATCCCGCTGGTGAAAACCTCCTGTCAGTCATGGTTTTTCTTCTCTCTTCCATGAAACTGCTCTGTTCCCCAGAAGGTCGTGTAGAGGAATTTCTTGGCTGTGGAATTACCCTTTGCCTTTTTGTAAACGCAGGCCAAGGACCTGGGACGGGAGGGCGCCGCTGGGGCTGCGATACTGCCGGGGCTGGTGGCTGCCAGCAGCAGCGTCCGGCGTTTCGGCCCACGCTGCTTTGCCAGGGCGCACCAGCGGGTCCCCGCAGAGGTCTGCCTGCCCCCAGGGCTTCTCTCCCTGCCGTCCATTGCTTCGTCTCTTATGGTGAATTATCTGCCAGGGAAACCTGGAGTTCACCGGGGCTGCAGGGGCTCTTGGGTATCCTATTGCAAGCCACGTTTGTCCCTCGTTCTGCCTGGCTGCTTTGGTGGTCTAGTTTCTGTTTATTCTGTCCGAACAAGAGTCCAGCAGAAGAGTCTAAATCTGAGCCAAAGAAAATCCAGTGGGAAAGACCTGGGAAATTCTGTTTAGCTGCATTTTAAAGCATAAAGGTGACAGGCCACATAGTCATACATTAACATAGATCTTAAACTCAGCAATGGGTCAGTCGATGTAAGTTTATGGAAAATAGATCTTATCAGTCCAACATGATATTTTTATATTCCAGATTAGTTGATAATACACTGATGTGCTGCTTAGGCTTCTGCAAGGCATCTGAATCGATACTGCAAGGCACAGTGCCTGATTTAACAAAACCAATACAACAATCCCCAAGGACAGATTGCAAACTGAAAGATTTAGCAGTGGAAGGGCAATGAGCAGTCGGGGAACACATTTCACACCCGCCCCAAAGAGCAATCCATGCTTGCTTAAGCTCAGCAGTGACCTGGGAGGGGACGGACGCTCCCTGCAACGCCAGCGAGCTGGGGGATGGCTGCCTGGCGCCGAGGGCTGCAGTGGGTGAATACTGTGACTCTGCCTTTGGCTTTGAAAAATGCAGAGACGCGTCATGGAAATGATTAAAAGCTTGGAGAAGATTATTTACGGTGAGACTTGAGCCCAATCTAGCTTGTCAAAGGGCAGGATACAGCGTTGTACCGTGGGGGTGCTCACACGTGGAGTAGAAACTGTCAAAGGGCTTTTCGATCTGGAAGGCGGTGCTCTAAAAAAGGCCACTCGTTGAAGCTAGAGCAGTTCAAACTGGAAATAGGAATTTTTTTCACATTTATCACCAAGTCATGAACCGTGAAAACGGTTTAGGGACGTTTACAGTGTGGTTGCTACCAGTGGAAAGTTTTAAAGCTGGGAGGCGTGTGTTGGCTAAAGCATCATCTTCCTGCGTGGGGTGAGTCCAGGGGCGTGCAGGGCCCCCCGCAAGCGCCAGCTGCTCAGCCTGTGGAACGGGCTGCTGCGTCCGTGCCCGCTGGGATGGTGGAAATGTGTCTGTTTTCTCCACGGGCATCACTTTTACCTGGATTTTGACATACGTACCTTTTTTTTTTTCTAAGTACCGTTTTCCTGGTGCTCTCTGCATTCAGTTGCATTTTGGCTGCTCTAAGTAACTTTTTGCCATCGTCAGATCTTGTCCCTTTGCTCTTTGCCGTTGGGACAACTGCTTGGCAATTCCCATTTGTTACAGAGCCTTTTTGCTGTTGCTGCTGTTTCCTTTCAACCAATTAACTGCCTGGGCGAGGGAGACCTTCAGTCTCGTTCCAGGGCTTCTTAGAGCCGTTAAGAGCCTTGTCCAATGCCTTGTGGAAACCCAAGCAGCCTCTACCATCCCTTTTCCACACGGGTGCGGCCTCCCCAAGATCTTGAGGTGCATTTACAGAAGCCACATCGACATCTTCCCGCTTCTCCATCAATTACTTAGAAAGTAATTCAAAGCTTAGAAGAGCGTTGGTGCACCCAGCACAGGTATGAGTTTTACCGGGCTGCCGTCCTGCAGACCCTTCCCGCAGCTCCCGGTGTTTGAAGGACGGCACGTACATGGTGGGGGCAGGTCAGGGTGAGCCCGGCGCCGAGCTCCCCTGCCCAGGCTTCCTCCGGCGAGGTGCTGGGGGCCAGCCAGCCTCTTCACCTTCCTTTCTGCTTTTCTTCTTTTCTTCTGGCTCGCTGAGCGATGGGTCCCACAGGTGTGAAGCTGCTCAGTCAACAAAGGAGGCATTAACTAAGCTTGTTTACCCATTTTATTTGAGGATTAAAAAAGACAATTCCAAATCTTTGTCCTTGCGATGAACTTCTCGCACAGCAAATATTTGTTGCCAGGTCCCCCGCACAATGCAGGCGCTGTCTCAGCTTTCACCCTGTGAGAACGCTCTCAGTGAAATTAAAGCTGGGCGTGTGTGCTCTGCTTCCTTCAGGTGCTTTGGAGAAGGAGTTGAGTGAAGAACTAAAGCCGAGCACGGGGGCAGCGTTCACGGTTACGGTGACGACATGACGGCTGCCTGGGGAGCGCCAGCAGAGCCGTGCTGGTCTCCTCGGCCTCACCACGCACCCAGATTCCGTGACAAAAATGTAACTGTTAGTTGGCTTGACGGTTTGCAGAGGGTGGGCAGGAGGTCTGAGTGCCTTCCTGGGTGTGCTGAAATTGGCTGATAAAGGGGAGGAACGGCGAGGGAACGGGATGCGGAGCGCTCCGTGCCGCCGAGGTTGGGCTGGGGGGCCTTGGCCGCTGCCCCCGGGAGACGCGGGCGGGTGGTTGGGCACTGCTCTGCTCCGAGACAGGAGTGCCCTGGAACGCCGCTTCTTGTGCCCAGACACTGCCCACCAGGACGTCCTGGGTCGTGTATTTGCCGTGTTCAAGCAACAAGCAAGCGCATGATTCTGTCTTCCAGCAGGCGCAAAGCGTTTAGTTCCTCTGTCCCTGTGTGAAGGCGCTGCTCGGCTGCCAGCTTGGGCGGCTGCCTGGATTATGGGCCTTGAACACCCAGTGTTCATTATATTTTACAAACCTGACAAGCTCCCATCACTCGTATTTGAGGCACAGGATCTCTGCTGTGCCCCAATGGGAATTATGATCAGACAAAATGATCTCAGGGGGGAGTGTTCAGCTGCTTGCTGCTTCCCGGACCAATCCTCCCACTCTGCTGAAGTCTGTGCGGGGCAAAGCGGAATCGGCAGCGCTGCGTCGGTGTAAGGGAACCAAAGGGGTGAACTGAACTCTTGAAAATTGCTCTGTATGCAAGTAGTGCAGCTTGAGCAGGAAAATTTTGGCCATGACAATTGTTCTGCTTAAAACTAATGATTACTTAAAGCTGAGAAAATGGTGAGCTATGCCAAACGCAAGATTTGTCTTCCTGTTGGTGGAGGAAAAATCTTTTAGTTGGCTTCGGTTAAAGCTGAGCCAGTGCCAAAGCTGATCCGGGGAGCCTTGTAACCAAGCAGTACAACTGTTCTTGCGAGGTGTCGGGGAAGCAGCAGCTCGTGGAGAAGCCCCCTGCGAGCAGCGCAACTCAGACCTTTTTTTGAGCGCGTTTCTACGAATTTAGTCCGTAGTGATCTAGACGTGGATCGTTATGAAGTTTTGCAGTTATTAAGTGTTATGCGACCATTCTCTTTCTGTTTTACACTTGCTTACGTGTAATTAAGATCTCTGCAACCAGCTGGCGTATTTACATTGCAAAGTGCTGTCTTGCTTTTCCGGTTTTGGGAACGTCTGCTCTCGGATCAGCAGCTGCCGATTCTGTCCAATATTCCCCACTATCATCACAATGAGACTTCTAATAATCGCAGCGGGGGAGCTGTGAGGGCTCCTGGATAAATTCCAGCTACCCCCTTAGGAAGCGCGCTGAGCAAGCGGGGGAGAGGCCAAGGGGGCAGGTTGTGTCAGCTCAGGCGCCGCGCGGCGTGGGCCGGTGGCGGCAGTGCCGTCCCTTGCCGCCCGTGCGAGCGCCGGAGCTTCGCCACGTGCCCCCCGGAGCTCAGCTACGCTCCGGCGGCGCGCGGGAGCACGGGCTTGGCTGCAAGGAGAGCGTGTAGGAGGGTTGTTGGCGATGGAGAGATGAGACGGAGACCACGAAATATGTCTCTTATTTACATGTGCGCTTAGAAAAGAATAGAACAGCCCACTCCCACAGCTGTCAGCAGAATCTGGCTCTTCCAAATCTGCCCATTTGGGGCTCTCGTGGTAGTTGCAGCAGCCTCAGGGCACCGGTACCGGGTCAGATCGTCCCAGGAGGGAGCAAGAGATCAGCAAGGCAGCTAACCAGCAGCCGCTGACTTGAGAAAAGGGCGAGGAAAAGTCAGTGGGAACTGGCTGCTTTGGTCCCAGATTTTAGCTGAAAAAATGTAGGGAAAAAAGGCCTTTAACTGAGTTGGAAGTGGAGGGGTTTTGCGCAGGGGGCACTTTGTAACTGGTGCTGGCTAATGCATGAACCCCACTGTGAATCCTTGGCGAGGGCCCTGG